GAGGTCAAAGGGCAGCTGGAGGGGGAGGCCAGAGGGAGTCAGGAAGGGGCGCGGGGGGATGCCCGAGGGAGCCAGGAAGAAGGCCGGCGGAAGGCGGGAGGGAGCCAGGAGGGGGCGGGCTGGTTACGGCGAGGCCGAGGACCACGTAGGGAAGACGCTGGAGGCTTGTAAGCGCCTGGGTGGCGCCGGGCCTCACCTCTGGAAAACGTTCCACAGGAAGCTCTGGTCCGGCAGCGCCGCGCCTCCAGCAGGGCCGGCCCCGGGGCCTGGACGGTACGGGTAGGCGGCCATAGGCCCAGACGCACTGCCGGGCCGAGGCTACGGCCGGAGGCTGAGGGCCGGAGGCTGGAGGCGGGAGGCGGCTCCACTTCCGCCTCTGCTGGGGCGGGGCCTGCCATACGCCACTTCCGGGGGCGCCGCCCATCCCCTGGCTGCCCCGTTGCTAGGCGACGCCGGCGCCCGGGCGCTGCCCTGGCCACCAACCCGGAGCCGCTGCCGTTTACACCCCGCGGGGCGGAGGGATAAGGAAGGCGCGCGGGGGGCTTCCCTTCAGCGTCAACAAGTCGTCAAAGGGATGCGAGGGACTCCTGATTTCGGCTCAGGTCACGATAGAGCCCGGGGTGGGGCGCTGCGCGGACAGCGCGGAGCCGGCTTGGGATTCGTTCTCTCTCTTTCCCTGTCTCTGTCTCTGTCTCTGTCTCTCCTCCTCCTCCTCCTCCTCCGCTTCCGTGCTCGCTCTCAAAATAAATAAGCTTTTAAAAAAGTCATCAAAGTGCGTGTGGCCGAGGGGAAGAACACAGGCCTGTCTCGAATTTGTCAGACTTGCCACGTGTCCCGCAGCCGTGTCACCCCGCCCTGCGCGGCCCGCGCCGCCCCGCCGCGAGGGGGTCCCCCCGCCGGGACCGCAGCGCCCTCCAGGCGGCTTCCGAAAGTCGTTTCCTCTGCTTCGGAGCCTCTACCAACCCGGGGGTCTCAAGCGCTGGTTGGTCCTCGGGGCTGGGGCTTTTGAGGCAAGGCCGCCCCGCAGTGCTCCCCAGTGGCCTGCGGAAGGAGCTGGCCCTCTTCCCCAGCCCTCCTTCCCGGCGCACACGGGGACGTTCCTCAGGCCCTGGAGCGGACGCACGCGTCCAGGGATCACTCTCTGCCGCGTTTCCTGCGTCTTCACCACCGCACGTCCCGGAGAGGGCTCGTGCAAGCTCTCCAAGGAAATTATTCTGTGACTTTAGCATTCACCTACAGTGTGTATCTACAAAACTCAACAACCTGAGGTCTTCCCATGACTTAGTGAATTCAAAAAAGTTTCAAATTCACATCAGTTACTGAATAATCTTTTCTGGAGTTTTCCACAGGTCTTCGATCTCTGGCATCTGAAATCCATCTCTGGCTCCTTTTCTAACTCCATAAAATTAATAACTGATTTTGCCACACAGTCTGCAGGGAAACTTCAGCAAGAACTGTCTCCGTGGCTGCAGCAGGCCCTGGCCTCCCTCTCCTGACTGTCATTCTCCACCAACCTGTGGCCAAGTCCCCAACCTGGAAGGCCACAGCCAGGACCATCTGCAGGAACCGGAAGTGCTCTGTTCTGCTTTCTGTTCAGTTGCAGGTGTGCGAAATGAACCATCCAAAGGAAGGAGCACTTCCTGAATGCTCACAAGGAATGAGACTCTACCCCAGTGTCTCCAGAGTTCTTTTGTGTAATCCTCACACCAGCGCCTCAGGGCAAGCTACCAGGGTACTGTTTTACTGATAAGAAAACCATGGCTGGCCCAAAGTCAAATAGCAAGGAGATTTTAGCCCAGGCCTATCCTTGCTTTCCTGGATCATCGCACTCAGGGCAAGGCTGACTCTTGAGACATTAATGACTAGGAAATGAAAGTTTAAAAATTCTCCCTCTCCCCCCAACAACGTATATACCCAAATGCACAGATGAATCTAGAAGGCTTCATCAGAGAGATTGGCCGGGCATGTCCTTCCCTCCACCTCAGCCCTCATTTCTTTTCTTTTTTTTTAATGTTTTATTTATTTCTAGGTGAGAGAGAGAGACAGCGTGAGCAGGGGAGGGTCAGAGAGAGAGGGAGTCACAGACTGAAACAGGCTCCAGGCTCTGAGCTGGCAGTCAGCACAGAGCCTGACGCGGGGCTCGAACCCACGAACCGCGAGATCATGACCTGAGCGAAAGTCAGACGCTTAACCGACTAAGCCACCCAGGTGCCCCCCCAGTCCTCATTTCTAATGAACCCCTGGCTCTGAGAGGCTGGATAGAGCATGGCAGGTGGCTCACAGCCCCTGTGCCTACTGGTAGGGCAGGACCAAGCCTGAGTCCTCCCACTGCCTTTGATGGGGGTGTTGCCTGGAGTCCTGTCGCCTCCTTATGAAGATGAGCAGCTATAGGGGAGACCTTCTGCCAACAGAAAGAGGCAGATCATCCCCTGCCTACTTCTGCTGCCTGCCTCAGTCACTTAAAGTATTGATGTACTTGCCACTATCCCCTCGCCTATCTTGGGATTCAATTCCCTCCTAACCAGGTCTGTTCTAAGCTTTCCATGGAGGTGATGCTCCTGGATGGGAGAGTAGAGAAGTAAACTGAAAGACAACACTGCTCTCTTCCTCCCATTAACATTACATCATGTATCTAATGTTGGGCCAGCCTTTCCCTTTGGTGTAGTATCTCTGAGCTAATTGAAAAATGCCTCTTTTATTATCCTTAGAATTTTTCTAAACATTGGCTCTTTCTGGGTGATAGGATTCCTAACACTTCACAGGCTACCCTCTTGTTATCTTATGTCTTTGGCATATAGTAAGCCCTCAAAAGATATTAAATAAATGCATGACCAATAAGATATGTGCCCATTTGTTTTTGTGTGTGTGCAATCACGTGTGCGTGCGAGCACACACACACATTTTGTATTTATCCACCCTTACAGCTTTCCCTCTGAAGCCACTCTGATTCATTATTTATGCCTTATTTTCACACCAGGATCACTAATGACATTTACATGCTAAAGACCTGTGTCACAGACTTTCATAGGACTCTGGTGAAGAACTCTAGGGGACAGAGCTGACTGTTCCCAGCCCTCCACATCCTTTCCATCAATATTCTTTCCAGAATTCAGTATTGATAGAGAATGACCTACCACTTTTTATTTAACTCAGATTTCTGAGTAGTGGTCAATTTATCAAATATATGCTGTTTAATGTAAAATACTAGTAAATGTCTCTATTGGTGTTGGCCCATAGAACTTTCTGCAATGATGGGATTGTTGTTGTCCAGTGTGGGAGCCACTTGCCACATGGAGCTACTAGCTGAAATGGATCAAAGTGATTGGGGAATGTAATTTTAAATTTTACATAATTTTAGTGGACTTAATAGCTATGTGGTTATGGCTAATGCTATGGGCAATGTTTACATCTGAGTATTGTACTGTATCTTTTTTGCTTCTTTCTTTAAATTTTTTTTAATGTCTTTATTTAAGAGCCAGAGACAGAGATCAAGTGGGGGAGGGGCAGAGAGAGAGGGAGACACAGAATCTGAAGCAGCTCCAGGCTCTCAGCTGTCAGCACAGAGCCCGACGTGGGGCTCAAACCCACGGACTATGAGATCATGACCTGACCCAAAGTTGGACACTTAACCGACTGAGCCATCTAGGCACCCTGTCTTTTTTTGCTTCTTTTGATCCAGATCAGAAATGATCCATATCTCTGTGGGCAGTACTCTAGGTTTTTACCTTGATGCAAAAAAGTTTTTTTAATATCTCTGGTCTGTCAATTCCTTTAACACGTGGGTTCTCCTACAAACGCTGAATATACAATGTATAAAACATTTCCAGTATGAAATATTCTGTCCCATAGAAACTTGCATTTCCAGACCAGCCACTCCCCAGTGGTTTTCTTGGTCTCAGAATGTTCACAACCATCTGCAGGTTGGTTTTGGGTTGAGAAGTAACAGACAGAAAGAGACTGCTGCCCTCAGACTTCTTTGGAAGAGACTTCTTTGGAACCAATCAGCCCTTCCGTCGTCTTATCATGCTTCATGTACATGCCTTTCCTAGCTTTTCATTCATTGACCTAACACTTAAATGACGCTTAGGTGCCTGTATTTATACTCCCACTTCTGCAAAATCCTTTGGCTACACCTTGTTCCATTGGCTGGTTGGGATGGAGGTCTTAAACTGTCAGTAGTCTTTCCACCTGTTTTCTCCTGAAAATCACCTCCTTCATGTTTGTTGTACCACATGATCCCATGCAGGTGGTTTTCAAAGTGTGGTCTGGACATATTAAAAATGCAACATCTCAGGTCTAACCCCAAGACCTACTGAACCAGAAGTCCTGAGATGGGGTCAGGAACTATTTAATGATCCCTCCAGGTGACTCTGATTCACATGAAAGTTCCAGAACCACATTAGGGTTTGGAAAAAGGGAGTCTTTAAATTCTATCATTCCTTACTCATTTATCTGAAGGAACTTCTCTGTAAAATACTATTCCTAATTAACTAGGTTACACTGAATGGCAATGTGTGGATAAAAGGGAACATAATCATTATTTTCCTTTAATTGCCCATTTTCAGTGTTAGTAGTTAGTGCCCTACTTGCTTCCAAGAGTGATTAATTTTATGTTTGTTTGTTCAGTTTGGGCTGAGTTTTTAAACTATCATTATAAATTAACAGATTATTTTTTTTAACATAGTCAATGAGTCTCAATCAACGCAGTCACCATTGTTTGCGGGCCCCAGTGCCCTCTGACGGTTTCCAGCTCAGAGACTTTTTTAGGCGCCTCTTGAACATTTCCTCCCCCAGCCCAGGAATCAGCAATTCTTACTTGCCATCATACTTTCTTAGCAGAGCTGTGGGAAACAGGAACTCTCCTCCATCACAGCCCCTGTGGAAGAGAATTTGGGAACATCTAACAAAACGACATGTGCATTTACCCTTGGACCCAGCAATTCTGCTTCTAGGACTCCACCTCAAAGAAACTGGCAAAGAAAATGGCTTCACACACATAGTTATTCATTGTGGCATCTGTAATACTGGAAATAACACAAAATGTCCATCACTAGAGGGTAAGGTACATTCATGCTGCCAAAAGAAGGAAGGAAAATGGCTCACTGATGATAAGGAATGATCTCCAGATATGCAGACAAGGTGTGCACAATAGTCTATACATCACAATGCAAATACAGATTTGCTTTCTTCTCTTTAAATACTCACTAGGAAGATAACTGAAGTGGTTGCTATGAGGGAGAGAATACAGGAACAATTAAGGAGGTCAGCTCTGAATATAAGGGACTCTGAAAGAACATTAATGTTTTACATATTTACAAACTGTAAGTTTTTAAAGACGATCCCTAAAATTGAAAAACAGACTAATATCAATGACCCTACCTGCTGTGGCCTGGATTCTACAGAAGCTAGCCCTGAGACAATCACTAGGAAGGTGACCCCAAAAAACACTTGAAAGCAGGTGGGGAAGGAAGAAATCCATCTGTTTCCTTCAGTATCTGGTTATTTAAATGCTTTTGGACACGTGTTCAAATATTAAGACCATTTGTTTACTAAGAACAAGGAGAATATGTCAGCATCAAAATTCATTTTTACTTAATTATATTCTACAACAAAATTTCTGGGCTTTGATATTTCAGGTCAATGAACAGGCCTCAAGTCAAACAGTATAAGCTCATAAATGCACTTGGAATAGAAATAAGTTTGTAATTTATGTTTATTTAAGAATCATGCCCAGTTTTTTTAGTTCACAAGAATGAAGCTTCACACTTCCTGGCTGTTGATTACTGGCAAGTTTCTGGCCACCAGGTAGATGATCCCTATTCGAAAGGAAACCCTTGTTCCCTTAAGTACAGGGTGTCAAGAGGACAGTTATGATATAAAAGCGTGCGTGAGCTAATATACATGGGTACAAAGCCAGTCACCTCCAGCCCCATCAGTAGGAGCGAATCGCTGGAGGGACTGTGGCACAGTCTGCCTCATTCAAAGTTCTGTCAATGACGGGTCTGTACTCCAAGGAGACCTTAAAAAGAAAAATTGATAGTGAGACAAAATTTGCAGAAAAACACAGAAACAACATTCTCTTGTGCTCTTTTAAAAAATTAACTATAAATCTGATTTGCAGGGGCACCTCAGTGGCTTAGTTGGTTAAGTATGCAACTCTTAGTTTTGGCTCAGGTCATGATCTCATGGTTCGGTTTGTTCAGTTTGAGCCCTGAATGGGGCTCTGCCCCGACAGCGCAGAGCCTGCTTGGGATTCGTTCTCTCAGCCCCTCCTCTGTTCTCTCTCAAAGTAAAAAAAAAGAAAATTTCAAAAAAACCCAAAAAACAAAAAACATTGGCAGACAAATTTCAGAAACTTAAAAACACAAATATGTACTAAAGTATTTTTCACTAACAAACTCAAAAAAGGATCTACAAGTACAATAGGGGACTGGCTATGTAAATTATGGTAAATCCATGTAGTAAAATACAGCGATTAAGATAACAATGTATGAAATTCTTGATGCTTTACACAAATGCTCAACAAGCAGGTGAAACCCTGTATACACTGTCATCCTTTAATTATGTTTAAACTATGTATCTACATTTTTTCTACTCATATTTTTATACGTATACACACACACACACAAAGTGTATAAATATACATGCAAAACCTGAAGGAAATATTTCACAATAATAATAACAAAGGGTATTGGTGATTGGTGAACTTACAAATGTTAATTTTGTTTTTGTACTTTCTATACTTTCTAAAATGAGCACTTCTTATATAATTGTAAAAACTCTTAAACATTACTAAAAACAGGATTGTACTGAGAGAGAAATCTGGTATCTTTCTAAATAAATTTTTTACTGCTTATTTTTGAGAGAGAGCACACACGCACAGCTGTGAGAGAGTGGGGGAGGGTCACAGAGAGACACAGACAGACAGACAGACAGAATCCCAAGCAGGCTCCGTGCTGTTAGCGAAGAACCCAATGCAGGGCTTGACCCCACAAACTGTGAGATCAGGACCTTAACTGAAATCAAGAGTCAGGTGCTTATCTGACTGTGCCATCCAGGTGGCTCCAGTCTGATAACTTTCTATACACTGTCAGAAAATAGGCTTCATGCAAAATTATGAAAATCACTGCCTGTCTGAAATACCGGACACACTAGGCACTCTGCATAAAGTGATGACAACAAAGCACAACATAATTTCTGTAGACTGAGACAAATGATTAAGACTATCCCTTACAAGTCTGAAAAGCTTAAGGATAAACACTTTGTAGTTTATTCAGGATCCTTAATGCCCAGGAGAAATGCCAAATGGGTGAATTATGCTTTGGTGAAGTAAGACTATGAGCCTTTATTGTACTCTTAGCTGGTTGTTCCCAGGACCCTGCCCACCTCACCCTCTCCTCTACTTGCTGTGCCCAGGCCAATGCTAAGGGCTGCACAGCATACCCTGGGTTCTCTGAGGCTGCTTTGAGGTGGTCCAGTCAATGGGAAGAAAGGAGTGGTTTCCCAGCCCACTGATATTGCTCTCAGTGGGCTCCAGAATCCTCATTCCCTGCTATCCAGGCTTGGGTGCTCACTCCCTGCCCAATGCTAAAGCTGTGGAAGACCAGCCTTTCTGAACCACTGCCCACGCTGGATTCTGCTTCCAGACAGAAGCTGACTGACAATGTCTTTTTCAGTGGTGTCTCAAATCTGTCAGTGGTCAAGTTAAATCCATGATGCTTCTCCCAGTCCATCATATGCTGAACTCTAGAACATGTGGGACAGCGTATTTGACAGTGCATATGTGAGTGGAACATGCTCTCCACATACCTTCCCAGTCTTGACATCAACATAAGAAAGGGTGTGCTTCCTCCAGTGCTCCTCAAACGGCTTCTTCTGCTGCCCCTGGATGGGCTTGGAGTAATCATACTCGTCAATCCGCTCCTGAGGCCAGAGAAAGTAAGTTTATTTATTTTATTTATGAATCCCCCTAGATCCCACGCAACAAGGAGGTATCCACTGACCGAAACAGAACTTGTTCTGAGCTGGGACATTCCTAATCCATTTTTCAACCCACGTCCCTTCCCCTCTACAATTCCTAATGAAAAAAAAATTTTTTGTGTAGATGTGACCTAAAACAACACACAATATATGAAACACAGTGCAACTGAGTCCCAAATGCAGGTGGGATGGAGAGATAAGACATGTGATCATCTGCCAGCAGTCAGTCCTCCAGAGGGCCTGTCTACCCTGGGGCTCCCAGACAGGCCGTCCCTCATTCCAGGGCCTCCACGGCACAGGTCCCAACAAGAGCAGAATCTACCAAAGCCACAGAGCTAGCAATGGGTTTGCAGCAGCACCGTGAGCCCAGAGCTCCATTTCTGCAACCAGTGGGTGGTTGGGTGTTGAAATTAGACTGATCTTTCATGCACTTAAAACTTTATCAAACACTTTGTCTTTCTGTTCTGTACTCTGGGAACTTTCATCTTCTTCTTTCAGCTTTTATTTAAATGCTTCAATTTTAGCAATTAAAATTTTGTTCAAAAACTCTCTAAGAGAAGCTGAATACTATTAAGGGATATCCTGGCACATGGTAATGGATAAGACCTACAAGAGGCCTCCTTAAAATAAAAACCGGGGGCTCAGTCAATGGAGCACACAACTTTTGATCTCAGGGTTGTGAGTGTGGGCCCCACGTTGGGTGTAGAGATTAAAAATAAAATTAATTAATAAAATAAAATAAAAACACTTCTATTTCTGCTGAGTGAGGTGAGTGTGGTGATGGGGAAAGGCAAGCAAGTGGGGCTAGCATCTCTCTCTCTCTCCTTTTAAGTTTGTTTTGAAAGAGAAAGAGGAGCGCAAGTAGGGGAGAGGAACAGAGAGAGAGAGAGGAGACAGACAATCCTGACACAAGGCTCAACCTCACAAATGGTGAGATCATGACCTGAGATGAAATCAAGAGTCGGACGCTTAACTGACTGTGCCCCTAGACACCCCGCCTGTCCTTATTTCTGAACACACACCTCTAGGTGAGCTCTCCTAGGGGAAACAGCTTCCACCTGCTTGTCTGCTAAGACTGAATGAAAATTCATTCATCTCAGCCACACAACTACCAACCAACAGCCTGAAGAAGCTTCTAGTCCTCAGTACATGTGACAAACATGCTTAATTAATACTAATCTAATCTAATCCAGCTCCAGTCAGTGGAAGGTAAATTAACAAAATTTCACAGTTGACTGGTGAGCCTGTTACCAGCAACACTACCACCATCCCAGATCAAAGTCCATCTGTCTGGAAAGTGGCTCAGGTCCTGCTGGTGTTCCATCCTGAAATCGTGTTTGTTCCCGAGTGCCCATTTCCTTCATGTTTTGCTGTCATATGCTGAGTACTCTGTTCTGGAAGAATCTGACAACTGTACTCTGCATAGAAATCAGGTCATTTAAAAAAAATAGTGACCCAATGGGGATGACTAAGTCAGTTGAGCATTTGACATCATCTCAGGTAACAATCTCGGTTCATGAATTCGAGCCCCAAGTCAGGTTCTGTGCTGACGGCTTGGAGCCTACTTCCGATTCTGTGTCTCCCTCTCTCTGTCCCTCCCCACTTGCACTCTCTCTCTCAAAAATAAACATAAAAATAAAATAAACATTAAAAATTTTTTAAGAAGTGATCCAAGATGAGATGCACACGAAGTATGTTGTGAAGGCACACCTTGTAATCTTCCCTGGCGTGAGCACCACGCGACTCCTTCCGAGCCTCTGCTCCATAAATGGTCTGAAGTGCACAGAGCATCAGGTTCTGCAGCTCTAGGGTCTCCACCAGGTCGGTGTTCCAGACCATTCCTGGGGACACATAAGGCACCATGAAAAACAGGATCCAGTCAGATGGGTACTCCAGGCTATAGCTAGGGGCTTGCCAGTGTCCATAGCACACAAACACATGGCACACAAACAGCAAGGAGAGTGTAAGTCAGCACTAAGTGGGACAGACACGACCCTGAGGCAGCCTCCCTTGCAAATGCCTAGCACCCCAATTGTGTGCAGGGGCCCACAGAAATGCTCACCTCGGTCAAATGTCTTCAGATGTTTTAGGTCTCCATAGAGCTGGCTGATTTTCTCGCAACCTTCCTGTAACACACTTCCCACACGGAACACTGCAGCATGATTTTGCATGGACTGTAACAAAGTATCATTTGTAAATCTTCAATTCATATGAAAAAGCCCTGCCAAGAACCATTAAACCTTTTAGAGTTTTTCTTATGTGTTTCACTTTTTAAAAAAATATTTTTTTAAAAATGTTTTATTTATTTCTAGGAGAGAGAGAGAGCGTGAGCAGGGGAGGGTCAGAAAGAGAGGGAGTCACAGACTGAAACAGCCTCCAGGCTCCGAGCTAGCAGTCAGCACAGAGCCCGATGCGGGGCTCGAACCCATGAACCGCGAGATCATGACCTAAGTGAAAGTCGGACCTAAGCGAAAGTCAGATGCTCAACCGACTAAGCCACCCAGGCACCCCATTAAAAAAAGATTTTAAGTAATCTATACTCCCAACATAGGGCTCCAACTCACAAGCCCAAGATCAGGAGTTACACACTCTAAGCCAGCCAGGGACCCCTCAAATTTCACTTTTTATAAACTATTTATGTAAATTAAATTGAAAAACTGGGAAATTCAGACTTCCTTATTACTGAATTTTATTTATTTTTATTTAAGTAAGCTCTATATCCAACATGGGACTTGAACTCACAACCCTCACAACATGTTCTATTGACTGAGCCAGCCAGACGCCCCTGTTATGAAGTTTGTGAGAACCTTTAAGATCTACTCTCTCAGCACTTTCAAATATGTAATGAACTGTTACTAACTATAATTGCCATGCTGTATAAGTCCCAGGACTTATTTGTTTTTAACTGGAAGTTGTTATCTTTTGTTTCATTTCACTAATTTCATCCACTCCCTGTCTCTGGCAAACCACCAATCTGTTCTCTGAACTTATGAGCTCAGTTTCTCGTTTTTTGTTTTGTCAGATTCCGTATGTAAGTGAGATCACATATTTGTCTTTGTCTGACTTATTTCACTGAGCATAATGCCCTCAGAGGCCACCCATGTTGGTACAAATGGCAAGATCTCATTCTTTTTTATGCCCCAGTTTACATACATATTATAACATATACCTACATCTTACTTATCCATGCACCCATTGATAGACATCTAGATTACTTTCATATCTTAGTATTGTAAATAATCCTGAAATGAACAGAGAGAGAGAGAGAGAGAGGGAGCGAGGGAGGGGGAGAGGGAGAGGGAAAGAGAGTAAGAGAGTGGGAGAGGGAGGGAGAGAGAGAGAATCCCAAGCAGGTTTTACACTTCCAGGACAGACCCCGATGCAAGGCTTGAACTCACAAACTGCAAGATCATGACCTGACCCAAAACCAGATGCTTAACCAACTGAGCCACCCAGGCGCCCAAATACTAAACATTTCTGACAGGTGTGAGATAGTACCTCATTATGGTTCTGATCTGCATTTCCCTGACGATAAATGATGTGGAGCATCTTTTCATTATCTGTTGGTCTTCTGTATGTCTTCTTTGGAGAAATGTCCATTCAAGTTCTCTGTCCATTTCTTAGGCTGTTTTTACAATTGAGTTGTAGGAGTTCTTTATACATTTTGGGATATTAGCCCCTTATCAGATATATAATTTGCAAATATTTTCTACCATTCTATAGGTTGCCTTTTTTGTTGGTTTCCTTTGTGCAAAAGCTTTTTAGTTTGATGTAGTCCCAATAGTTTTTTACTTTTGTTGCCTTTGTTCATGGTGTCAAATCCAAAAACTCATCGCCAAGACCACTATTAAGGAGCTCACTGCCTGTGTTTTCTTCTAGGAGTTTTATGGTTTCAGGTCTTATATTCAAGTCTTGAATATATCTTGAGTTAATTTTTGTGTATAGTGTAAGAACAGTGACCTAGATTCACTCCTTTGCATGTGGCTGTTCAGTTTTTCCAGCACCATGGAGACTATTCTTTTCCCATTGTATATTCTTGGTTCTTTTGTTGTAATTAGCCATATATACATGGATTTATTTATGAGCTTGATTCTATGCCATTGATCTACATGTCTGTTTTTATGCTGATACTTCAGTGTTTTGATTATCATCTCATGATAATCATGGAGAGAGATGCCTCCAGCTTTGTTCTTCTCACAGGATTGCTTTGGTTATTCAGGGTATTCTGTGGTTCCACACAAACTTTAGAATTGTTTGGTCTATTTCTGTGAAAAATGTCAATGGTACTTTAACAAAGATTGCATTGGGTAAGCCACTTTGGGTAATAATAGAAATTTTAACAGTATCAGTTCTTCCAATCCATGAACAAGGAATATCTTTCCACATATTTGTGTCTTCAACCTTACTCATTAATGTTTTATAGTTTCAGTGTATTGATTTTTCTTCTCCTTGGTTAAATTTATTCCTAGGTATTTTATTCTTTTTGTTACAATTATAAATGGGATTATTTTCTTAATTTCTCTTTCAGAGGGTTTATTTTTTGTATACAGAAACAACAGGTTTTTATGTATTGATTTTGTGTATTTCAACTTTACTGAATTCGCTTACTAGTTCTAAGTTTTTGGGTGGAGTCTGTGTCAGATATAATCTAATACATCTGTAAATAGTCACTTATACTTCCTTCTTTCCAATTTGGATGCCTCTTATTTTTCTGCCTAACTGCTCTAGCCAGGACTTCCAGTACTGTGTTGAATGAAGTGGAAAGGGTGAACATTCTTGTCTTGCTCCTATGATAAGATAAAAAGCTTTTTTAGCTCTTCACCACTGAATGTGACATTAGCTGTGGGCTTATCATATATGGCCTTGATTACATTGAGGTGCATTCCTTCTACATCTGCCTTGTTGAAACTTTTAGCATAAATAGATGTAGATGCTAAATGAATTTTTGATTAATGCTTTTTATTAATTTATTTTTTAAAAATTTTAAAAAATGTTTATTCATTTCTGAGACAGTGAGCAGGGGAGGGGCACAGAGAGAGGAAGACACAGGATCTGAAGCAGGCTCCAGGCTCTGAGCTGTCAGCAGAGCCCGATGTGGGGCTTGAACCCACAAAATGCAAGACCATGACCTGAGCCAAAGTCAGATGCTCAATCAACTGAGCCAGCTAGGTGCCCCAATGCTTTTTTTTTTATGTTTATTTATCTGTGAGAGAGAGACAGAGTGTGAGTGGGGGAGGGGCAGAAAAAGAGGCGGACAAAGAATCTGAAGCAGGCTCCAGGCTCTGAGCTATCAGCACAGAGCCTGACGTGGGGCTTGAACCCATAAGCAATGAGATCACGACCTGAACCAAAGTCAGTCACTCAACCAACTGTTCCCTGATTAATGTTTTTAAAACATGCTTCTATGTTCCCATTAAGTACATCTTAAATCCACATAGGTTATTTAAAGTGGAACATTGTGCATTTAGGGAAGGCAGTTTGTGGAACTTGGCCAAGATCTGTGATTCCAAGCAGACATGACGTACTGAATGGTGGCAGAAAGGTGTTAAGGGTTCCACCTTCGAATTCCCGAGGAGACAGCAGCTCCTATGGTGTTGCCCCACCCCCGAGTTCCGGTGGTAAATGTCCTAGGAGCAGCAGGTGGCCCCTTGCTGACACAGACGAAGAAGTGCTAATTACGAGGTGATCTGAAGTAAGCGTGGGGTGGATGGTCATAAAATAGAGGGAGAAGTGAGGAGCCTGGGAGCCCTCCCTGCTGAACTTCTGATTACATATTGCAAAATCTTCTCGTGTGTCAAATTCCTGTATGGTTTTCTTGTTCATGCTAAGAAATAAAACTGAAATTTACTTTAGGATCTACCTTTGTTTCCTATCATTTACTGAATGGGCTTTCATCACTCTTGAAAAACCCCTTCATCCCACGCTTAATCACAGCTTGTGCCTGGGCTTACTTCTGGACTCCATGCCACTGACCTAGATGTCTCCTTCTCTCCCACAGACCAACACAGCTTGTTGTTTTAGTTCTATTTAAAAGACATCTCATCTATGTCTTTAAAATGATACATAATTTAAAAACTGTAAAGCACACCATCAAATGTCTTGGCTTTTCAAGAAAAGAAAATGGAAAAAGCGATCTCAGAACCTAGTAAATATTAGTTAAAACATTCTTTTATGTTCCTCAGCGCTCATGTTGTCATACTCTTTAGGGCTAGGTTTATTCAAGGTATTTTAAACTTTTTGGCTGCACTGTGAAGATTATTTTCAAATGGATTACTGCAGGTATACTGGAGAGCTACTCACTTTTGTATATGAATCTTTTATCCAGATGCTTTACTTCATTCTTGTTTTTATTAGTTTTCCACTTACCAGCTTCAAATTTTTATTGTATCAGTAAGCAATAATTTTGTCTATTCCTTTTCAATGTACTCATTTCTTTTCTTTTACTGTATATACTGGAACCAGCAAAATAATTACTCTGTCCCTCAACTCAAATGTGCATGCCCCAAGGACAGGATTTTTTGTTTTGTGCGGATGAGTCAGGCATCTAGAACACTGCCTGGCACACAGCAGATACGAATGCAGATGGTCCCTAACCCATGAGGGTTTGAGCGATGATTTTTCAAGTTTACAATGGAACAAGAGTGATCTGCATTCAGAAAAACAACTGTCACCTTCTCCAAGGCTCACAGTGTGTAATAGGGCACACTCGTGAATCCCACTCTCAGTGGGGCTCCCGCTGAGCCTCAGCTCATGACCCTGAGGCTCAACAACCATCTGCACTCATACAACCACTCTGTTTTCACTTTCAGTACAGTACTGAATAAATTACATGAGACAGACAACACTCTGGTATAAAATAGGCTTCATGTCAGATTTAAGGACGGATGGGCAAATGTTCAGTTAGTTAAGGGTGTTAAATGCATTTTTTGGGGACATAACCCCATTGTAAGTCAAAGATCTGTAATGCCTTATTTGGTGGGAATGCCTCTAAGGCTTCCTGTTTCAAACTCTGTCATGGATTCACCATTTCCATATCCAAAGAGAAGTTCCTACTATCCAGTAAATGATTACATCTATCATAGCTGGCCTCCAATTCCTGATATGAATACTCCACAAAAGTCCTGCAAAGATCACCTGACTGGTTTCATTAAACATGACTTTGTCCTCCACCCAAGCTATTTGCTCCACCCAAGCTATTTGCCTTCCTTTCCAAGAAGCCTCCATAAAGCCCAGTCTCACCTGAACACAGAACTGCACACTCCCATAAAAGTGAGCATTTGTGCTACTGGACTCCTTATCATAACGTGACTAAAGCAAAGGGTGACTTCTTTTTGGAAAATGCCTCCACAGACAAATTCTTACAAATTTCAAGTGGACAGAGATCTTACTTATGGACCAAGGATCTCTGTAGTCGAAGACTCTGATGGACCCCTAGCTGTTTTACACTACTTTTATTGATCTAAACCTGTGTTATCCAATGCAGTAACCACATATAGTGATTTATATTAAATTGAAACTGAATAAAATTCAGTTCTTTGGTCACATTAGCCACATTTCACATGCTGCACAGTCACATGTGGTCAAAGACACATGTTCTCATCCTCAGAGAATATCCCAGCAGACATGCTGATCTAGAAGGTAAATATTCTGACGACAACTAGTATACAGATTACCATTTCCTGCCAACACCCACACTCTTCCTGATCTTCTTTAGTGGGTTCAACAGACCCCGTTAAAGACATTTCCCAGAGTTGCTAGAAACTGGGTGTGATGGTGGGATTAATTTCTTGGCAATGAGATGAGCTGGCCCTTCAGGAAGCCTGGTACAAGGACGCTCCCAGCTGGGACTTTCTTGGACCTTCCGCTGCCCCTCCCCCTTCAGGCTATGACATACGCACGAGAGAAGGGAGGGTCTGAGGGAAGCCATACGCAAGCACAGCGGGACATGAAAGTTGTAGTTTCTGCCCTAGGCTCTACCTCCGGCCTTCTGTGTGCAATGTGTCCTTCTGCTATTCGGCCCGAGCCTGGCACACGGCTGACACCCCACGGTGCATGCAGGTGCTTACCTTCTGCATGTTGAGTCGTAGTTCTGATGTTCTTATGCTTCCATCAGCAAATCTCAATTTGTCAAGATTCATGACAGACTCTTCTCCAGCATTTGGTTTAATTGGGGGAACTTTATCTCCTTAAAAAACATACATACAAAAAGCTAGAATTTAATGGCTTTTGGAAAATGTACCCATAACCTGAGCTAATGTTCCACCCAAGCCACCCTTTAACTGAAGAACCACATATTGACTTGAGGCCGTAAACATAAAGACAACGTTTCTGGCAAGGAGGAGGTATCCAGTAAGAAATTTCTGAACAAAACAGAAACTATTCTTAAGCTTAAAAATGAGATTTATGTAAAAAAGGCTTGCAGTATTATTCTATAGAAGGGAAAACTGGCACCTTCACACAGTGAGCAATTTCCAACAATTCTGCTAATACCATCCACCTCCACCACCACGTGGTCCTCACTCAAAGATGAGGGTGGGCCTGGCCAGGCATGTTTAAAACTCTCTTGCTAATTGGGACCCTTATATCTGCTAACCTGAACCTCAAGATTTGCTGTCTTGCTTTTCTAAAATGATAAACGTTTTGAAGCTTTTTAAAGGTTCTTTTTTTTTTTTTTTTTTTGCATAACATGTTTTGAAATATATTTTAATAGGTAATAGGGGCAGAAGGTATGAAACACAGGAAACATAGGAAGTTTTATAAGAATATCTTTATTTTGGGGGCACAAAGAAAGGGAACCTCGAATTTTCTGCTTTGTTCTAAGATGTGATTTCAGGCTTCACTGCTATAGTGAAACGAGCATTAGATTTGGTAGTCAGACTAGGTGGGTTTGACTCCTGCCTCTGCAGCAAACACTGCGAGAGGGCCCCACCTCTGCCCTTCAGCCTGGACTTTGTCAGAGCAAGGGAGAGGGTGTCTGAAAATGCACCTGTCCTTCTCTTTACACATACGTGCCAACTGCAGATGTAAAGAGGAACATGGCATGGTATACTAAGGGCTGTGTTTAACTAGTGGGGTTGTAAGACTTTTCACCAAATTAAAATCTATACAGAAATCTTTTGTGCAATAAAAATAGCAAACTAATACTAAATAGTTACCACCAATGAAGTGTAATGGGAAGAGCAGGGGCCTGAGGATCACACCACCCTTCCCTTGGAAACCGTGTCTTCCCCTCATATGATGTTCTGAGCAAATGGGCCAATATAATCCACAAGAAGACCCTTTGAAGGTCAAAGCGACAATAAGTGTCTGGTTCACAGTGGGACTCACCCTTCTAGCACATGGCATTTTTTCCATCAGTGAATTAATTTAAGTTAACAGAAGAACACAATCACTGACTTGAATTCACTGTATCAATGCAGGTAGAGATGTGACCCAATCCTTTGTTTTATGTGCATTATGTCTTCCCTTTCTGCTTTAATATGTTATTTATATTTTGTTTTCAGAACAACCTAAATTACTTTTCCATATGTACTGAAAACTTCTCTATTGTCATTCCTGTTTAAAGTATTTCATTGCAAGTAGTTTATATTGAGCAAGCAATTAAGTCATAACCCTCCCTTTAAAATAACTCCCTAACAATGACTTTTCTTTTTTTTTTATTTTATTTTTTTAAATAGCTTATTGTCAAGTTGGTTTCCATATAACACCCAGTGCTCCTCTCTAACAATGACTTTTCTAAGCAAGACATAATGACTACAGAATAGAATCTGATCCAAACCAGGTTACCTTCTTAATTGTTAAGACCCTCACCCATCCTGTGTCTAGCCTCAAGCGTACTAACATATAAATCTCTGAATTGCTCTGTTTCCTCATGTATAGGGAATAAAAACAGACTACCTCTCCACAATCACTAAGCAAATTTCCAATTACGAATCAAGACATGGCAACCTCTTGCCTCCTGATACAGCCTGGCTACTTGGAGAAAACACATACCGGGTCTGCAGGACTCTGCAATACTCAGGGCACATGCCCGGCCAAAGACAACCAGATCCAAGAGTGAGTTTGCCCCAAGACGGTTGGCACCGTGCACGGAGGCGCAGGCAGCCTCCCCACAGGCATACAGGCCAGGCACGATTTGATCCTGGCCATTCACATGCCTCAGAACCTGTGGAAGGAAGACTGAACACTTAGGAGCACAGTGTGCACAAGCCAGCTTCCCGGCAGTGGGCCATGTGCCTGCAGGGGCAGAGGAAGGAGTACAGGTGAAGACCGGATCTGGTCTCACCTACAGAGAACCCTCTGACTGTGTCAGCCCGGTCTCCACCCTCTGCACCCAGACACTCAGTCACCCCAGGCCAAGAGAGGTCAAAGGATCCCACATGGCAGCACCTGTGATTTCAAACCCACACCTACGGCTCATGAGAAACCTCATTCATCACCTCAAACTGACCTCCTACTCCCTCACTCCGACTCTGGATTCAGATGAAGGGAAGGGAATATGGCAGACTTGAGTTGTAACTCAGACCCTTCCAGCCTATTACTCATCTATGAACATAATCCCCAGTCACCTTGCCTAAGGGCAGGCCAAAAAAGTCAAGAACCAAAAAGCTCTGGATGAATTAATTGCAAACCCCTCAAAAGTACTTTTTGTAAAGAGAATACAATTTACAAGGTCGCTATAAAAGTGACAAGAGATCATATAGTAAATTATAAACTAGGAAAAGCAATGATATTGCATCTATGACTGTCTACTACAGGGAGATCAATAAGTTATCAGCAGCTACTCATCACTAATGGGGTGAAAGTGAAAACTGGAAGGTGGCCCAGCCCCCCTGCCCTCTGGCAGCAGCTACTCAAGGAAGTGCAGCCTGTACAATACAGTGTTTTCTGAGGACAACTTCGGTCTTCTCTAACTGAGCTCACAAGGGACAATCGTAGCATTCCTGCCCTCTTTCCCACGGTTGAAGGGTCTTGGTTTGCTCACCTGCCCCTTGTAATTGGTGGGAATGCCGCCCATGTTATAATGCACGGTAGGAAGGACAGGGATGGGCTCCTTGGTGACATCCACGCCTGCAAAGATCATGGCTGTCTCTGAAATGCCAGGCAGCCGTATGGCCAACTGCTCTGGAGGCAGGTGGTGCAACTGCAGGTAGACATGATCTTTCTCAGGGCCACAGCCTCTGGTAGAAAAGGACATTACAGCGTGAGTCAAAGAATGGTAATTATAGAAAATGTGAGACTACAAGTTTCACATTAGTTTATGCTGTACAAAATTTCCCTTCACTTGTGGTCATCCATTCTTCACACCTTCTCTGAGCGCCTACTCTGCAAGGGTAGACTGCACACGCTAGGGACAGCCAGAACGTGGACAGACATCCAGCCCTCACCGAGCTCATACTCCAGTCTTGGGAAGTCACAATTGGCTGTTTTCCTTGGTAAATGCATTAGAAAGTCCTTTTAATGCAAATACTCCAAATATAAAATCTCTAGAGGCTATAACTTCAAAGACTTGAGAAGGATCTCCACAATAAGGCAGCCCTAACAATGAAGAGCCTAACACTGCTTCAGTGAACAAGGGCCCACACACGGAAGGTCCCAAAACGTGTGGGTCCCCAAACAGCATCAAAGGCCCATATGCTAATATTAGGTTGTGGGCATGTGTGTCTTGCTCCCCCATATAGAATGTCTGTCTCTATCACAACACTCACACACACAATTGATGTTCCACAGATTTGAGAGAGATTGATGTTAAACCAGCTGAACTTCCCAAACGTAGGTCTTTAGAAGGATATCGTAAATTGACAAACAACCGTCAGAGGGGAGGAGAGGTAACCTACGCAGAGTTGGGTGGGGTAGGTGGGGTGCTAAAGTTCATGGTGCTACATGTGCATATGTAGACATGAACAATAGCAGCCACCAAACAGAAAGGAGAGTGTGCATGTGTGCGTGTGCGCTCAGACACCTGTGGACAGAATGACACAGACCTTCCTTCACGGATCTCCAGAGTCATGGACCGAGACACGACGTCTCTGGACGCCAGGTCCTTTGCAACCGGGGCATATCGTTCCATAAACCTTTCACCTTGACTGTTAATGAGAATGCCTCCCTCTCCACGGCACCCTTCCGTAATGAGACAACCAGCACCATATATACCTGCAAAGGACCAGATTAATTAGATGATTATAACCTAACAATTACTAGGTCAATAATTCGGGGGATAGAAAGGAAAAGGGTATGCAAAGGGGATGATGCTCACAAGAGAGTAAGAAAAAGAAAAGGTTAAGGAATAATAGGAAGTTTTGACAACAAAAAACACCAACAAAGCAGCAGTGAGGAGAAAGGTCAGCTGCTGTGGTGACAATGCAGCTTGGCTGAATATTCTGATTGTAATAGCTTTTCAGCTTTCTGCACAACCAACCATATATTAAATACCTCTGGTTTTGTTTCAATTATATAACGTCCTCTTGTAGCATGAAACTGTGACTAGGTAAGAAAAAGCAGTTTGGAAAGTTCATATCTAAAAACTGGTAAAAACAGCAATAATTACCACCATTCATACTTGTACTGCACTTGCTGTACACAACTCTAAGTTTTATTTATTTTTTTTTTAATTTTTTTTAATGTTTTATTTATTTCTAGGAGAGAGAGAGACAGCGTGAGCAGAGGAGGGTGAGAGAGAGAGGGAGTCACAGACTGAAACAGGCTCCAGGCTCTGAGCTGGCAGTCAGCACAGAGCCCGATGCGGGGCCCGAACCCACGAACCGCGAGATCATGACCTAAGCGAAAGTCAGACGCTTAACCGACTAAGCCACCCAGGCGCCCCTCACAACTCTAAGTTTTATAACAACCACAGGAAATATCCCTATTTTCAGAGATGAACAACGATAGCTTAGGAACTTATCAATGTTCTGTAGCTGTGAAGGCAAAGCCAAACGCACACCTGGCAACAAGGCACGTCTGTGCCCTTGATCTCACTGTCCCTTCAACAAGGAATGCCAAGCACTTGAACTTTAAGAGGGAGAACACCTATGTCAATGCAATCTGAAAGCTAACAGTGTCATTACCACATCAGAAGAGTTATCTTGCTTTAAGAACAAGAATGCAGGGGCATCTGGGTGGCTCAGTGTCAGGTAAGCATCCCACTTTGGTTCAGGTCATGATCTCACAGTTGGCTAGTTCAAACCCCGTGTCAGGCTCTGTGCTGACAGCCTGGAGCCTGGAGACTGCTTCAGATTCTGTGTCTCCTTCTCTCTCTTCCCCTCCCCTGTTCACGCTGTCTCTTTCTCTCAAAAAGGAAGGAAGGGAGGGAGGGAGGGAGGGAGGGAGGGAGGGAGGGAGGGAGGGAGGAAGGAAGGAAGGAAGGAAGGAAGGAAGGAAGGAAGGACGGACGGACAAACAAGAATGTCCTGGGACACCTAGGTGATGGAGCCCCAAGTCAGGCTCCATGCTGACAGCACGGAGCATACTTGCAATCCTCTCTTCTTGTCTTTCTGTCCCTCCCCCATTCACATGTTCTCTCTCAAAACAAACTTTAAAACAAAGCAAAACCCCACAAAACCAGTAATTAAAAAAACTACCAAAACATTTTTTATTTTTTATCCCTGCCAAGGATCAGAAAAAATATACTGAAAGAGCAAAGAGAAAAACCAGATCTGGTTCTTTAGCATGGTGGCAGGCTACTGCCACAAAGTATGTGTCCCCTCAGTTGACAGGTCAGAAATGAAACCCGAAAGAAATTCCAGAATGAGACTCACCTTTCCTAAGAGGCAGTTCTCTCTCTCCGATTCATTTCTGATAACGACCTCTCTTAAACCTGCACCTGCAGCCTAGTCCTTCCTTCTGAACCCCAATTTGCACACTTAACTGAGGACCCAAGACGAGCTCAATGTGCCCATGACTGGCACCAAAGTCATCAACATCTCGGGGGGCTGTGTCTGCCACAGCTCGTCCAACTCTATACTGTACTGGACAGCCTGACGTTTTCCCTGCAACACTGGAATCTGCCCATGCCACAACTCTGGTCAACAGCTCTCAGGAGACACTGATGAGGTCCTACTATGTGCTGGGCACTGTGAACAGCAGCATCTGTCCCCACCCTCCAGGAGCTGACAACTGAGTTGGGGAGAGAGACACTGAACAGTCTTTCCATAAAGCTCCTGGAGCAGGTATCGCCAAAGCTAGGTGGTGGCCTAAACTGCCTTGGGAGAAACGGAAAAACCTTCCTTGAGCAAATGACAAGCTGGGCTCTGAAAATGTCTTTGTGTGTGGAGCTACAGAGGGGCGTTGAAAGGAATGAGAGCCCTGACCCCATGAAAGCGATCCCGTCCTACCTGTGGGGTGAAACTGAACAAACTCCAAGTCCTGGCAGGGGAGGCCTGCCCTGGTGACCATGGCAGTGCCGTCACCGGTGCTGGTGTGGGCAGATGTGCAGCTGAAGTAGGTACGCCCGTAGCCTCTGGAAAACAGACGGGCCAGCAGAGAGAAAGCAATGACATACGGTGTCCCATCAGGACCGCCTCTCTAACAGCACCAGAGTGGACAAAGCAGCCCAGCAGCACCGGGGCAGGTCCTGTCTGGATGCACCACCCTGGGCAACCGGGGCGGGAGCCTGAGAGACAGAGACACTCTCGTTTGTACTTCACTGCACTTTCATGCTGTCTGAATGACTTCCTTGAGAAGCACTTGCTACTTTAATGGTAAAATTTTTACTGTTTGCGGACTCACTCTTATAAAGGGTTACAATAACAGACTGACAATGGGAAAAATGTAATTTAGTTATTTTCATCATGTGAACAAACAGTACTTAACTACCCCAGAAATCAGTATGAACCAATATCCACTAAAGCAAAAGAGAGGTTAGGCCAGGAAATGTCACGTGACTCTCCAGACCTATTTCCTCAAGGGTCCTCCCAGGTACAAACTGAAGACAGACACTCCCTCACCCACCTGAGGCAGGTACTATGACTGTCCCCTTTAAAAACATGAAACTGAGACTGGCAAAGCTTATTACGCCCCTGAGTTAGGTCACTGCCCATGACTATGAATTCCACAGTGTTTCCATTTTTTTTTTTTTTTAAGAAACTCTGAGACCCAACTTTCCTACAGAAAAACTAAATACAAGTTAGACTCCTACCCAGTAGCTACAACAGTGTTCTTTGCTCTGATGCGATGGATGGACCCGTCTTCTATGCATAGTGCAATAACACCACGACATTCCCCATTTTCCATCAGAAGATCCAAGGCAAAATACTCTACAAAATAGCTGGTATCATATCGCAGAGACTAAAAAACACGAAAGAAAAAAAAAAAGGACCCCACAGTTTCAATTGCATTTAGGGTGTTAAACTAACATTTCAGCAATACGGCTCATATGAACAAGTTAAAGCCCTAATGTGGTGTGTAACAAATGGACAGGGCAAACCCTGGGTTGCAAAAGAAGCCACAGGCTTTAGCTCGCATCAACCATAGTGCTGATACTGTTGTAGAACAACACAAAAGGTACCCTGCTCTTAGCTGTATGATCTGACCGTAAGAAGGACACATACATGTCACATGCCAGAGAAGATGCTGTAGCTGGTGGGTGAACTGTGAACGGCTCTCACAAAACTGCCAGCTCCCCAACACACAATACTGCCAGATGGGCAAACCCTGTCACACATGTCAATACACTCAGCCAAAGCCGCCACCAGTGTCCTAACATTTGCAAATCAATAATCTGTCCCCATTTCAGAGCAAGAATTCAGAATACTGATTATTATGAATCAGAGTTATTCAGAATATTGATTATTTGGCTATGCCAAAGTAGGCCCTGATTATCCAGTAACTACAGTCCCCCAAACCTAGTTCAGTTTGAACATTTAAGTATTAAATCAATCAGTTCAGGAACTCAGAGGTCCTGAGTGATAAAATACTTGTTCTGTTCTTATACTTTCAGTATGGCATATGAATTTAATTTTCTAAACTAGACACTTTCAAATTAACAATTACTATGTACATCATGCCAAGTTCGTCTGCTGTTTACCAAGCAACCCCAGGGCTGATAATGCTGACCTTCTGACCCATTCCCAGGGTGTCCTGTTTCTAGCTCATCACCACATGCCTGGCCTAACCAGACCATGTTCTGTCACCCCATGCACCCAGGGTGGCCTCACCCTTCCATACAACGTGTGTAGCAGCGAGTGGCCAGTGCGGTCAGCCACACAGCAACACCGATGGGCCTGCCCGCCCTTCCCAAACTTGAGGCTCTGTCCGCCAAAAGCACGCTGGTAGATCCTCCCATCTTCAGTTCTGCTAAACGGCATGCCATAATTCTCGAGCTGGGAAATATAAAAACAAACACCTAGTGCCTTGAAGGAATCAGGATATTCATCGCTAATTTACACTAAACGATTTCAACAAAAACCTGTAAACTCCAAACCAGTATGTTCTATGAAAATTTCAACACTTCAGAGAAAGAGAAAAACTTTATTATTAAATGAAGTGAATGGTTAACGATAGGAAGGATCTCCCTTGTTACCGTCAACTCATTACCATTCCTTGGGCTCACCACATCTGCCTCGACCTCTCTTTTCTACTAGAAACAGACCATGTGAAGACACCACCTCTACTACGGAAGCAGGGGCCTGCTCGGTCATGTAGTGGATGGCATCCTGGTCCCCCAGCCAGTCGGAGCCCTTCACGGTGTCGTAGAAGTGCCACCTCCAGTTGTCCTCCTCCATGTTGCCCAGAGCAGCATTGATCCCTCCCTGTAAACACAGAGTAGACTTACAAGCTACAAAGTGGAACCCTGCACCTTCCAGGCCCAACCTCCCTTCACCCCCTGCCCAAAACTGGATTCAGAGAAAGCCAACTAATTTCGACAAAAAAGGCCTATAAGGGACCTGAGCACAGTCTTTTACAGGACCGTCCTGAGCAGAGAGAGGCATGACAAATGCCAAACCTCACCTCTCTCAGCCTCTGTGCCCTTACCAGTGAAGGGACATGAAGCTAAACTCTAGAGCTGTCTGAGGGTTAAGTGAGGTTATACATGCAATGCTCATCCCCTCCAAACCTGGCACATAAAAGGTACTGAACAAATCTATCTGGGATAATTTTATGACAAAATGTTCCAGTGGCATTTATGGACGTGTGTTAAAGACACGAAGTACTTACTGTCAAGGAATAAACTCTAAACCCAGACTCACGTTCCCCAGTGTCTGTCTCTCAGAGTCATAAAAATGGCAGTATAGGGACAAATGTAACACTCACACTTTTCCTCCCCAACTTAAAACTGGATTACTCATCTCTTTTTGACAAGAAAAGGCACAATTTTCTAACTTCCCTCTTTTTTGCAAATGTTCCTCAATCACAGCTTTTGAGTCAAGCAGACCCACACAGGAATTCTTTCCCCACTTGGTGCTGCTATGCCTCAATTTCCTATTATGTTTTAGTTACCAGGGAAAGAGTCACTAGCACAAAGCCAGGAACCCTTTAACAAGACACACAGCGAAAGGTACCAAGTTATTTCTTCCTCTTTCTCCAACCCTACAGTTATAAACCCAAACATAACCCTAAAAAAAACTGTTAAGTACCAGAGAAGTAGCAGAAGAGAGAAACCTAGTTTAAAATAAGAAAATACTTGGCCCGGTCCATGCGCATATGCTATTATTTTATTGCTACCATTAGTAAGAATCAGGGCCACAGACAGCTAGTCTTCCAGGAGTCCCAAGAAGTACAAGTCTGGTTTGCTTTTTTTTTTTTAAGTAATCCCGGGGTGCCTGGGTAGCTCAGTCGGTTGAGTGTCCGACTTGATCTCAGCTCAGATCTTGATCTCAGGGTTGAGAGTTCAAGCCCCATGCTGGGCTTCATGCTCGGCACAGAGCCTACTTAAAGAAAAATAAAAAGTAATCCCTGTGCCCAACCCAAGGCTCTAATTCATGACTCTGAGATCAAAAGTTGCATGGTCTACCAACTGAGCCAGCCACATGCCCCTCTAGGAGTATACTTTAGACTCTGCCAGGCCAACCTATCTACTCCTTCCCCCAGTTAAACCTTATTTTCTCCAGAACCACCATTCAAGTTAAGCTACCCAATTCTTACTCTTTATATTGTTTCAATATTGTACTATATGAGTATCCTATTATATCTTATTACTTATAATTTTAGACACAAGGTAATCTCCAAAAAGTATTATTTATTTTTCAGTTTACAAAACATAGCTTCAGAACAAAGTACATAGGAGGCTAAGTGCCTGAAGACTGTTGCCAGACACTGAAAACAGGATATAACAACACAGTAATTACAACACAGTAATTAGGGTGGCTTTTACTGGTTCCTAGAAAGTCACCCATACTCTGCTATCTCCATGAGGAAATGTGTTCCAAATACTGGAAAAGACAGTTCAATATGATTTTGGAATACTACCTATATACAACCTGCGTACTACCTACAGTGTGCCAAGAAAGAAAACAAAATCATAAAAATCACTGTGTACTTTTTCATCTTAGTTTTATCCTCTTCCCTAAATTTTGAGCATTTAAAGGCCAATGTTCTTCTGTCCTGCACATTCATGCCATCATCAAAGCTCATCATCATCACACTTAATGAGGCCCATGCCAAGAATGAAGAAGCAGTAAACACGAGATTCAGGGCCAACAGAATCAAGTCCAGACACAGGCTCATTTCAGATTGGGAAAGTACAATGAAGACAAACTATGATTGGTGGAGGTAGGTAGAGGACTGGGTAGGTGCTCAGAGAAGATCTGAGTGTGACTGGAGCAGCAGAGAGCGATAAGGCCCAGCGGTGACTCTGGCAGTGGCAGTGGAGGCAGTGTGGGAACACACCCCCAAGGCGAGTAAGCCAAGTGGGTACAAGGAGCAGAAAGAGACAGGAACGTGGCTGGAGTGCAGTGAGAAGGCCTGTGGCAGAAGACGATGCACTGCTCTCCAGGCGCCAAAACCATTAAGGGAGCCCCTTTCTCTTACCTGGGCTGCAACGGTGTGTGATCTGGTAGGAAAGAGCTTTGTGACGCAGGCTGTGTTAAACCCAGCCTCGGAAAGGCCAAATGCAGCTCGCAAGCCTGCCCCTCCAGCTCCTACTACCACCGCATCAAATTCATGGTCCACTACTGGGTATTGAGTGGAAATCTGGAAAGGAAAAATTGACCTGTCAATCACCCATTCACCTATGCCACACACTGGGACTGTGGGTGCAGTGTAAAGAGCTCAGAGAAAATGGAAGATGCGATAGAAGAGCAACCACAGCACAGAGGGGCCTCCACCCTGTGCCAGGATCCACAGAGTGTGTGGCCAGCACACCTACATCGACAGGGCCAACACACAGCGAAGAAGAAGCAAATATCCTAGCACCTAGGATATCCACCATGAAGTGAAATGCTGAAAACAAGAGGTATAGCCTCAAAGCAGGGAACCGTGGAAGCAAAAGAAAGCAGTGACACAAACCAAAATATTAGTTATAAATATGGCTTTTCTATTCCATTATCCCTTTTATTCATCTTTTTATGTTGAGAGCCATATATTCATATATATGTTTATGTGAATCTAAGCTCATAATGCAGTGTACATCATGATTCTCCACCTGTGGTCAGCAAGTTTCTCAAGAAAATGTTAATTTTTTTTTAACGTTTATTTTTTGAAGGAGAGAGACAGAGTGCAAGCAGGGGAGGGGCAGAGAAAGTGGGGGAGACACAGAATCAGAAGCAGGCTCCAGGCTCTGAGCTATCAGCACAGAGCTCAACATGGGGCTCAAACTCACAAACCACAAGATCATGATCTTAGCTAAAGTCAGACACTTAACCGACTGAGCCACACAGGCACCTCAATATGTTGATTTATTTACGTAAGCATGTTCCAGTTCATCTGGGCAACCACCTCATAACTGAGGGCCACACCCTGTTTCAGGACCATGATTGTGTTGGAATGAGAAGGTGCCAACCAGTATTAACTATTGTGAGCTTGTGAGAAAAGAACCTGTAAACAAATTTCAGTGTCTTCACAGAGAACAGAACAATCCCAGTAAACACAAAGAGCCGACACACAAGTGGCTTCATGATCCTATATCATCCGTCACAATAAATAATGTTCAGCTGTCATTGATATTTTATTTTGCTGCTTTGATTTAAATTTTAATTTGGCTGATAGATACCTAAGAACCGCAAGCAAAATGTGTTAGTAACTATGCTTACATCTGTACTACCAAAAATAATTTGAGCATTATTGGAATGAAACGTTTTCCTTTAAATAAGACCTGTGTATTACTCCAATATATTGAAAACTGGTATAGATCATTACTCCTCAAAGGCAAGTATATCATTTATAAGGGAACAGAAAGTTGTAAACTTACTGAATCTGAAACTTTAGCTGAAGACCTCTTATTCCCATCAATGGTGAAGTGAAAACCGCAGGTGCCTGTCTGCCATGTCGCTGGCCACTGCTGAGACAGAGATGGAGAACACTAAGTGTCTTAAAAGAACAACGATATATCATCAAAATGTCCCTTTAAGTCATTAACCTTTTTTATGTATCCGGCTGCTCCTCCTTCACCTAGACAACTCACCTGGGATCCTCTACTTAACCCTGAAGGGTAGGGATGGACTAAGGACCCAGGGCAGGCCCAAGTGGCAAGGAGTTTGCACTCCCAGAAAAGCCCTTTTAGATGAAGTTTGTCTCCAAACAGGACACTCACAGACTCAGACAGGAATGAAAAAGACACAACTTCATATTAATTTTTCAATTTATGGTTTTTAGTAGACACTGGGAAACCCATCTATTTTGCGAAAGTGGTAGTTTACAATGAAGCACTTTTACTGGATCCATCATAGTCCTCTTCACATTATTGCACATGTCTGCAAGGTTTTGTGGTTCACTGGAAAAGGCCTTGGACAGTGTAACTGGGAGATCAATTTTCTGCAGGAGGCTCTATTGTTTGCTGTGACACCTGGGCCCCAGCGGGACCATCCCTTCACTGTGAATCCAAGGACCTGCTTCACCACTGTCCACACCTGCGCTGGGCGGTAGCCACACCCGCTCTTGTCTGTCACACTCTAGGATGCTGTTCCCTCTGTCTGAATACTTGGCCCTGGCTGTTCCTTGGCTAACCTCTACAACTCTCCAAGTTTTGGCTTAAATGTCCTACCCTATAAACATTTACTCAAGAAGACTGGTATTAATGAAATCACAGCCCAGCCTGAGAGGCCACATTCTTTATATAAGAACCAACTTATAAGGCATGTCTTTCTGCTCTACTGACTGCATTTTCTGGGGCTACTGATAAAATGAAGTCTTAGCAATCTCATAAACAGTTTTAAGAATGAAGTATGTTTAACAATGACAAAAGGGGATATGAGAGAGGTCTTCAAGTATTCTGCCATTTAGAAGAGATGTTATTTATTCTGTGGGTGTAAAAAAAAATTATTCTGTAGGACAACAAATGGGGAATTCAGGGAGGAGAATTTGGCAAACACAAAATGAACTCTGAGCGGTTTTGAACCAAAGGACCTCCTTCGAAGTTTAATGGACTCAGGCCAGGACTGGAGGGCTTGGCCACTTGCAAATGGAGCAAGTGGAGCCAGTGGCTCCAACCTCTAGACTTTTCTTTAGCATTTAGGGGCACCTGAGTGGCTCAGTCAGTTAAGCACCTGACTCTTGGTTTCAGCTCAGGTCATGATCTCACGGTTCATGAGTTCTAGACCTGCATCGGGCTCTGTGCTGATAGTGCAGAGCCTGCCTGGGATTCTCACTCTCTCCTTCTCTCTCTGCCTCTGCTCCTCCCCACCACACTCTCTCTCAAGATAAATAAACTTAAAACTTTTTAGACTTTCTTTAGCATTGAGACCGAATGATGGCTGCCACAAATAGTTGACTTTATGCTAACAGCTCCAATTAGAAAAAAGTTTCTTGGATTTCTAAGTAGATCTGAACTAATAAATGCAGTATTCTTGAATTCTCTAATTTCAACTTTATGTGCATATATATATATAGATATACATACACATACATATGTATATAACATACATATGTACATACATACATATGTATGTATATATCTATATATATATAGATATTTAGTGTTTATTTTTGAGAAAGAGAAAGCACAAGCAGGAGAGGGGCAGAGAGAGGGAGACACAGAATCTGAAGCAGGCTCCAGGCTCGAAGCTGTCAGCACAGAGCCCGACGCGGGGCTCAAACTCACGGACTACAAGATCATGACCTGGGCTGAAGTCAGATGCTCAACGAATTAAGCCACCCAAGCGTCCCTAAGTACATTCGTTTTTATTGACATAACTTTTTTTCAGAAAATGAATTAAAAACCTTAAAAAGAATATATTTCTACTTTAGTATAAAGTTTAAATGCTAAAAATCACATCTTAACAAAGAACTAAGTCAGCAAAAGAATACAAATGTTCTTGAAATTTTTATAAAGTGCAAGATAAAGGTAATAGTTCCAAAAAGAACAGTGTACTTTACAATACCAAACTGAAATCAAAACAGAAACAGAACGGCTGTCCCGGCCCTGCCACCAACCAAGCGGGAAGGCAAGCCATGAGCACCATGCAACTGTCCCACCTCATTTCCCTCAGAGCGACCCACTGGCTCCACAGCAAATTTCTGAGTAATGAAGAAAACTTGAAATTGTTTGGTAATTGCAACAACCCAAATGGCCACCTGCACAATTATAAAGTTGTGGTGACAGTACATGTAGAGATTGATACTGTTACAGGGTCAGTTATGAAAGTGACCGACCTCAAAGAATATACGGAGGAGGCAATTATGGAGCCCCCTGATCATAAGAATCTGCCTTTGAATGTGCCATCCTTTGCTGATGATGTAAGCATGACATAAAAAGTGGCTGTATACATCCGGGAAAACTTCCAGAAATTTCTTCCTCTGGGAGTTCTTTCCAAAATAAAAGCATATGAAATTGACACTAATATTGTAGTTTATAAAGGAAAATTGTTTTTAGGGGTTAATGTAGAAAGATTAATTTTTTTCCACATTTGAAAAAAAGATGCTTATCTCCTTGGACTGTTAAGAAGTGGTGCCTGGGTGGCTCAGTTGGTTAAGCATCCAACTTTGGCTCAGGTTATGATCTTGTGGTTCATGGGTTCAAGCCCCGCGTTGGGCTCTGTGCTGACAGCCAGTTCAGAGCCTGGAGCCTGTTTCAGCTCCAGGGAGTTCTGTGTCTCCCTCTCTCTCTGACCCTCTCCTGCTCACACTGTCTCTCTTTCTCACTCAGGAATATATAAAATATTAAAAAATTAAAAAAAAAAAAAAAGAAGTCATCACATAATTGTTACACCTCCACATTGTGTTCTGGGGTGCCTAATTTATTGAAATTGTTGTGTGTAAAACCTGTTGTGAATTCTAACCTATTTTAAAACTAAACTTATAAAACATCCATTTAGAGTATTTTATCTAAAGATTAAAAATCCCTTATGAATGTAAAATGTTGTGGTGTGGAATATAAAGGCAAAAGAAATCAATTTTTGTTTTTCCATTATCTTGTATTTAGTATTCATTTTTTTCTTGGTATAACAGGAATGGTCAAAAATGGTTTTAAGACTTATAGTAGGTGAAACTTAAAAAAAAAAGTACAGGACCCACAGTCCAGAAACACAGACAACATACACTTCTTCCTTAATTACGTCTTGGGTGTACTAGGGCACAAATTTATTCAGTGACAGTGAGACACACAAATCCCCACAGGCAATGCATCGTAGGTGGCTGTATGAGGATTGATGGAAATAGTGCTTTGTTGTACACTGTTCAGTGTAGTTTTGTACAGCTTGTTAAACTATGAATTGCTAATGAGGAACAACACATTGAACATTTGTTGGAATATGAGTAAACTATTCATGATGTATATCTGTTTATATTTCCAGACTTTATGGCTACCTGACCAATTTTAATTCAGAAAAGTGAATAATCACATATTAAATCGTATAAAAATAACCAACATGAAAAGGATATATTATATTCTAACGTGTCTCTTATATACAGCTTTTCCTAATCGATCCCACTTTTGTTCTATCATTAAACTTACCTGCTTAAGTTGAACTATAAAAAAATAAAATAGTAACAGTGATTCCGTAAATAGTTATTTCTTCTTTCTAGGATGTTCACGTTGAATAAAGATAGACACACACGGCCAGCTCAAGCAGTGGCAGCTGTTATAATAAAATCTTTAACAAATTATCATACTCTCTCCCTGTGGAAAATAGAATACTAGCTTTTTATCTAAATTGGATTTGAGGAGCAATTTTAGAATTTGGAGAACCCAATATTAACCCAATTTACCTTTAAATAAAACTCTTAATATCTAACATTTTTTGAAGTAAAACTATCAACCATTTTCCAACAGGGAAACATAAAGAAGCTTGAGAAAATCTGCCTTGGAGGTAGAATTAAAAGAAACACTTAGACCTTTTAATGACATGAAAGCATCGGTGAATGACTTAAAAGGTTAAAGACAGAAAACTGGGGGCGCCTGGGCGGCTTAGTCGGTTAAGCGTCCGACTTTCGCTTGGGTCATGATCTCGCGGTTCGTGGGTTCGAGCCCCGCGTCGGGCTCTGTGCTCACTGCCAGCTCGGAGCCTGGAGCCTGTTTCAGTCTGTGACTCCCTCTCTCTCTGGCCCTCCCCTGCTCACGCTGTCTCTCTCTCTCTCCTAGAAATAAATAAAAACATTAAAAAAAAAAAAGAGAGAGAGAGAAAACTGAAGAGAAAGGCAGAGATGCTAAAACCCTAAATCTAGCAAAGTGGGAGTCCTCATCTAATAACATTCACCTATGAATTACAGACAAGAAACTAATTTGTAAGTACAATCAGAAAAGGAGCCAGTAAAGCTCTGAAAGTGGCTGCATAACTGTATGGGAAGGACTGAGGCTGCGGGAAGTAAGATGGTTTAACTGAACCAAGTCCTCATTCAGCGGCACAAGTCAAAGTCCTAAATGGATAAAAATAAGCCTGCACATTAGCTAGAGAAATGGAAGTAAATACCAGGGGCCAGTAACAGAAACAATTCAGAAGTGATTCCACTGGGGAACAGGTCTGAAGTTAGGAGGGGGGTCTCAATCCTTTTCATTTAAAGCCTCTGTATTCCTGGACTTTACGTAACTATGTGTAACCATTTTCACTAGAAGTTTAAAGGTTTTTAAAACAGGGATGCTTAGGGGCGCCTGGGTGGCTTAGTCAGTTAAGCGTCCAACTTTCGCTTAGGTCAAGATCTCGCAGTTCGTGGGTTCGGGCCCCGCGTCGGGCTCTGTGCTGACTGCCAGCTCGGAGCCTGGAGTCTGTTTCAGTCTGTGACTCCCTCTCTCTCTGACCCTCCCCTGTTCACGCTGTCTCTCTCTCTCTCTCCTAGAAATAAATAAAACATTAAAAAAAAAAAAAACCAAAAAAAAACAGGGATGCTTAGAATACAATTCACAAGCTTATCAAGCACAGACTTAGATCCTGGCTAGAATGAGGACCACACAAGGGTGTCACAGTCTACCTCACTTATGAACCCCACAGAGAAATGGAGTCTATCCAGGGTCTGAACTCCAGTCTGCCTGGCTGGCACCAGATTCTGTACATTCCTCCTATATAAGAAGCCTTAGGAAAAATCTCTGGGACTCCAAAATAAGATGCATATCCAGGTTACATATCTAAACCAAGCCATAATTTTTCCAGTGAACCAGGAAAAACATCCCTCAGAATGCAGAAATGAATGCCACTGCAGTATAATTAACCCAAGAAGCAAAACAAAAAAGGTTACTATAATGGCCCAAAAAATGTAATTCTAGATACATCATTAAAACATATTCAAAACAATACATTCAAAGAGAAGAAACTGACTTACTCTAGTACAGTACTTTGGATATCCATGTTAAAGAATTTGAAAAATCTCATCGGAAGCAGTTAACCAGCAATGATTTAAGGTCCTTAGTTTTACTTTTCCTTTCAATAAACTAGAACAGTCTGCTAACTGTGTCAGTGCATTAGGGTAACTAAAACTGGAACCAAGGCAAAACGGGGTTTGATAGTTTTGCAACTTGAAAGCAGCTGTAAACTTAAACCGCCTTGGAACCACCACAGAATTGAACAAAATAAGATCAAGAGTAATCCTCTGTGGATTTTATTCAAATTATCCTCATTTACTCGGCATGCACATTTCTCATTCTCAGTTGGTGATCGTGCTTTATTTTTTGTTCTAATTTTTTTTAAATGTTTTTATTTATTTCTGAGAGAGAGAGAGAGAGACAGCATGAGCAGGGAAGGGTCAGAGAGAGAGGGAGACACAGAATTGGAAACAGACTCCAGGGTTTGAGCTGGCTGTCAGCACAGAGCCCAATGCAGGGCTTGAACCCACGGAGTGTGAGATCACGACTTAAGCGGAAGTCAGAAGCCTAACTGACTGAGCCACCCAGGCACCCCTGTTCTGCCAATTTGATGCATTTGTTTTTGCCAATCAAATTCCACTAAATATATTGCCTTGGGGGCAGAATTAATGTCCTCAGGAAAAGCCGTCTTCATCAAGATAAAAAGACTTGGGTAAAGTGCTGGCAGCTAATAGTTGATTCAACCAAGATAACTTCCAATTAAGCCAATACAAAAGTAGAGGTTTATACACTCTGACCTGTAGTGCTTAGAATCTCATTCTCACTTTCAGCTAAAAGCAAAAAGGTGGAATTCTAGTCCAGTTTACAAAAAGGACAACAATGTCATAAACAAAGGGCAGGCGAGGGGGGCGAGGGGGTGGTGCAGGGAGTTCCACAGACTGAAGGGGTCTCAGATGGCCCCAGAGCACTGAGCACCAGTCTGGGGTGCCTAGCTCTTCTCCAAGCACCACCAGGTACCGGTCACTTCACCTAACAAGCAGGAAGCACTCAGTCTGCTCATGTTTGCCTGACTAAGAATACCCCACTAACCATCCAGCTTGTGGACTCCCTGCAACCATTGTGTCTTAGAGCCCAAGGTGGGTGGGGTGTGGGAGTGGGGACCTCTGCTCAGTAAGCATCAATCACAGCAGCAGGTGAAAGCATTTAAAATATTCTCTGGTGTTGGCAGGATGGCTGACTAAACCTTCTCATATTAACATAATTTTTAACATCTGTATTTCAGAAAGGAGAAAATTGCAGGTATAATTACAGGTGTAACTCCGGTCAATAGTGTTGACTGCCTTGGGTCCCACAGGGATTTTCACTCTGTAATTACATTACTAAGTAGGTGGGCAGGCGGATCATATAAAAAAAAAAAAAACCCAAATAAGGACACCCTCTAAGTTTAGTGCGCTTAAATAAAACCAGAAAAGACGGATTCTGAAGACCTAACTGTAAAGAGTACATGTGACACAATCCAGTAGCAAGGGTTCTAGAAGGCAGAACCCTGACGGTCATCCACGACTGACCGGAGTCCGGGCAAGAGTTTCACAGACATGCACGGGAAATCAGACTTTTCCGCGTCCTCGCCCAAACGTGGATTTGCGGACAGGGTGCTGAAATTCTCCGTCTGGTTTTCCAGCGTGCGCAAAGGCCACCAGGCAAAACCCGGTACGGAAGTCCTAAACTTGGCAGACCCCAGTGTGAAACACAGGTCTTCGTTTCCCAAGGAGGCGCGGTTTTGCATACCGCTGCGAGGCAAGCGCCAGGGCCGATGTCGGACGTGTCTCCCACCTACCCCGCCTGGAACTGGAGGGCCGAGCCCGGTTGGGACCCTCGGGGCTGCTGGCACCGACAGACCGTCTCCAGGGCGGTCGGCAGAGCGCCCAGCCAGCGAGCGCCTGAGGCTGCGGGCCCGCCTCCGCCCGAGGTCTAAGGGCGCTTTTGGATTCCGAGGCCCGGGGCACCCACAGGGCCGCCACCTGTCAGTGTGACCTCGGGCAAACACGACTCCCCAAGCGCCAAAGGCTGGGGCGGGAACGACCTTAGTACGCGGGGGAAGGGTCGCTGGGGACCAAAAGCGGGGTCATGACCTTCACCAGGACACAGCTCGGCGGGCTTCGGAAGGAGTCCCAAAGCCCTCAGAGTCGGCCCCACCCTCGGACGGCCTCCACCCCGCATCCGCCCCCAAACCCTTGAGACCCCGACCCGGGGCCGGGGGACTCGGCCTCCGCTCCGCCCCGTGGGAACTGTCCAGCCCCACCTCGACCCTCACGCCGTGCCCGCCACATGGCGCCAACTCACCGCCCTAGTCAGTGCCAGGCGCCGGGCGCCCAACAGCCGCGACACCACCCTGACCCGCGACATGTCGGCCTCACACGGTGCCGTCCCACCAACCCCCGCGCCAGACTGCGCCTGCGCACCTAGAGGAGCCCAGGCCGGGACAAGGGGACACCGCGCCTGCGCACCACGCCGCGACCCCGGGGCGGGAGGGCGTTTCGCGCCTGCGCACAGGATCGGACAGTGGCGCTAAAAGGACCCGGGGCCCGGCGCTCCCCGCCCGGGGGTAGGTCGGAGGGCGGGGCAGTATTCGATGGGGGTCAGAGCCTGGGCTGCTTTTGGGAGAAGCCGGGTGAGGTCAGGGGTTCCGGGGATAGGTTGAGGTTCCTGGGGTAGGTCGGGGGCGTCGGGGGCTCCGGGGGTAAGCCGGGGGCCTGAGAGGAGGTCGAGGGTTCCGGGGGTAGGTCGGGGGCCTGAGGGTAGGTCAGAGGGGCCGGAGGTAGGTTGGGGATCAGGGGCTGCGGGGAGTAGGTCGGGAGGGCGGGGGTGGGGCTGGGGTCGGAGTAAGTCGGGCCGCTAGGCAGTGTTCGGGGGTTCCTGGGAGAGCGTTCCCGGGCGGGGTCAGGCGCGCGGTCAACGCTGTCGGGGCTCCGGCGGTGCAGAGGGCCGCTCTCGGGATTTAAGTGTCTTAATTAAGTCACCTGATTTCGCCTCAGGTTTACGAAGTGATGTTAATTTTCGTATGTTTATATAAGTTATTACGTGAAATCTTCTGTGGAACGAAGTGTTATGGGAAATCAGTAGTTTTAATCGTTTAGTCGTTATCCGGCTTTTTGTTTTGTATTATTAGGATCTTTTGTGTGCAATACAGTTTTGAATTATTTTATTGAATAAGTTTACAATGATCCATTTCCATTCTATTGACTTTTAGGTGGTTTCCAAATCTTGCTAGTACTAAATAAGGCCCTAAAGAGTATAATTGCCTATAACGCTTTATCTTTATTTAGGATTCGGTTGCTTTAATTGGGATTTTATGTTTCCTCAGGCCCTATGCCTCCCAAGTGGACTTTATTGGCTTGAAGGAAATGAACACTGTCCTTCCCAGTCCTTGCTTTGAGAGTTTTGCAGTTTAGTACTTTCAGATAACTAATTTTTGTTTTATAGTTACCACAAACTCCTTAACATAATTTTATGGCATTTCTTTATTACCAATTAGAATTTTTTTATATTTAGATGTTAAGTATTTATGGAAAACCCCATTAAAATTTTTCAAAATTGAACTGGATTCCTTTTTTCTTATGTATGCCATGATTATTTCTTTGTAATCAGTGTGTGTTATTTGTGGCCATCAGATAGAAATAAGCTGAAAGTCTCATTGCTCTATTTCGTGAAAATGCCCAACCTAGTGTAGATACTTAGTAAATTGGTATATATCGTATTAACATTAGACCCCAGCCTGGTTACTGAGATACAGCATGAACCCTAAGCAGAAGCAAGTGTAATTGTGGTGTTTGTCCGGAGGCATAGGAGCCTTCTTAGCACCATCCCCATTTCCCCAACACACTGCTGACTCGACCTCTCAGTGTCATTTACTATTTCCTGAAGCAGCCTTTCCTGAAGGAAGGTTTTCATACCTTCCTGTTCATATATCTTTGTATACAACCATACTTTAAAGCTTGTTTATATTGGAGATCTTACTTTTTCTGCTTCTATTTCACTTGTTTGAGACCTTTCTCCCCTACTATATCATGGTGAGTTGCTATTGTCTGAAGCCTTGTTTTTTTCTTCTTTTAATCCCATAAGACTCAGTGCTATGTAGCTCATAGGTAGAATTGAGCCAAGAAGATGATAACAATTGTGCCAGATGTGTTTTATTCCTTTCATGTGGTTAATGGTTTCATTATTTACTTCAAGGTATATCTCCATGAATAATTTAAATGACCCTCCAAATTGGAATATCCGGCCTAATTCCAGGGCTGATGGGGGTGATGGAAGCAGATGGAATTATGCCTTGTTGGTTCCAATGCTGGGATTGGCTGCTTTTCGTAAGTCATGGTTTTCCTAATATTTGCATTTTGGGGACTGAAAGTATGGAGCCCAAAGACTTTGGGCTTTAGACACTGACAGATGCCAGTGTACATTCTAGTGTTATCCATACAGTGAGTCCTAGGCAAATTACTTAACCCCCTGAGCCTTGGTTTCCCTATCCATTGAAGCTAGCTAATCATAATTACCTCAATGCGTTGTAAAGGCTAAATAAAACAGTATTCAGAAGCATTTTGTGTGGGGTGAGTTTTAGTAGTCGAAAAAGGTTGTATTGAGATTTCGATCTCTGTTAGCTCCCATTTCAGACTTCACTGCTTGGAGGGGGCTCTCCTGCTTCAGTTGCCCTCATAAGAACTGATGGGGAAAAATAAAACATAAAAAAACCCTTTTTCCTGGTCTTCTGTCTAATGTTTAGGGAATCAGCCTTTGGGAGACTTTATCCATTAAACCTCTGCTCAGCTTTGGCCAGATTCTCTCTAGTTTGAATTGACATTGTACCACTTTGGGGAAATTACCAATTGCCAGATATAATTATTCTAGCCCTTAGCTTTTATTTTCCACTATAATGATACATTTCCTGATGTTCAGGAATTGATTTTATATTTTGTCATTTCCCATAGTTCTGGGTTGGCACTTAAGAATATGAGAAACTGAGGGGCGCCTGCATGGCTCAGTTGGTTAAGCATCCGACATTGGCTCAGGTCATGATCTCATGATTCATTTGAGTTCGAGCCCTGTGATGGGCTCTGTGCTAACAGCTGAGAGCCTGGAGGCTGCTCTGAATTCTGTGTGTGTCTCTCTCTCTGCCTCTCCGTATTCTTGGTCTGTCTGTCCCTCTCTCAAAAAATAAATAAACATTAAAAAAAATTAAAAGAGAATATGAGAAACTGAATAATTGAATGGAAGAAAAGCACAAGCTGCCCTCTGTTAGCAGTGATACTTTATATGGAGTGTCTTTTTGTGTGCTTGGATTTCTCAGGTCGAAGGGCTTACCGTAGAGGAAGTAAAGGCTGAGGAGAGTAACATTTATCAATTGTTCATTTATCACCTGTAATGTAGACTATGCTAGAAGGCTAATTAACATCCATATTTGGCATTATAATGTCTACACGTTATATAATAATGTGTTTCTGGAGAATCTTTATAAGAATGCCAAGTTGAAAGTTTTCTCTGATTCTGTTATCAAAGACAACCAAGAAGAAAAGATAATATTCACTGACCCTTGTCAAGGACAGAAAGCAGCATTTCAAAAGTCCAAGAAGGCAAGAACCTCAAAAGTAAAGGTTATGAAAAGCTATAAAAACTGGAGTCTGGAAAACAAAGGAACATGAGAGTCCCTCCAGGGCCTGTCCCAGCCTCAAAACTAATTAATTGTTGTTAGTCAGTGTAATGTTAAGCCTTCCAATTCACTCACCAAGTTCTTCACCCTAGCCACAGGCAACAGGTAGCGATCCTAAGGGTTAGGAGTGCTTTTGCAAGATGGCAGGCTAGTGTGAGCTTCTAAGCGGCAACACCCTTAGGGCTAGGTTTTGTTCTGACTAGGCTCTGACCTAGAAGGTGGCACTGTGCACAACACTGAATCATAAAAAATCACCTGCTCCCGTCAGCCTCCTTGGGAGTCAATGTGTAGTTTTTTAAGAAAATGCCAAAATGTTTTCCTGAGTAGCTGTACAATTTTGCATTCTCATCAGCAGTGTATAAGTGATCCAGTTTCTTGGCATCCTCACCAACATTTGGGGAGGTCACTGTTGTTTTATTTTATTCCCATTGTGGCTTTAGTTTACATTTCCCTAACAGCTGATAATGTTGCCTCTTCCACGAAGTGTCTGTTCCTGTCTTCCAGTGATTTTCTAGTTGTGTTGTGTTTTCGTTTTGAGTTTTGAGAGTTTTTACTATATTATAGATTCTCGTATTTTGTTGGATATCTGGTTTGCCAGCATGTTCTTCCACTCTGTAACTTGTCTTTTCGTTCTCTTAATGGAGGCTTTCACAGAGAGAAAGTTTGAATTTTGATGGAGTCCCCATCTGTCACTTTTTCCTTCATGGGTCATGCTCTTCTTCCTGAGAGCTCTTCACCTAGTCCTAGATCCTGAAGATTCTTGTTTCTTGATAGTTTAGTCTTAACATTTTACACAGAAGTCCACGATCCATTTTGAGTTCATTTTTTTTCTGAGTATAATGTATGAGACTTAACGTTTTCTTTCTTCCTTTCCAATCTGTTTGTCTTTTATTGCCTTTTCCTCTTTTTGCTTTCTTTTAATATATATATTTTTTTTATTTCTAGGAGAGAGAGAGAGAGACAGCGTGAGCAGAGGAGGGTCAGAGAGAGAGGGAGACAGAGACTCTGAAACAGGCTCCAGGCTCTGAGCTGGCAGTCAGCACAGAGCCCGACGCGGGGCCCGAACCCACGAACCGCGAGATCATAACCTAAGCGACAGTCGGACGCTTAACTGACTAAGCCACCCAGGCGCCCCATCTCTTTTTGCTTTCTTGCACTGGCTGACATTTACAGGTCTCCCTTGAGAAGTTCCTATCTTAGAGGAAAAACCTTTAGTCTGTACAGTTAAGTGCAACATTAGCCGTAGCTTTTTGTAGGTGCTCCTTATCAAGGTGAAGAAGGTCTTCTCTGGTTTTATTTTTCTTTCTGTATTTTTATCATGAGTGGGTGTTCAGTTTTGTCAAATATTTTTCTGTATCAATTGATAGGATCGTGTGATTTTTTTTCTTCTTGAGACTACGCATATGTTGGATTACACTGATGGTTTTTGAATATTGAACCAGTCTTACATTTTTGGAATAATCTCCACTTGGTCATGCCATGTAATCCTTCCTACATATTGTAGAATTATATTTGCTAGTATTTTATGTCTTTGTTCATGTGCAATTTATTATTTCAGCCATTTGGCAGGGTTCTCACATCTCCAGATTTTGGCGTCATGTTTTTTACTTCATTTATTGTGTTTTTCCGTTTTAAATTTTTCACATCTTCTATTTCTTTGCTTAGGATGTATATTATCATGTCTGCTTTAAACTCTTTGTCAAGTAATCCTAACGTCTCTGTCATCTTGGTATTGGCATCTACTGAGAACTCTTTAAATTCAATTTGAGATATTTCTGATTTTTGGTATGGAGAGTGATTTTCTTTACTTTTTTTTAAACTGCTCAGTGGGGAAGAGGATGCTATTCTTCTTTTTTTTTTTTAATGTTTATTTTGAGAGAAAGAGAAAGAGAGCGAGGGAGGGAGAGAATTCCAAGCAGGCTCCGCACTTTTAAGCACAGAACCTGACCCGAGGCTCAGTCTCACAAACCATGAGATCGTGACTTAAGCCGAACTCAAGAGTCAGACACTTAACAGACTGAGCCACCCAAGCGCCCCTGAAGAGTGATTTTCAATTGAAGCCTGTGCATTTTGGGTATTATTAGACTGACCCTTTATTTGGACATTTTGTGGCTGGCTTCTTGGACAGGGCTCTGGCAGGGGGAGGGCGGTGCTGTCACCTCACTCTGGTATGGATGCAGGTCCAGGCTTTCCATGTAGCTGCTGGTCCACAGACTCATTACCGCTGGGCAGGAAGCGCAGCTCCCCCAGGTCTCCACTGGTGCTCCCTGGCTGGGAAAGGTGGGGGGGGTCTTCTTACCCTCCTCCTCCCCCCCCACTCTCTGGGCATATAGCGCCTCTGACATCATTGCCCAGAGCCAGAGGGGCACCCGTCAGCCTTCACTCAAGCCGGTGAGGTGGGGATGGAGCCATAGTGAGTGTGCTGTTCGGTGGGAGCAGAGTGGTTTGGCCAAGTTCTCTATCTTGCGAGGCCACCTTCCTAGTCCTTTCACCAGAGGGAGCAAACTCTTGCTATGGCTTTTTAAAAGAAAGTCTCCACCATTGGCATTTCATTTCTGAGTCTGGGATGTGTGAGGCAAATGAAACTCCAGGGGACTCACCATCACGGTACCCCTTAGGCGCCAAGGTCCCTGGCCAGTCTGCCTGCAGTTCTTCACCTTCCAGAGTCCTCTTATGTTTGTTGTAGTACAACGGCCAGGGTTTCTTTTTTTTTTTTTTTTTTTTTTTTTTTACAGAATTAAACTAATATTTATTAACATTCCACTCTTACATTCCTTATCAGTTAAAAATGAAATTCATGAGCCAAAAACCCAAAATAAGACTTAAAACAGGGAAAAGCTTAAATCTAAATCTGGATTGCAGCATTAACAGTTGAACAGAGAATGTGATTTTTAAATTCTTAGCAGATGATAGGGGCGCCCGGGTATAGCTCAGTCAGGCATCCAGCTTCAGCTTAGGTCATGAACTAGGGGTTCATGGGTTCAGGTCCCATGTCAGGCGCCGTGCTGATAGCTCAGAGCCTGGAGCCTGCTTTCGATTCTGTCTCCCTTGCTCTCTTCCCCTCCCACACTCATTCTCCCTCAAAAATGAATAAATGTTAAAAAAATAAATAAATAAATTCTTAGCGGATGATAAAGTTGTGTGAAAACTAAAGACTTACAAATTATTTTAAAATCTAGACTCACTGACCAGAAATTACACAGTTGGATCATTGGAAAATGGCAGAGAGGGGTTACAAGTGAAGCTACGCTGTTCTAGTTGCACCCCATGCTCTTCTCAGAGGAAAGCCTGGCATTGATTAGATATTGGGCTAGGCTAATACTGGCAGCAGAGCCAGTGGTAGTAATTTGCTTTACCAGAAGAGCCTTCCACTTGATTGGCAATTTTGATCTGGGCCCTGGGCATCTGGCGGATCTCATTAATGTTGGCTCCTTGGCACCCGATTATGCAGCCAATTAAGTTATTTGGAATGGTGAGTTCATGGGTGGTTTGAATGTATGCATCCAAACTTGCCCAGTAGCCTTTCACCTCTGGCGAGCTGGAGCAAATTTCAGCGAATCAGTTTGTGCCGTGCATCATGGCAAAGTGAGGCTGTTGTCTTGCCACCTGCTTCAGCTTTGCCAGATCAAGTGGAGAATTGGTATGTTGTCCTTGACATGGAGGGGGTCCATTCAGGTCATCGGTGGCATGGGGGAGCCTGTGGCACCACTGTACCGATTTGAGCTGCCCACACAGATGACTGGAGAGCTGGTTGGCATGGGTTGGCACAGAGTGGTGATGACTGCCGTGGAGAGACTAGGAGGTCATCTCCAGCATCACCAGGGACATCTGCTTGACACACTTGGTGACAGACTGTGGCATGCCAGAAATTGTAAAGGCGTGCTCTATGGATTTGGGCAGCATATCCCCCGCCACCTGCACCTGGGACCCCCAGGATCTCTTTTTCTTATACCTGCCTTTGCCAGTCAGAAAGCTGCACTGAGCGACTGGGGGCCTGCTGACCACCATGCTGTTGGTCGTGGAGCTGTTAATATCTTCTTCCAGCATGCCAGTGATCACAGCAAAGGCCTTAGAGATGACATTGGTGGGGCTGGTTAGACAGTTCCACTCCCAGATGTTGATGCGATTTTCATCCAAGCACCACTCTCCTCGCGGATCCTCTTAACCAGCAACCCTTTCTTCCCAACAGTGCTTCCTATTTCCTTTCCACGCACAGCAGCCAAACAGTGAGCGTCACATTAGATGCCGGTGTGATTAAATGGCGTCCAAGAGGAGCAGCAGGCAGTGTTCAGGGGAGTTCCAGGGTTTCTGACTACACTTCTAAGGAAGAATAGGAAAGAGTACTTCTGCTTCTGTAAGCAGGAGCCCCAACTTTCTTCTCTGCCTTCTGAAACTGGGACTGTGGACAGTTTTGTCTGCCCAGAGTCCTAAGACAGGTTTCTTCAAAATCAGACCCAGACTTAAGGTTTCTCAGACTTCTGGGGTGCCTGGGTGGCTCTGTTGGTTAACCATCCAGCTCAGGTCATGGTCTCACGGTCTGTGGGTTTGAGCCCCATATTGGGTTTTGTGCTGACAGCATGGGGCCAGCTTGGGATTCTCTCTCCCTCTCTCTGCATCTCCCCTGTTCACTCACTCTAAATAAATATTTAAAAACAAAAACATTTTTAAAATAAGGTCTCTCAGACTTCCATTCTGCCTCCACACTTTCCCCTGCATGCCTCCCTGGTACTCTGACCTGCATGTGTCATATGTCCCATCTCTTTCTGGAGGCCTTCCTGATTCAGTGCCAGCTACCCCAGACTTTACAATAATCGGCCTGCACCATGTGGCCTCATGCTCCCTTCCGTGTGTTGTGTATCGGTTTCCACTTGTTCCGTGCGTCATTTGTGGTACTTTCATTGGATATACCTGGGTTGAAGCAGGAGTGGCCCCCCTGACTCTGGTTCCCTCCTTGACCCTCTGCTCTCTCTTACACCCCCAACTCTCATCTACTTCTTATCAGAGTCTGTGAGGACTTCTGCTGAGCACCTGCTGACTTCCACAGTCTGCTCCGGCGCCTCACTGGCGTAAGCCCCACAGCCCAGGCATGCCGGCTCCTGGAGGCGGTCTGCTCAGATCGCATGGGTCCCGCTTCTGCCCCCGTTCGTTCTGCCTGCAGGGACCTTTCCTTCCAGCTGCTCCTCATTCCTCCAGACTTGTGCCCTCCCTGACCACACCCCAAACTGAAACAGTCCTTTCTCCCCTCCTTATACACCTCTCGGTGCTGATAAAATGATACTGTAACTGCCACTCTACGGGTCACCTCCCTGGCTGTGAACTTCGGCCAAAGGAACACATAAAGATGATGTGTGCTTTCAGATGTCAGTTACCAGGTGAAGTAGGACTAGAAGCTGTTTTTAGTTGAAGGAGGAATACGTTTGTTTTTATGCTTATAGAATTGGGCTGGCTGCAGCACTTCAAGTGAAAACGGCTTTCAGGCGTATACTGCCGAAAAGGGTGGTTGGTGTCATGGACCAGTGAAGATTCCTAAGGGACCTGGGGGAAGGAGACCCAAATGGCAAGGACACCAGCTTGAGTGTCAGGGGATGGAAAAGGAACCTCCCCGGTACTGAAATTTCTCACTGTGGCAGAGGGCAGAGGCCTGGCTGCTCCTCAGTCTGCCCCATGTTTGTGACATTCGAGTTTCCCTGGTTTGGGGAAAGGGAGCCAGGCCCTGGCTTGGCTTGAGGTTGAATCTTTCACTCCACCTTATTTTTATGCACCCTTGTCAGAATAGAAGCAAGCCTCTTGAACTTCAGCTGCTTACTAGTGATGATCAGGCAAGGCTAAGTGCACTTTGAAATTATTCAGTTCTTCAGTCACCAGCCAACAGGACATGAAGCATAGCTATATTAACTTTTATGTGTTTATTTTTAAGTTTATTTATATTGAAAAAGAGAGAACATGTGCACCTGCACAGTGTAGAGTTAGAGAGAGAGGGAGACAGAGAATCCCAAGCAGGCTCCACACTGTCAGTGCAGAGCCTGACACGGGGCTCAGACTCACAAACCATCAGATCATGACCTGAGCCGAGATCAAGTGTCAGACGCTTAACTGACAGAGCCACCCAGGAGCTCTGAGCTTTTCAACCTCACCCATAGTACGCACTGTAGCCAGAGTAGGCAGTGGTGTGGGCTTCAGTTCAGCAGAAAGCAGCGATAGATTTTCTTTGCTGTAGGAGACGAGGAGGCTGAAAGGGGAACCGTCAGCAGCCTTGTCACACTTGCCTTTTGGGAGCCCTTGTCTGATTTTAAGATGTGAACTTTGCATGTTATATGGTTTCACACCAAATGTTATCTGTACCTCTCAGGACTTAAGAGTTTATTGAAATGCTCTTAGCTGCTTCATGCTTTTTTAAAATAAAGGTTATAGAACTTTAGCTTTGACTTTCCATTGTGTTTTTATCTCCTAATGTATTCCTGTCAGGTTGGATTTGGTCTAGGGAGTCCCAGAAAGAAATAGAAAAAGAGAGGGAAGCGTACCGTCAAAGAACGGCTGCTTTCCAGCGAGATCTTGAAGCAAAGTATCACGCTGTGATCTCAGAAAACCGGCGTGCAGTCGCTCACTTGTCTTTGGAACTTGAAAAAGAACAAAACAGAACGACTAGTTACCGATAAGCCCTTATCTCTCAGGGGCGCAAGTTGGTAGAAGAAAAGAAGCTTCTGGAACAGGAACGGGCTCAGGTCATGCAAGAAAAGAGACAGCTGCAGCCCTTGAGAAGTGCGTACCTGAGCTTCCTAGAAAAGGAAGAAGACTGGCAAAGGAGGGCCAGGCTTGTGCTGAAAGAGTTTGAAGATGCTCTTACAGAAAGACAGAACATCTACTGCAGCCTGCTCCTCCCTCGTGGGAGGCGCCTGGAAATAGAGAAGAGCTTACTGGTCCGAGCATCCACTGACCCAGTCGCTGCTGACCTGCACATGGCAGCTGGCTTGACCGACATATTTAAGCACGACACATACTGTGGTGACGTCTGGAATACCAACAGACGCCAGAATGGGAGACTCATGTGGTTGTATCTCAAATATTGGGAACTGATTGTTGAACTGAAGAAGTATAAGGGAGTTGAGAAAGCCATACTAGAGAAGTAGGCAGGAGTGAAGTGTAACATCTTCAATGACGCTGTGGCATTCTGGGGTATTGTGTTCTGGCTTCCTTCTGCTTTGCGCGCGTGCAGCACCTGTCAGCGGAGGGTTCTTCCACCCCACCACCCTCTGAGCAGGACACAGGGTTTCTTCCTTGACCCTTTTCAGCTCTTAAGGATGCAGTTTCTTGGGAGGATTTTTTTTTTAAGCTGTAATATTTTATTAGGCTGAACAGTGTAACCTCATATCTGTGCTGCAGGATAAGATTGTTTTTAAGAAAGTCAAATACAGTATTGATCCTCACTGTAAGTAGTTTTCTGTCTGTTTTTATCGATCCCTAAATAAATTCTGTTTTCTCCAGTTTTTTCTTTCCTAGAATTATAAATAAAAGCTGTCAGCTGTCGGATTGAACTGCCTAATGATGATTACAGAAAATAGTAATATTATTGGGGTTTCATGCTTTTATGGGGGTCTCTCCCACCAAAGGGAAAAGAAAGTGTATCTTGTATCCAGTTGATAATCTCGGTACATGTTTGGCATCTCGCTTGTGTCTGTATTCAGTTAGCACATATTTATTTGCAATGACATCTAATAAAAAATATTTGCCATATAAAAGCAACAATGCCATTTATTTGTGTAATTCTTTACTCTTTATAAAATGTTTTTGCATAAGTTATCTCCATTTTGCCACAAACTAAAGAAAGGTAGGCACTCATGGTCCATATTTCACAAAGCTAATGTGAATCGACCTCTCTCACGTCACCTCCATAATCCCACCCCTAATCTTAGCAGTAAATGGGAAGGACGTGTAGCAAATGCAGCAGAGGGAAAGGCACGTGGGGCCAAGTGAGGAGCTTGTGCAGCTTCCAGGGTCCTCTTCCACAGGAGTCATGGGAGCACTCCCCACTCTCCCCTGCACCAGCAAGGCCTATAAACTGTCACCAACATGGGACACCCAGAGACAGCCCAGGGTCTCTGTTGAGGACTGGTCGTGTGGGTACCCTCTGGCTGGAGTCCCAGATTGCAGACTCCCAGAAGGAAAGTTAGTGCTACCTCAAACTGCACAGAGTTTAGATACAATGGGCTGCTCTTACTGGTTATGGCAGGGGGCCCCTCCCCTAATCCAGGTTCCCCATGCCAGCCAGGGGCCAGCCTTGCAGCAGGCCTTTGGAGGACCTGCAGCCTCCTGTACAGGTGAGGCAGCTGGAGCAGGGGTTAGGAGAAATTGCCCGGGCAATGTGGCTCCAGAATTGCTGGTGACTTACACCCAGTGGCTTGGTAGCAAGTGGCCCAGTGACAGTTAGATTGGGGTCTGCCTGCTTTTGAACCCTATTTCCACCAGGCCTGCCCACCTGTCCGTGGCAGGAAGACAAACTTTTATAATACACGCTGACAAAAAGCAACGTTTAATAGCAAGGAAATATCATGAGCCTGATTTGGTCTAGGGACCAACTATTGCTGAGGACTTAATGGTACACTGGATGTGCATTGTTTGTGCTTGTGTGTGGTTTTTAATCGTTGGAACCATTTCAGAGATGAGGAAGCGGCTCGGAGGTACAATAAGTTCCCCCCAGTGGCTGGGGTCCTCCACCAGGCTCTGCTCTTAGCTCTTAGCTGCTGTGCTCTGTGCAGGACAGAGCTTTTCTTTTCCAGTGACTCATAAGGTCACCTTTCTGCTCCACTGCCACCACTCAATCCAAACAAAACATTCAGGTAAATCTGAACTAAAAAATTTTCCTGGTTACTTGTATTTGCTGGTGCATTATTCCCTTGCCTGGAGTAGTGTACATTCAGTTCCTATTACTCTACTGATGTTCCGTGTGTCCTTGGATAAACCACTTAATTCTTTCCCCTTGTTTTTTTCTTTAAAATGAGGAAAATTCAGCCAACCATTCAGTAGGTAACTTTCAATGCGAATTATTAACCCTCATCCGATTTTCTAATGTCAACATGCTCTCAGCCTAGCCTCCAATAGCTTGATAACTATGTTCATATAATTGAAGTCAGTTTAGACACTGGCTTGATACTGCAAGATCAGAAAGACAAATTTCCTACAGAAAATTATGTTAGGCCATGTTTGTATTTGCATGGCACAGCAGCTGCCTTCCATTAGCACATTTCATTGGGGGTTAATTCGATGCCATCCATCTTTTTCACATTATTTTTTATTAGGTTTGAAATGTTTACACCATGCCATGCCTATGTGATGACTTCACATATACACCAAAATATGTGTGGACTAAGAGACTACAGTGGAATATTATTGAAATAAAAGGGCTTAAAATTGACAAAAAGAACAGGAGCCAGGAGCTGTTTGAAATGTGCAGGATTTGTCGGGACTTGAGAGTCCAACATCGTCATTTGTCTGGGCTGCTTTCTGAAAGTTCTCAGTAACTGAAACCTTGAGCCAGCAAGACAAGGAGGGCAGAGCTCCGTCCCTGGAGGGGGCTGTTCCTGCTGTAGGCAAGACGAGGGATCGTTCCATGGCCTGTAATTTTAATTGATTTGGGGACACCAGGTTATTGTGAGTGGGGTTGCAGTGACATGCAGGAAGGGCTTTGGGGTGGTGGGGGGCGGTGTTTAGCCTCCTAATTGTACTTCCTGTGAAACTGCCTATTTCAGTGTGCTTCACTTTGGAATAAAGTTGGAAGGCACAGTGTTTGATCCAAATGTCCCAAAAATAATGCTATAATTTAATCCCACTCAACTTATTTGTTAAATATTCCTCTTCCCCTTGTTAAAGCTCATAGAGACAGATACAGGATTCTCACACGTATTTCTTTGTGTGTGTGTACAGTTGTGTCTGTCTATAATGTGTATATGACTGGCAGATAAAGTTAGTGATTTCATGGTGACAAAGTAATTCTGCAAACATTGCACCAATGATGTGGTGTTATGACAGGGCAGAGACTTCACCGAAGAACCTGTGTGTTTTTGAGAACAGAAGTTATGTTTAATTACAGTACGTAACAGAGTACTTCTGTGTGGGATCGTTCAAAAGTCTGATTGCTGAACAGTTTACCAAGATCATCTCTTTAAGGAGAGAGAGGATGGGGCGCCTTAGGTGGCTAAGTCGGTTGGGCATCCAACTTCAGCTCAGGTCATGATCTCGCAGTTCTTGGGTTCAAGCCCTGCATCGGGCTCTGTGCTGACGGCTCAGAGCCTGGAGCCTCTCTTTGGATTCTGTGTCTCCCTCCCTCTCTGACCCTCCCCTGCTTGCGCTGTCTCTCTCTCTCTCTGTCTCTCTCTCTCTTTGAAAAATAAATAAAAACATAAAAAAAATAAAAAAACGGAGAGGGAGGAAAAGTCTTTCTCATTAGGTCCACCATCTTAGTCTCACTTCATGAAAGCCGATCTGAAGTAAACACACAGGAACCGGGAAAGACTCAGCCATGGTATGTGCTCCCTCGGCTATCTTGTGATGGAGCATAGGGGCCCCCACCCAGCTCCGCCAGAGCTGTAGAGGCCAGAGAGATGTCCCCGAGCTTGCTGGGAGGGCTGTGCACAGCCAGAGGCAGGCCTGTCGGACCTGCCCGGACCCGCCTCCATGGGGTCTTGTGCACCTGTGCAAGGTTCTCCTCTCTTCCAGCAATGACAAAAACAGCTTCTCCATATCTCTCCACATCAGGACTCTGGCTGCAAGTAATAGACATCAATCTAAGCTATGTGAGACAGTAACAAGGAGGTGGTTTCTTCAAGGACATGTCATAGAACCTCGAGGCAGGAATGGAGAATGCAGGCCAGTTCCCCAGAGAGGAACCAGAAATGGCCAACAACTGTCAGGAACTCTGGATCAGTGGCCTCTCTGCTTCACATCTGCATATTTGCTGCAATCTTTCTCTTCCTGGCTCTCTGAGCTTGCATCTTACCTGTTCTATTCCCATGTGTGGCATTTGGGAACTACGGAGTTATATGCTCCTATGGCATTCGAATGGAGAGGGTGCGGGGAAATCAAGGTGTGTGGTTTTTGTTCACCTCAGAGGAAATCTTGAAAAAAAAACGAGGCTTCATGAGCCAACCGTTGGCGGCCTCTGTGGTGGCTCTGAAGGAAGTCCATCTTCTCCAGATCCTGTGGTAAGTCAGGATGCTGCCAGGGTGCAGACTGCAGGGAAGCATTGCACTCCGAGCCCCTCCTGCAGCCCTCACAGCCCCCACGCTGGCCTATGCAGAAGAGCCTGGAAATAGCTGCACCCAGAAGACTTGGGTTTCATGGGCCGGGGGTTCAAAGGGTGGGGCAGGGCACTCTGCAGTGGGGACTCCCTTATTTCCCTGTGTATAATGTCCTTGCGAGAACACTGGCTTCTACTGGGTGGCCTGCGGTCAGTGGGGGATGAGTGCCATGCTGCTGGGAGCCAGAAGCACGGAGGCTCATGGAGGCATGGAGGGGGGTGTTGAGAGGATTTATCACATGAGGGCAGATGCTGCTGCCACCACTGAGGTGCTAGAGGTGCTGAGAAGTGCCCTGCTTGAAAGGGGCTCTGGCACCGCTGCTGCCCACAGGCCAGGGCTGACTGTTGTACGTGATGCCTACTGATGTAGGTGGCTGATGCAGGGGAAGTTGTAGGTGGGTTTGGGCCCCAGGCGGATGGGATTTGGGGCTGGCTGGGGCAGGTGGGTGGAATTGCTCTGATGAGCATCAAGACCCAGATGATAGTCACAGTGCCTTCATCTATAGGGAGCTGCTGCGGTGGCCAGTGATAGAGAATGGGATCATAGGGTTTAGCAGGTGGCAGCTGATCAGGGTGTTGCTCAAGCCACATAATGAGAAGGAAAAGGAAAGCATCAGAGATAATAAGAGCCACAGGCCCATGTCTCCAGGTTTTCTGGCCACATCCCCCGCACAGAGGGTTCCCTGGGTCTATGAATCTCTCCTTGTCTGGAGTGTATAACTGGAAAGAAACATCTGGAACAAAAGCAGGGTAGGAAGGACCAAGTGGAAGCCCCTGAATCTGCATTCCCTCTTTGCCAGGATAGGCAACAGGAAGCAGTGCTGACTTCCTAGAGGAAGTGCAATGATGAACCCACCACAAAGGACCTGGGGGAGGCAAAGACCATGTCCCCGATGTGCTGGAAAGTGGTTTCCCAGTGTCCATCATGGCCCCACACTGTTCCTGTTTAATTCAGCTGTCTGGCCCCTGGGAGGACCAGGTGCATTTGGGCAGTGACGGGCCCCTGAGCTTCACCAGGAGGAGATGCTGTCGAGCTGCCATGTGGTACATTTGCAACCTCTTGACACTTGGCCCTCTGCCCCTCTCCGCCTATGTGATAAGGTTTCACGTCCCCACAGTTTGCCTTTGGGTTGGAGCCATGCCCTCCTCAGCATGAAAAGCACAGGGATGTGCCTGGGCCCTGGCAGATTCCCGTGAGCGACATCACGTGGGCATTGTCAGAGCCTCCAATTCCCAGGCTGGGCAGGTGCAGCAAAAGCCAATCATGGCCGGAAACGGTACTTTCAGGGTTGGGGCCCAGCAGGTCCCCAGGAACAAGGATGGCACAGGAGACATAGGTCATGCTTGGGCTGCTTCACATGCTTCAGAGTTCTTCTAAATGTGCCCCCCACCCAGCCTCTTTGGCTTTTATACATTGGTTGTTCTTCGGGCGCACCAGGAACCGGAGCTGTCGGGAACATTCGCCACAAGTAGAGGCCTGCGTGCCTACCTCCTGCCTCGGCCGCCTCAGCATCCCTGGGCCCATCTCCACCACAGCCGCCCATGTGCATGCTGGGGTCCGGTCCCACCAGCCACAGACACAAACAGTTGAAATTAATCCACTCTTTAGAGTTGGAATTAAATCATTGCAAAAGTTCGCCCTAGGACTACTCTCTTTCCAAGAGCTTCTTGAAATGACAAACTCCATGTGACTGAAATAGGGTTCAGAGACTTTGCCAGCAGGATGGACCTGTGGGGATGGCAGAGGGTGAGCAGAGCAATGAGAGTGGTGGCTCAGATAGCAGATCTGAGGGGCAAGGAGAGTTAGAAGTCACCTCTTTCCCCCTCTCCTACCCACTTGTTGGATGTCCTTCTTTCCTGAAAGATCCAGGAGGAACATTATTGCCTTCCTCAGCAAGCAGACTCCTGAGATAGTTGTCACTCAGGAGACCCACACCCTAGGCAGCCCTGCTTGGTTGTGGAGAGAAAGGCATGGGACATACCTGGGGAGAGAGCATAGGATTACCTGGCAGGGCCTTACCTGGGGGAGGGGGGCCTGCTGTTGGACAGAAGACAGAGCCTACTCACACAGTGACTCAAACCCCCCTTGGGAACTTGGTGGTTCAAGTGGGGTGGGTCAAGCCCTAGCCTCTACCTTGAGAAAACCTTTCAATTTCATACTCTTAGATACTTTAAAAAAAATACAGACTGCATTGAAATTAAAGCCACATCTGAATAAGTCACACTGTTGTTTTATTAGTATGTAATCAACTTATCACTCAGCCCTTTGCATGGGTCAGATATTAGTAGACACTCAGTCCAGACATTGTAATTAAGCATTTATGCACCAGGACTCGACCCCTCAAACCACTCAGATGTGGCACAACCTGCTCCGTGGCAGGTTCTTGTGTCTTCCTGGTCCTGACCTGATGCCTGGGCTCCCCCTCCTTGCTCACATCCAGCCCAGCACTGCTCCACTGTTCGCCACCACCACCGTGGAGCTCTGACACCCAAGGGGCCTTGAGTCACCTCTCCTGGAGCCAGGGTTTCCACTTCTCTAGTGCCAATGGATGTCACATACAAGTTTCACTAAGAGACACTTCAAATGGTGGTGCCCGGGGGATTGGGTGCCCAAGCCTGCTGACTCAGGATGCCCAGGGTGCTGCACAGCTGAACTACAAGCCCCCCTTGGCTTGCTCAAGGGCCTACTACATTTGTTCCAATGCTCTGGAAAAGTTTTCTAGAGCAGTTTTGAAAGCTTGCAGCAAAAAAGCTCCAAGTTCATTGCTTGTTTCTTGGATATCTGGGTCAAAACTTCCAAAGAGGGGTGTGCAGACTTGGATGTCACCCCTGCCAGCCCTAAGCAGCACAGCCCGGAGGTCCTCGGCAATCACATCATATTTCTGCTGGTCAAACTTGGACATGGCCAGCTCATCCTGGGGGTAGGCGGTACCCTCAGGGTAGCAGTCCTTGGGCACTGGGAACTCAACACACCGAAGCTTGGGCAGCTCACAAAGAGCAGTGAAGAGGCGTCTCAGAGCCCGGGCTGACAGTGGGTTCCCCAGGAAGCGGAGCTCACAGAGCTCATGGCAAGGGCTCAGGGCCAAGATCAGCATGCTTATGTGGCTGTCCTCAATGCTGCACTCCTCCAGGGAGAGAATCCTCAGTGTCTGCGCAGCCCGGCCCAACAGCCTGAAGAAGGTTGAGGGGAACAGGCGGAACAGGCCATGTCCACTGAGGTCCAGCACCTCCAGATATGTGCTGTGGGCACAGTCTGCCAAGAAGGCCATGTCTGCGTGGTTCAGGGAGCAGTTGGCCAGGTCCAGGACCCTCAGTGGTGTCCTTAGGGGGCTAGGGCAGGACGGAAAACAGCACAGGTGAGAGGCAGCACACCGCCGCCTTGCTTTACTCAGCCTAAAAATAAAATGGCTTTTACATATGTAAACATTGGAACAAATCAAAAGAAGAAAGATACTCTGTGACATGTGAAAATAATATGAAATTCAATTTTCTGTATCCATAAATAAAGTGTTATTAGAGCTAGGGTAATGCATTTGCATGCTCTCTGTGACCGCCTCGGGGCTGTGATGGCAGAGCTGAGCCTTAAACCAGTGGTATGGCCAAGTGTGGAGAAGAATTAACCCAAAACAGGTCTGGCCCTGGTCATCAGTTCCTAAAATGTTAAATCTGTTTTGTCAACCACCCACTGTGTCTGTTCACATGCTTGCTGTGGGGCAGTGAGGTGCACATGAACTGGCACAAAACAGCTAGCTTCATTCTGAACACAGAGAGGAAGCCCTCACAACTTTAGGGTGGGGAAGAGCCATGGAGCCATCTAGTCCAGACTTAGCCTTGCCTGGAACCCTAAACACCCTCCTGTGTTCTAATGTAACTGGGGTAGGTGGCCCGGCATCAGCAAAGGCACAGCTGGGGTGAAACCCTGCTCTGGCAGGCAGTTCTCAAAGCCAGGAAGAGCCCCGGACTTGTGAAGAATGCGCATTCTCAGCCCACACTGCCCTGGGGTCTGGTGCCACCAGGCTGAGCACTCAGTGCAGGAGAGAATATGGGGTCCTGTTTTCTGTCGCCCCCTCCTGCCCCCCACACTGGTACCTCCTGGGTGCTGAGAGTCTGCTGTCTACTCACCATGCTTGTCCTTTCCCCAGACCCTCCATCCAGGTCTGCTGTGTGGGTCAAAGAAGCCAGAGAAGCCCTTGTGAATACGAACGTGATCACATCTTCCTGCTCAGAACCTCCAGGGACTTTGCTTGCTCAGGAACAGCCAAAGCCCTCCCTTTCCTCCCCTCCCCTACTCACCTCTCTCTCACACTGTCCTGCCTACCAACCCCAACCTTCTCCTTGCTGACCCCTGATCCCTCCATATTACCAGCTTGCACCCTTTGTGCCTCTCTCCAGGCTGCTGCACAGCCTGCCTTCTCAATGCCCTAGGTCTCTGCTCAAAGTCACCCCAGGGAGTGAGACTTCCCCGACCACCCCCCAGTCCCGCTCCTGTTTAGCCTGGCACACTCACGCTCGGACCTTCCTGGCGTCTCGCCTCGCCAGGCTCTCGACAATCAGCCAGACTGAAACACTCGTGGGAGCACATACTCCGCCAGTGGAGGTCAGAGTGGAGGGAGATGGGAAAGCCTGAGAGGGGCTGAGCTAGCAAGACGGCCCCGCTAGGCTGGCGATGGGTGGTCTGGCTTGTGGAACCAATCTGCCCCAGTGGCAAAGGCCCATCTAGGCTAAGGCCGTATGCAGGACTGTCCTGAGGGTCTCAAAGGGCCAGCCACCATATGTCAGAGTTCATGCACACACGAGCGCAAAACCGTCCTTTCTTGTGTCAGGGGATTGGGGTGAGGAGGAAGGGAGCCCTCATTTCTCTCTGTGGAAGACCTGGGACAGAAGACCAGGGATGGGGGCCTGGGGCAGGCAGGGTGCCCACCAGGGGAGGAAAGGTGGGTACAGCCCTTAGTCAGCAGCTTCTGGGTTTCCTTTGTATAAAAGAGAAACGTCTGTAAGCCAAGGACTCCCTAAACTAGAAGCTACATATTCACCCTCACTGGCTCAAGAAAGAAGTTTAATTTTCTATGTTGCCAGCAAGGTGGCGCCCTGGCCCTCCTGATGCTCCCACCCTTGTGTGGTGCCCTCCCTCATGTGGGTGGACCCCCTGACTGGCTCCAACGCAGTGCACGGAAGTGCGGACACACCAGTCGCTTGGGACTGCGGCTTCTGTCTGGGTGATCTCTGGTTCTCAGATCAGCCTCCCTCTCGCGAGAACGCCAGCAGCCAAGGTGCAGAGGCCACCTGCCAACAGCCTCACACCGAACTTGCAAGTCTATTGCCTCACCTTCCTGGCCCACCAAGCTTCAGAGGAGACCACAGCCCAGTGGACCCAAGTCGTGCTGGGCTCTGATGGAGCCTGTCGCCCACCATATGCTCGGTGTTGGAGTAATTTGTTATGAGGCGTACAATTAATATAACATAACATAGGCACTTGTATGTTGTTTGTTTTGCTAATTTTCTCTTCTGCCCGCTAACCAAACACAGTCCTCCTTGAGTTCTCTGTGTTGCCAGACTCCACACAGCCTGACCGCCCTGGGTCACATCCCTCTGTCTGTGCCCTCCTGCTGCTCCGGGCCCTCATGGAGTGAAGGTGAGGGAGCCGGGAACCTTGTGGCCTTATAAAATGATAGATCCCATCTTCGGCCTGGCTGCTGAGAGGGCCCTGTGTCCCTCAGACCCATGCTGAGGAGCTGTGAACAGAGACATCGCTAACCTGGCCCACCCTCCATCCTGTCACCCCCCAGACTCACCCGAGCAGCTTCTGAACCTTCCCTGTCAGGGTGGAGAAGGCCACACTCAGCTCCGTGAGCTGGGTCATCTGGCTGAGCTCCCAGGCGATGGAGGCGAGGAAGGGGTCTTCGCCATGGGGGCTTAGGGGGCTGCTGGGAGGCGCATCGAAGGCCTTGGCCGGCAGGGTGAGCGAGGCCAGCTGGGGGAAGCCCACCTGGGCCAGCAGCTGCTGCACGTGTCCCGCATGCAGTCGCACATTGTGCACCACTTCCAGCTTGCGGAGCTCCCCAGGCCCGGCCAGACGCAGCACGTGCAGGAGCTGGCTGGGGCCCAGACTGTCTGCGCGGAAGGAAAGGCAGTGCACACGCAGTGGGGCAGGGCCTGCTGGGCCCAGGGCCTGCACCACCACCTTGAAGTTGCCCTCAGTGACAAAGAGGTCAGCAAGGACCCGGATGGGGCGCCGGGCGGCGGGGGGCGCGGCCTGCAGCTGGCAGCAGGTCCTGGCCAGCAGCTCTGTGCGGCCCCACCTGCCCAGAGCCCTGCCACAGGGGCACCGCTGCACCCGCACGTCCCGGATGCCCGTGAGGTCTGCCACCCGCAGCCGCCCCGGGCCCCCGGCCCGCAGCACGTGGTCCGCGAGGCCCTGCACGCAGGCCTCCAGGCAGGCCCTGCAGGCGCGGTCCCGCAGGTCGTCGGGGGGCTCCGAGCGCGGCCCCAGCAGCGCACCCAGCCGGAACTCCTCCAGCGGCCAGCGCCCCAGCAGCGCGCGGACCACCCCCGCCTGCTCCAGCAGGTAGCTGGCTTTGAACAGGAGCGGGTAGAGATTGTAGGCCACGCCGTCCAGGCTCTGCTGGGCCACCTGGGGGTGAGACACCAGGGTCTCAGCAGAAATGAAGCGCAGCGACCTCATTGTGCCCGCCTGTGGCGGCCGGAAGGCAGGACCGTGCTCTCCCCTTGCGAGTCTCCCAAAGATGTCCGCCCTTCTCACTTATTTTTAGCTGCAGCTGCTGTGAGCAGCTCGGCCAAAGGTGGGAGCAGGCCCTCTGGTCATCTGACAGCTATTTTGGTCATAGATGCTTGTTTGGCTCTGGCCCTGGAGGTGTCAGCCAGTGGCCAGTCTGTCCTTGGGGCGCTCAGCTGGTGAAAGCAGAGCTGCCCTAGTGCTTGGCTAAGGGGCACCGGGCCCCTGAAAAGTGCTGCCCGTGCCCACTGCAGGGGGTCCTGTGCTTGGGAGCTGCAGTGGGCACCACAGCCCCGCCGTGGACCAGGGGGACCGCAGACCAAGGCCCTCCTGCCCAAGGCCACGTCCCCGCAGAGCCAGGCTCCCGGGGTGCGGCGCGCGGGCGATGTCCCTGGGCACCGCAGGACCAAGCCAAGAGCAACGTGACTGCGTCTTAGAAAAACAGGCCCCATTTATTTATGTTCCCGAAGGTGAGAACAAGTCAGCATTGAAACAAAGTAGCAATGGAAACGGCTCAGAGCAGCTGGGAGCCGCAAAGGCAAAGTCCCAAAGTCTCTCTGGTGCGGACCTTGCCTGTCCCCGCCCCGTTCCAGGTGGCTGAAGTCCGGCGGTGCTGCCGCCCGGGGGATGCGCGTCTGTGGGGAAGACACCTGCCGCAGGAAACTCGTGAGAGGTCTGCCGTCTACGCAGGCTCTCCCTGCTTACTATTATTCTGCTGCGTTCGGTGAGGGGTGGTCCTCTCCGGGCCTTCTCTACAGCCCAGACCTCAGGCCCAGCTGCTCCAACGTGGGTCCCCGGCCTACAGGTGGTGACCAGGAGCCCCACTACCGACACGTGCCTTATCAAAAAAGAAAGGGAACCGGCATTCCAAATACGCTCAGGTGCACCCTGTGTCTGCGACACACCTCACTGGGGGCTACTAGGGAACCATCGCCCATGGGCCTCTGTGGCCTGGAAGGCCGGGAGACCCGGTCCCAGAGGGCTCACCCTGCTCTGAGACACCCCAAGCCTGCCTGGGCCTCCCCATGGGAACCAGGGATCCGTGTGTTTCCTCCCCAGCCTTAGCACACCCCTCGGAGCACGGAGGGGTTCAGAGCAGTACAGGTGTGGGGTTCTGGGCAGCTGGCCCTCTGAGCCCGTGGACTGGGGTCGAAGAGTCGTGGAGGTGGAATGGCGGGAGGCGAGGTGATGGCCAGGCAGGCAGGGCCCACGGCGTGCTGACGGGGGGTGGCCAGCAGCTACGGCCTGGGTGCGTCAGGAGGTCCCAGCATGAGTGCCTCATTCCCAGCCCTCAGGCACTGGTCTGGGCTGAGGGTCCTCTGCCCCATTTGGCAGGGATTCTCCCTGGAAGGGCTGTCTCATCCAAATACCTCACAGCTGTGAAAAGAATGAGGGTCGTTACTCATACCCCACAGCCCACCCCACCCAGCTGCTTGGTGCCCGGGACGTGGACAGCACAGAGTCCTTGGCTGGGAGGTGCTGCGTGAGGCCTCACGCCCTGCAAGGTGCTCTCAGACGCGTGGACACACATCCATTTTTTAAAAGCACTTCAGGTGCACCTGGGAGGCACAGTCAGTTAAGCGACTGACTCTTGATCTCAGCTCAGGGCATGATCCCATGATTCATGAGTTCAAGCCCCACATTGGGCTTTGTGCTGACAGTGCAGCGCCTGCTTGGGATTCTCTCTCTCTCCTTCTCTCTGACCCTCCCCTGCGTGTGCTTTTTCTCTCTCAAAAAATAAATAAGTAAACATTAAACAATTTTTTTTAAAAAAAAAGTAGAAGCACTTGGGGCCAGCATGGGCGAGGTCAGGGTAACAGAGACAAGGGCATTCTCTGCAAGGCTGGCTGCACTCATGGTGGATTCATCCCTGGGTCTGGGTCCAGGCAGAGCCTACAGGGCAGTCACCTCGGCTGGCATCACGATGCATTTAGAGGTAAAAACGTTCTGACCCTGAAACGTGTCAGTTCTGTTTGCTGTTCTGATCCCAGAACGTGAGTGCGTGTGTACCTCAGAGCACCACCCTCCAGCATGGCTCCGGGGCACGGGCTCTGTGAGTGGGTGTTGGGGAGGTACCCTGTTCTCAGAAGGGCAGGGTGCCAGGTTCCCCAGGAGCCTCTGCTGGGAGTGGTCCCCATTGGCTCCTGTGGCCAGGCTTCTGTGGAGTGACCACACCAGGGTCTGCGGGCCCTGTCCTCTCAGAGGAGTGAATGCCTGAACTCTCAGAAATCACCCTCTGCCACCCTCTTTGACATGGTTTCTAGGGGTATAGGCAGTGAGGTCCCCGGGAGGTTGGTCCAGGGACAAAGGGGAACAGCCCCGCTGGCCAGGGTGCTCCTCCCAGGGGGCTGTTAATGTCCAGCCACGTGACTGTGCGTGGGAGCATATGGAACAAGGCAGAGTCACAGCCAGGCTGGGTGGCTGGTGGTGGCATGTCCAGCATCTTAGGGTGACAATGGATGAGACTCCTCCCATTACTTCAGGGGAAGCCAAGACAGCCCCTCACCTAGGGAGTGTTTTGTCTGCCAGTCAAACCACTGGCCGAAGGGGAGCCATTCACCAATTAGAGCCCAGGTCACTGGTCATCACCAGTGACCTAGGCTCGTGGGCCAAAGACCTGTCTCCCATACTCTTGACTCGGCATACCCTCAGACTTGGCCCTTCCCTCCGATGCTGCCTAGAAGGCAGACTGGGTGTCTCCCCAGAACTGAGGGATGGCTCTCACAGAGTGGGGGGAACGAGGGTGTCTCCTCAGAACCAGGATAGTGCTTCCTGCAGTGGATGCGTGTATGACCTTGGGCTGGGTGAAGGTTGGCTGAGAAGGGCTCTGTGTGTGAGTAGACCCCCACCCTTTCTTGCCCTGGTCACCCCAGTCCCTCCCTCTCAGGGGCCATGTATCTGCGTGTACACCCTGGGTGGTGTCTGCCTTCTCCTGTGCTCCCAACAGTAGCCGGGCACCCACGCTAAGAACACAGAGCGGGCAATCCTCGGGCACAAAGACCCATCAGGAGGACCCTGGGCAAGTCCTGAGCGTGCCCGGCAGCACCTGGGCCTCTTGCAGGGAGGTCTCAGGAGAGGGTACTCACGGTTGTGGTGAACTGGCTGTGGAGCTGCGGCTGGGAGCCCCTCCTGAGGACAGCAGGGGAGGCGCTCTGGTGGCCCTCCTCAGGGAACAGCCCTGGGAGCCCGAGGCCACCGGCCCCCAATGACGTGCACTCGGTCACTGCAAAGAGGGGCTGGGTCAGGGGTGGCTGCCCCTCTTGCTTCTGTGCTCGGCACTCAGGGCCCCCTGAAGCGTGTGAACAGAGAGCGAGGCCTGCCCTGTGTGCAGAGTTACTACAGGACGGCGTGAGGCGGTGTCAGAGCAGATGGGACAGCGCTGCTGGAGGCGACACCTTACGAGCAAGTGTCTCCTGACCCTGCTTTTCTGAAATCAGAGAAGACTGGGTGGGATGAACTCAGGTGACCTCTCTACCGGCAGGAGGCCTCTGGCTCACACCAGGCAAGTCCAGGGGTAAAACCAAAAAATGAGGCCAAAGAAGGGCCACATGGCTTAAATAAAAAGCTGAAATAGGACAGGATGAGGTCTTGGCCTTAAAGGTCTATTGGGGGCTGTACTGTATCACTGCACACAAGCCACGGCCACGGCCCTGCTGCATAGGCACAACTTCCATGTGGCAGGGGTGGGGGGTTCCCACACACTTCTGTGCAGGGATCTCAGTGCTGTCTCTGCACGGAGCCGAGATGGCTGAGCGGAGCCCTCCCGCATGGGCTAGGGAGCATGGCACCAGGAAAGTGCAGTGGCTCTGGGCTGGAATGTGGGTGTGCCCCCAGCCGTGCTCCCCGTGGGCCTGCCCGGAGAACGAGCCTGACCAAGGTGGCTGATGCTGTTCTGAGCAGGTGTGCAGCCCGTGGCACACCTGGGCACCCCCAGCAGGCTTCAGGCACACGCCTCCATCTGGGCAGAGATGCCTTTGTGGTCGGCGGTGCCCTCAGGGGTGTAGTCACGGTGGCAGCGGCCCAATGGGGGCCTGGGTGGATGCGGTCCCAGGCAGTTACCCTGAGGAGGGGCCTCCCTGGGCAGTGGAAAGGATTTCTCTGGAGAACCAGACACCTGTGGCCCTCCAGGCCATGTGTGTAGTGATTCCCCACACACAGGACACTAGGGAAACAACCACTGATGCCCTGCCAACACGCCTGTTCCCTCCACGTGGAGGCTGGTGCTCAGAATATTCGGTGAGCGCAGGCCTCTCCATGTGCAGTCGGCCAAGGGGGGACCTATGTGGGCGGCTATGAGACCAGACAGCGTGGACACAGTCTGCATGATACACGTGACTCAATCCCCAAAGGCTGCTTGTGCCCCATTCATATACCTGTGGTCACGGGTACGCTCAGCCCCGTCTCTACTTTCTCTTGTCAGCCCTTCTGTTCTCTCTTCTTTCTATGTTCTTTTGGATCGACCTTTCCTGAGGATCCCATTTTATCTCCCCTGTGGGTGTATTTGCTGTTAAATCTTTGCTTTGTTATATTAGGGGTCATTTGGGTTTAAAATGCAGATCTACCGAGTTACAATCTGCCCCCAGTGGCATTCACACCTCCGCAATCGTGCACGGCTGAGAACCGCCACATTTCCATGGTTCTCTGCTGGGCCCAGGCACCACAGGTCTCTGGCATGTCACCCCTGTGTTCATTTGACCCCATGCTATTCAAACAGCCACTGTTTGTTCCAGAGATTTAAACAGAAGAGCCTCCTTTCTGCAGCCTTTACTCCACCCCGTGTCACTGCCCTTCTCCTTGGGGTTGGCTGGTGAGGGAGGGTTCCAGCTGTCACATGCAGGAGCATTGCTTCACTTTGTCTCACTGTTCCTGAAAGACACATTTGTCACGTTGAACTTTGACGGTTGTCAGACAATGACGGCCCACAGCACTGTCTGCCGTGAGAAGTCCCTCTGGCTGCTTTCAAGATGTCTGTCGCCACTGGGTTTCCATTCTGTGTGCTTGGGGTTCACGGGTTTTCTTGGGCCCTTGGGTTTATACCTTTCATCAAGTCAGGGAAATATTCAGCCATTGTGCCTTCAGAGTCTTGTCCCTCCACTTTGGGGACTCCGGTACCTGTTTATTAGGTCGCTTGAAGTTGTCACACAGCTCACTGATGTTCTTCTTCCTTGATTCTCTGTGTGTTATTCTGGACAGCTTCTATTGATACATTTCCACTAACTTCTCTTCTGTCAAGTCTTACTTCCTGGTAACCCTACCCAGAGACATGTTCATCTCAGGTATTTGTGGCCTTTTATCTTAGATTGTCCGAGCTATCTTCCCTGTCATGTCTTCATGTTGTGGGCACCAGGGACACAGAATGATGGTGTGAATACCAGGACTGGCGATTTTAACAGGCACGTCAGTTCTGGCCGATGTTGCCTGATTGATTACTGCCCTTGTGATGGTCTGTTTCCTACAACCTTGCATGCCTGATACTGGACAGTGTGAGTCTACCCTGTTGGCTGCTGGATAATCCTATAAATCTCCTTGAGGTTTGCTCTAGGATGCAGTGAGGTTACCTGCAAATGTCTTCCATCCATGACACGGTGGCAGGTCAGCAGCAGGTGCCAGTTCAACACCCTACTCTGACCAAGCCCCTCAGGGGACCTGCCGCTGCCCCAGGGATGAGGCTGCTGCTGTCTGTGCATTGGGGGGGGGGGGGGGGGGGGGGGGGGGGGGGGGGGGGGGGGGGGGCAGAGGTTCTGGGCTGGGCGGCCTCCCCAGGTGCAGTGCTGACCAGCACTCTGCTGAGCCCAGACCCCAGAGGCCAGGCAATGCATGGGGCTCCCCTGGTCTGTCCTTCTCCACTGGGAGTCTGCAGGCTCCCTGCACTGCCCGGGGGCTCTCAAGGCAGAAATCGGACCAATGACAGGGATGTGTGACACATCACATTCCTGCCTCTCAGGTCACTACCTTTGGTGCCAGATGTCCTATGTCTTAAAATCTTGTTTCACATGTTTTGTCTGTTTATGTTTTGTTTTGTCTGGTTTTTGTTTGCTTGCTTGTTTTAAATCTGCTTCCCATTACCTCATTTTGGGTGGAAGTAAAAATTTTTGTTGTTTGTTTTTATAATTAAAGAAAAATTAGAATGCGTTTGAAAGCTTTTGGAAGTGCACAGGAGCAAGTGAGATAAATGGGCACGTGAACTGCCCCCGTCCCCAGAACCGGCTGTCAGGGGCCGGAGCGTGCCTGCCCCCGTGCCTAAGCACACTCACACGTGGAAGGCTGCCTCCCCGTCTCCTGCTCCAGCTCATCCTCCTCCTCGAAGCAGGTGCGCATGTCGTACGGCCAGGGGCAGGAGGCAGAGCCCCTCAGGGCTGGGCTGGCAGCAGCATGCAGGCCCAGGGGCCCCAGGGCAGAGGAGGACTGGCTGCCAGAGGAGGAGGTGCTGCTGTCTGAGATGGTAGAGTGTGGCCTCTTAAAGGAGGCAGCGTGGTCACAGGGGGGCACAGCTATGGGTGCTCGGCTCCGTGACTCTGGAAGGGGACAGAAAGCAGGTCAGTCTGGCTTTGGCTCCAAAAGTATAGTCCAGACTCGAGAACGAAATGGCCATCTGAAAGCTGACTGGTCCCTCTCACTGCAGTCATGTCAGGCACGACGTGGCCACCACTCGTCCAGGCCACCATGCTGGCTTTTGGGGCCCACAGTGGGTGCCAGGGCCTGAGTCTGAGCCGGTGGGACAGAGTGAGGGTGAGGGCTGAGGCCACATTACCTGCCCCCTTCCTGATGGCCCGATCACTTATGGCTGCATCGCTGGGCTGGATGTCCGTGAACGGTTTGTTGCCCATCCCCATTGACACCATTTCCTGCATTCTGAGCTCTAAAACAGAATAAGGTAGGACAATTTTCCAAGCAACTGCTTGGCTTTGACACCATGCCTGATGATGCTCTGCACCCAACACCGTCTGTCCAGACTGGGAGCATGTCGGGGCCTGGCCCAGCCCCCTCCCCAAATGTCGTTGGGGGGCCAAGGTGGTGGGGCTCCTGTTTGGGCACATGCATGTGGTCTGGCCTCATGGTGGCTTCTCTCAAGGAGCTCAAGGGAGTAAACAAGAAAAAGGAGGACACGGGACCTGGGTGTCCCACTGGGGAGAGAAGGGAGGTGTTCCCTGTCCCCATGAAGGACAGTTTGCTGCACAGCAGGCCCAGCTTGCAGGAGACACATGGCTGCCAGAAAGACAAACTGACAGATGTCTGCATGTCTTTGAATATTGAGCATAGGATAAGAATCTGAGAATGAGTTAATCCCTAGTAAAACCAAGCCAAGGAAAACAAATATAATGATTATAGTTGGTAGAATAGTGGGGAGGGAGGGACAGGAACAGAGGAGATTGGGGAGAGCAACCGGGACAAGGCCAGGGGGGCTTCCTGCTGCGTGAAAGGGCTGGCTCTGCTCCAAGGAGACTAAGGGGCCAGTGAGTATCTGAGCAAAGTCACAACGCAACACACCATGTAGGCACATGCATGTGTACATGTGTGTATGCGCACACATGTGCATGTGTATATATGTGTGCAGGGAGGGGTCTACCCTTTGAAGGAAGCTGCTGGGGGGAAGCCATATGGCATCTCTCATGACAGGTCAAGGCTCTGGTCAAGGCAACTGCTGCTAAAGGGGCCAGGTAGTTGTGTTTAGGTGTTTGGACCTTGGAGCCCTTGGAGTATCTCAGACCTGGGGGGTCAGAGCTGCCATCAGGAGGGCCATCTTGGAGAAGCCGCTATGTAGATGACATTTGCAGATGGCAGACCGGATGAAATGCCACCCTGTGGGTGTGAACAGAGATGAAACTGGGGGGTCGAGGGGAAGAGGAACGAAGGGGGCTGACTTGCAGGCACAGTAAGCCTGGGTGGGGTCCTGGCACACGGTGCATGGTGCCTTACAGAGGCGTCCCTTACCTTGAGGGAGGCCACAGGCTGTCCACCAGCCCGTCTTCCAGGAGGACATGGTGCTTTGACAACAGGGTGGGGTAGAAAGCTGACCCCAGTGAGCCTAAGGTGTCGTAGGGCAGCGTCATGACAACCTCTCTGGAGCTGCCGTGGTGTGGGGACAGGGGCTTTGTTTACCCACGTGTTTGTGTGCTGATGGAAGGATTCCAGCCATTTCCACATAAATGGTGCTGACTGAGGAGCCCTCCCAGGGACACCTGGGCCCTAGGGCTCTGCGGGGGCAGCCTGGCCCATACTGGCCCCAAACGCCTACCCAGGTCCAACCCACTAACCCCTGAACCCAGTCCCTGACCCCATGCCCCTAGCCTGAACTTAGCCCCTAACCCTTGGCCCCAAACCTCCACTCCAGGGCCAGGGCCCTCAACACAGAGCTGCTCTGCACAGTCCTCTCGCCCACCTCTGTTCCGCAGAGCCTGCCGCCACAGGATCTGCCCCAACACATGGGTCCAGGCTGTCTTGACCTCTGCAGAGCTGGCCTGGAGAACGTAGGTGTCCTGGGGTTTCCGCCGTCTGCGGAACCAGATCTCAAACCTCAGGCCGGTGTCTCCAATGTTCTCCGTCATGCCAATCTCAGCTGTCTGCAGCACAAGCAGGGGCGGCAGCATCAGCAACCACGGATCCCACTGAGCACTCCCTGCTGACTGACCGACCCCAGCACTTCAGTGGTGGGGTCCTTTCACCCAGACACCAAACGGTGGGGTCGAGGCAGGATGGGGCCCACAGGATGAACTGGGTTCCATTCCTGTGCACTGGCTCCCTCTTGGAGCCTCAGTTTCCCCACTGGAGACAGGAAGGCTGGACTGGAAGGTTCTGTGGCTGCCGCACCGGATGGGACTACAGAACCCCAACTGATACACTCCTCGGCATTGGCAGGTAAGGGCTTATGGCCCTGGGACCCTCTCAGGAGCTCTCAAGCTCGGAACCTCAGTCAGGGGAAGGTCACACCTACAGACATGCCCAGGGAACACTTCCCCCTCGCCTGAAACGAAGTTTCCGATTGAGGAGACTTTTTCCAGCCTCTGAACCAGTACATGCAACTATAAAGGACAAGCATCTCCTTGCAGCTTTTGAAGGCCTGAGGTTTTCAAAGCTCAGACACAGAATCCCGTGTCCCTGCTCATACCCAGCGCACCAGGTCCTGATAGATACCCAGCGGCACCAGCTGAGAGGCAGGCGTGTTACCTTGAAGGACTGTTTGTACGCGTAGGTGTCGTAGCCTCCGTCCACCTTTTTGGTCTTGCTAAACAGGATAAGGTCTTCAAAGAGGAAGACATGCCTCAGATACTTTTTCCTTCCACAGCAAACGATAAACTCGTCCTGGCACCTCAGCTGCCCCTGCTCCTTCAGATTTACCTGCAGATGGAGCAAGTCTCCCTCAGGGACAGTGGGACCCCCGGAGAGGGGAGAGGGGCTGGAGGTGAAATCGATCACCCACGGCGAGTGATTCAATCAATGATGCCTATAATGAAGCCTCCATAGAACCCCAAAGGATGGGGCTTGAGTGAACAGGTGGGATGCGCAGAGCGGGCATGGAAACTCTGTGCCTGTCTCCACATATCTAGCCCTGTGCCTCTCTTCCATCTGTCTGTTCCTGAGTTATGCCCTTTATGACACACTGGCAATGTCATAAGTACACTGCTTCTCTGGGTTCTGACCTTTGCGACTGGTGTGTGCAGTGCAGGTCAGGGGCAGTCTTGTGGGATGGAGCCCTTACCTGAGGGATCTCATGCTATGTCCAGGCAGATGATGTCAGGATTGAGTTGAATTATAGGACATCCAGCTGGTATCTGAGAATTTCTCGAATGTATGGGGAAAAACTCACACATTGTAACTGCTGCCAAACCCTCCGGGTCGGGGCTCCTGCTGGTCTGCATGGAGGTTACAGTGAAAACCCCTCTTTTAAATTCTGAAAGCCCTTATGTTCATTTGAATGGAAGCCCCCTTGTTGATGTGGTGTTAGAGACTCACTCATTACTAGAGATAAACCCCAGTGTGGCTGACCTGGCATTCAGTTATGAATTCTGCATCTGAGCTGCCCCTTCGCTCCCCAGAAATCCCTCCAAGCTGTGGTCTGGGCTGATGGCTACGTGAGAAGTTGCAGCCTCCATGCCCTGGCCAGGCTCCCTTCGTGGAGTATATCCCAAACCATGGCCACCAATGCTAAGTTTCTCCCATAACCTTCCAGCCCACGGACAGATCTGTCCTTGGGTTACCTGAGAACAGCTGGTCCAATCCCAAATTACTCAGCTGTGCCTGCTGAATGGAGGGTTTAAGAGGCCTGTGGGTTCTGTGAGTGACCATGCTGGGGTGCCCCTAGTCCCCCATGGCTACTCACAGCCACAGAAGTCACCGGAGAACTATACTTTGTGCCAGACTCCATCACAGGTGCTGACTGTAGCCATGGATCTGCCTTCTCCAGCTGACGTCAGGAGACCCACCTCCAAGCCCAGGTAGGGTGGAAGGGCAGGGGCATGATGTCGGCACACCCCCAGCCAAGCCCGTGCACAGGCTAGTTCACCGGGCGGGGTGCCCAGCGTTGGCAGTAGGAGGACATCCATATGGGGTGGTGGCCTGGGGGCTGTGCTGCATCATGGTGGCCAGAAGGGTCCATGCTCAGATTCTTGCTCACAAAACTCTTAATGCTGTTTTTAAGCAGGGCACCCACATTTTCATTTTGTGCCAGGAATTCTGTGGCTGTCCCTCTGAATGTCAGACATAGGGGCTCTGCCAGAGAAAGGGCTCCTCTTCTGCCTATGCTGGTCCCACCATGCTACTGTGACAGGGTGGGGCATGGATGCCGGCCCTCAGCACCCAAGCAGAGAGGCTAGCAGCATGGGATGAGCCAATGTTGGCTTGCCCCAAGCCCGATGGCCCAAATTTTCATGCATCCGTTGTGTTCACGTAGCCCTAATAAACAGATGGTGAGCCAGTTAAAGCCTGCCTGCTATTCACACCCTGCAGCTGCTGCTCCAGTTGCCTGGACAGGAAGCCCCTCTCTGCTTCCCTCACCTGCCAGGCCCCTTGAGAGTTCTCAAGCTTCAGGAAACTCGCTCCAGTGAAAGCATATGTGTTCTGACCCCAGGTTACATCTTTCCTGAACTCATGAGAACCCATCAGGGCCTCAGGGCACTTACATCACAGCCTCGGACTGCGTCCATTGCCAATAGGTCATTGCCGTGGCGCAGCTGGAAGCGGACCACGTCCTCAGCAGCCCGAAGTTCACCCAGCTCCTGCTCCCAGGCGGGGCAGCAGCTGGCCTCCCTGACCAGGTCCTGGAGCAGCAGTGCATACTTGCCCATGCGCTGCACGGGCTTCAGCAGGTAGGAGGCCAAGTCCATCTTGTCTCCCAGCTCCCGCTGCTTGTCCTGCAAGGGCCGGGGCGAGAGGGTCAGCCCCTGAGCCAGGTGGGGGGCAGCGCGGCTCGCGGGGTTGGGGGGGTGACCTTGAAGAAGGCGTTGCCGTGGCTGTAGAGCAGGGCATCTGACCGGGGCTTGTTCTTGCTGTAAAGTGCGTACATGCCAAACTGTTCCTCCTGCAAAAGGGGAGGGCACCATGCACCTGAGTCGGGGGCTGGGGTCAGAGTCTATGCCCCTCCCTTCCCCCTCCGTGCGTAGTGCCCCCCCCCCCCCCCACCGTGGGCATGACAAAAGGAAGCTCAGTGCTGCATTATGATCCTCTGGGCTTCCCAGCCTCCGGGAGCTGCTCAGGTCAGGGTCAGAGTTCTACAGGGTCAGAGTTCTAGAGGGAGAGGGAGTCCTCACAGGGCTGGCCTGGGAAGTGGCATGGAGAGCCTTTGTTCATTAACGGTCAAGAACTAAAGTTGCGTCAACAGGTAGAATTCTCACCATTGTTGATAATATAAAACAACACAGTTCATCTTGTGGCTAAAAGCACCTTCTTAGAAATAGCTGAATTAAAAACAGAACTATCCTATGACCCAGCAATTGCACTATTACTAGGTATTTATCCAAAGGATGCAAAAATGCTTGATATGAAGGGGCACATGCACCCCAGTGTTTATAGCACCATTATCAATAATAGCCAAAGTTATGGAAAGAGCCCAAATGTCAATTGACTGATGAATGGACAAAGATGTGGTATATATATTTACAATGGAACAGTATTTAACGATCAAAAAAAAGAAACTGCCATTTGCAACAATGTGATGGAACTAGATGGTATTATGCTAAGTGAAATAAGTCAGTCACAGAAAGACAGATATATGATTTCACTCATATGTGGAATTAAAGAAACACACCAGATGAGCATAGGGGAAAAGAAGGAAAAATAAATAAGATAAAAAAAGAGGGAGGCAAATCATAAGAGGCTTTTAAATACAGAGAACAAACTGAGGGTTGCTGGAGGTAGGTGGGTGGGGGTGGGCATTAAGGAGGGCACTTGCTGGGATGAGCACCAGCTGTCATATGTAAGTAATGGGTAAGCAGGGTTCTACTCCTGAAGCCAAGACTACACGGTATGCTAAGTAATCTGAATTTGAATTTTAAAAAGTTGCCACATGAGATTTCTTTCATCCTTGGTCACTTCTGTCATAATTTACATAATAACGCTGAGGCCGAAGTCTCATCGGCACACAACACAAATGCCGCTGGGTCCCCAGTGTCTAAAACACTACTTGGTAACTTGGTGAAAGCTTTTCTCCTCAGAATGAATTAAGAATCTTATTAAAGACGCAGATAGGGAGATGTCCCACATTCACTGATGAGAAGACACTTATCAAGGAGGGAGCAGCCTTTCTCCAGCTAATGTGCACACTCTATGAACTTCTGTCAAAACCCTAATGGACTTGCTCAGAGCTCGCCGGGCTGGCCTGAGCTACACCTGCAAGGGGACCAGGAAGCAAACTGATTTGGGGAGGTGCTGTTGACTGATTACCTCAAGTCATGAGAAGTGGGGCTCCCCACAGAATTAGGTGTGGTGATGCAAGTGAAACCCTCAGTGTCATGTGGCTTGGGGGAGCCAAGGGTGCCTTCAGACGACACTGAGCAAAAGGTCCAGTGAGATCAGGCCCACAAGCGTCTTGTCTATTTTGGGCATCTGTTTATTGGCAGGTCTTACATACGCTTAGTGACACATTTCCTACATCTGGTCTGCAGTGATCGAAATTACCTGAAATGTGGCGTCACCAGACCCAGCCTCTCCGAGGGCACCCTGGGTTGATGGCACCTCGGTCTACCACACTGGTGCCAGCGCCCAGGAAGGAGGGACTCACGTGTCTCAGGAACCCGCGGCCCGCTGCCAAGGGGCAGGGCCGGCAGCGCTCCAGCTCCGCGAGGAAATGCTGGTGGTGAAAGTCATAGAGCTTCTCCAGGTTCCCAAAGATAATGCTGTGCTTCCCTCGAAGGTCCTGAGGCAGGTCTGTCCTTTCCATTTCTGGAAAATAGTTGTCGATGACATATCCTAAGGACCTAACATACTCCCTCTCCGTGGAAACCATCTCCGCCATTATGTGCTGCAGTCGGCTGCTGGAAGACAGAGAGGCAGGTGGACACTCAGCGGGCGCGGGCCACAGCCTCGCCCCAGGCCTCGAGAGAGCCCATGTCCCCGCTGTTGCTGCTTCACACAGAAACAAAACACTCTGCAAACCCAGAGGAGTAAACATGATTATTCGTGGGCAGGAAAACCTTTGTGATTAAGTCTTCTGTTCAGCAATGAATGCTAAGTGTGCTTTGTTCCCTGGCACTGCTCCTTCGACGTGAATGAATGAGATGAGAAAAATAGGGCAGGAACGTGTATCAGAAAGAAACTGGTTGCATGAAACATTTCTGGCTTATTGATCACACCTTTTAGGATAAAAGATCCTGTTAGAAAATGAAAAGGAGAGATTCCCAGGTCCCCTAACTTCAACCTGGAGCCGTGAGGTTCCTCATTCACATATGGTTTGATCCTGGCACCCTCTGCACAGAGAGCTGTGGCAGCAGGGAGATTCGAACACTGCACAGAAAGCTGTGGTGGGGATTTATGCGAAGACGGTTTCTGATGCACACGGACCGCTAACGTACCAGAAGGGATTTCTGAAAACTCAGCTTAATGGTGTAGAGACATCTGACCCAGAGGCCGAGGGGAAGCAGCTGGAGTAGAAGATGCAGAGCAGATGGGCCCAGGGCACAGCAGAGATGGGCTACAGCGGGGCAGCTCCCTCTTCCCTGCCGTGCAGAGGGTTCCCTGGGCTCCTGCTGCTGTGGTCCAAGCACGGACTGTGTCTCTGCTGCACACAGCACTTCTGGAGGCACCGAGAAGAGGTGGTGAAGCGGGCGCTCCACCCTGCTAGCAATGAGGCACCTAACTCTTGCCTTGTCTGACAGCATTCTGCCAGCAACCTTCCTGATTACTCAATCTTGATAATGCTAATGGGGGCTGGTAGATCTTCTTCTGCCTTTACTTGTATTTACTTGTTTGGGTTTTTTTAAATGGAAAACAATTAGAAGCAACCAATGATAGGAAAGGCACCTGTGGTCAGAAATGCTTTTAAATGCACCCCATTTGCAGCTGAAGCGCTGGTGCCTTATCACACTCACATAACAGATTTTACAAATTCCGATTGTTTCTCAGGAGGCGGCACCTGCTGGCTGGTCACAAATGGTTCTGCTGGCACACGTGGCCTGGAGGTGCCCCCGCAATCTCGAGGCCCCAGTACCCACAGCATGCCACCTGTCAACATCTGCCCAATACAGGCATCCCTAAATATTCAGAAACAAAACTAGTATCGTCCGGGGGTTTGGAATTTGGTTTTCCAAATTAATTGGAAATTGACTCATGAGGACATAATGTCTAGAAAGATCTTGAGAAATGGGCGAAGTGACAGGAACTCTATCTGGACAACTGGCAGAAGGGCCTGGGTTTTCTGGAAAGACGGTTAGTTTAATGCTCTCTCCTGCCTGAGGAGGAAGTGCTCCCTCTCCAGTGAGCTATGGAACCTGACCTTGGGTTGGTGGGTCTACGGCATATGTGGGTTGGACGCGGGCACCTGTCTCCAGGGGCAGAGGCAGGATGGCTTCCCAGTCCTGTCCCACTGGCCGTGACCAGAGGGGCGCTTGGCGAGTGGGGGGCATTCTGTGCTTCTGAAGGCTTTAAGATGAGCTCAGAGCAGCTGGAGAGGGGTTCTTCCCAGAGCTTCCACCCCCCCGGGAAACCCACTCAGGTGCTCCCAAACGAAACCTTCCTGTTGCACCTAAGGCTCCTCCCTGAACCAGGTACACCGTAACCGCCTAAATCTGAAACATACAGATGTGTTTTAGGAGAGTGTTGGGTGATCACCTCAGTTCAGACGTGTTCTCTGTATGAGGAGGAAACAGTCCACCAACCAAACGAGTAAGGAAGACTAGATGACACCCCATCTGTGGCCCACGCTGCTCACTATAAAAATGGACTAACGACCCCAGGGGCCAGGCTGTGAGACGAGGTGAATGGGGCACAGTTCTTGCCCACTTTTTAGTCCTAACAGTGAATAAAAAGTATCTTTTTATAAACACCTTCTTAAAGATTTAACAAATTTATACAGGCATCTCCATTTGGGCAATGGATAAATGCACACATACTTCAACTCGTCACATGGTGGCTGACAGCCTGGGGTGCAGTGTTGGGGCATGCTGGTCTCAATGCTGAAAGGCTTTTTTTTTAAGTAATTTTTAAAAATAATTCTTAAGGTAATTTCTTCATCTTGTAGGTGTGGTTTGCTTATTGTGATTTTCTATAAATGGGCCTGAATGATGGGAGCTGGCCACTTAACCATCAGCGTGGGTGAGCTGGGTGAACACAAGCCATGAAATAGGAAGCAGTTTTCAATGACGGTTCTGAACACGGGGAGGTAAGTAGCATCTTGCCTAAAATCAAACAAAAGAGGGCTGCCTGGGCAGGACAAGGTGGACCTGGAGAGAGGTCTGTGGATGTTCTACTTTGTGAAAGTGCATTTAGTGGCTTTGGGTCTCTGGCACCCACTGACCGCTAGGCCCAAAGGCTGGACGACTGTCCACCTCACCTTCCTGCTTGCCTCCTCCTGTCCTCCTCGGAGGGGTGGGTCCTGCAGGGAGAGGACAGACTCCGGCTCCGGGTGACCAGGGGGCTCTCGGCATGGGGCCTCGGCGGGGGGTTCTTCTCTGAGGCCACGGTGCTGGTCACCTCCAGGCCACTGATGAAAACCCCAGTGTGGCCTGGCCAGTGGGAGTCCCGGGGGCCACTGTCAAGCGGTGGAATCTCAAAGCTTTGTGTTTTTCTCATAATTTTCTTCAAGGGATATTTCTTGGGGTGGGTGGTAGGTGTCTGGATGGGCTCGGAGCAGCAGGTAGGGCTGCCGTCTGGGGAATGCACCCCCGGGGCCAGGTGCTCACCCTCCTGCCTGCAGAGAGCGGCTTGTCCAGGAAGGCCCGGCAGCGGTTGGGCGCGCTCTCCAGTGTGGCTCTCCGGGGCGGGGGGGGGCGTCCAAGATGGCTCACAGTGCCTCCTCTCAGCCCCCTGGGCAAGCCCATGCTGCGGGGGGCTCCAGCCCAGAGGTGGGGCCCCAGGGTCCGGGGCAGCCCCAGAAGGGGCCTCTGGGGAGCAGAGTCGGGTCTGCTGGCTCTGCAGCTGTAAGCGCTGCCACGGCGGCAGTGCCCGCCAGCCGCCCAGGCCTGCCTCCACTGTGCTTGCCCTGGGGAAGCTCTGTGCAGGTAGCTCCGTGGCCTCCTGGTGACAGCTCTTCAGATACTCAGTGACCCGCTCGGGGCCTAGGTGTTCCAGGCACTGCAGCATCCACCCATCCACCTGCACAGCAAAGGAGGGTGCTGGTCAGGGCAGTGGAGCACTGTCAGCCCCACCCAATCTCATGTAGCTGAGCCAGCTCCAGTGAGCCCAGGCCGTGCTCCTTCTGGTCTCCAGGTACTCCAAATCAAGCACCAGGGAGAGCCAGGTGGCCAGAGCAAGAGGAAGACCCTTCTGCTCACAGAGGCAGCTGCCAGCTGGACTGGCCCCAAGGGTAGACAAGATGATTTTGTGCCTAAGCTCAATGGGGTCTTAATCCTCCACCGTCCCCAAAAGCAGCAGGTGTGGTTGTCCCAGGGCCATGGGATGCCAGGGCTGGATAGACCATGAAATCAGTGATTCCATACTTGTGCCTGGTGTGAGTGAGAGGCCACGGCAGTGGGACAGAGAGTCCCCACCTTGCGCTGGCCTTCCCTGACCCCTTGGGCCCCACCAAAAGGAGCTGCCCTCTTGGGGTCTCTGGTATTAAGAAGACTTTTATAGCTGAGCCAGCAAACACAGAAAAGTTCACGTGTTGATTCTTCCTCTCTGCCCGGTACAATACATCAACTCATCACCTGGTGGCTGAGAGCCTGGGGAGCGGTGTCGGGGCATGCTGGTCAGCTGTCCCAGGGCTTGACTCTCTCAGGACTGCAGGGGACGCTGCTCACTAAATGCCCTCAGCACATGCAGATTCCCTGGAGGTGATGCCGCAGAGTCTCTTAGGCCTCATAGGTCAAAGAGGTGGCCCCGGCTCGCCCTCCCTCCCTCCGCTCAGCCTGGCTGGCCATGGTGCCCACCTTCTCCAGTGCATCGCTTTCTCTGTGCCTTGGGAGTTGTTCTCCTCCACCAGCTGCAATATTTCTGACACAATTGCTGTAGTCCAAGGAGCAAGCTACCAGCAGGAGCCAGGTGCTTACTCTGTTTCTCTATGTGTGTCCTCTGGTGCACATGTACCACCAGCCTGTTGTGGAAGGTCTAGTGCCCCTATCGCCGCTGCTGCATGTTCTCAAGACAGAGCAGCTCTGAGAGGCCAGGAATTTCTCTCCTTCTTCAAACCACAATTTGATCTATGACGTATGTAAGGAAAAAAGCCTTTATTTTTAAACACGCAAAGGAGTCCCGCTCTGTGATTGTGGGGGACACAGAGAGCATCAGACGCCAGTCAGGCGCTGGCTCATCTGGTTCCTACAGCCTTCACACCCCGTGCTGATGTACAAGGTACAAGCGGTGTGTGTGCCTTGTATCACAAGGAGCTACATAGCGATGGAAGCCATGCTGGCTCAAGATCTGTGACCGCTGTTTTTACACACATGCTCTTTTCAATCTATGGATGGGAATCCACATGCTCTGGTTGAAGAGGGTTGACCACAAGTCTCCATGGCTCAGGTCTGTAACTTTTTTCATGGTTTGTAAATGGAAATTAAGATCCATTGAAAAATGGATCCGGGGCACCTGGGTGGCTCGGTTGGTTAAGCGCCGACTTTGGCTCAGGTCACAATCTCGCGGTCTGTGAGTTTGAGCCCCGCGTTGGGCTCTGGGCTGACAGCTCAGGGCCTGGAGCTGCTTCCAGTTCCGTGTCTCCCTCTCTCTCTCTGCCCCTCCCCTGCTCATACTCTGTCTCTCTTTCTCTCTCAAAAATAAACATTAAAAAAAATCTTCTTTAAAAAAAAGAAGAAAGAAAAACGGATCCAGAACTTTTAGTTTTGAAACTTGTTACTATGCTAAATGTACCCTAGAAACCCTCTTCAGGCTGGTGGCTCTAGGACCCTTAGGGGTTCCCTGGGGGCGCCGGAGGGGCCGGCAGCGGCCCTGCCTGCACCACATGGCAACCTGTGGCAAGATCACTCATTCACAGTGAAAGTCTTATGTGGCTAAGACTTTATTTTCATGCGTGTTCTCATTAGATAGCAACGCCAGGGAGACCCGATGGTTAGGGGCCCAAGAAGAGGCTTTCACCAATGTGGTGATGGGGCTGGATCTATGGCCACAGAACTGTACTTAGTGACACTGATGCACATGCAGAGAAGAGAGATCAGCACACACTCTTTGTGGACAGAGTCATGGAGAAAAATGTCAAATCTGGGTTTTTACAAACACAAGGAGCCTGAGAGCCTCTGGGCAGAAGAGTGTGAAATGAATGGAACGGACGGCCACTGATGGGATCCCACGTCCAACCTCATGAATAACATTCTGGTTGGTTTGAAGATGTAAATGGAAAATTTCAAACCATGAAAGTCTTATGAAGGAATATATTAGTCATTCTGTGACCTTAAGGTAGCAAAACCCATTTCAATTGTAAGCAGAGTTGAAGGACCATGACAAACTAGGGAACATACCTGCCACACAATCAGAGGCTCAGTGTGAGTAATATGCCTAGTAGTAAAACTTCTAAACAGCAGAAATTGGCCAGTGCATGGAAAAGCCATTTGTTAGAGAATAAATAAAAATAACCAATAAACAGATGAAGAAAAAGTTTGACTGAAGCATAAAAAACCCAATGCAAACAGTGAGGAGGTACTTATTTTCACTTCCATGAGGAAGGAGTGCTCTCAAGGCTGCTGCTGAGAATCTAAACTGGGCAGGCTGTTTGCAGGGCCATTTGGCAAATGTGTACAAACCTCAGACACTGTGGGCCCTGACCCAGCCGTCCCAAGCCTAGGAACCTGTCCAAAGCAAATACTCACAAAGTGTGAAAGGAGCAGGCGCAGTGATGTGTGTAAGAGCGACAAATAGAAGGACCGGAACGACCCGAACACGTGGAGGTGCAGGTCTCCACACGGCGCCACGCTTGCCGGCCGTCCTGGGGAGTCAGCCCGGGGATGCCCTGCCAGCGGCCACCCCCCAACCCTACCTGCCCCGAAGGGACACACGGGCGTCAGAGAAGTCCTCTAGCCACTCCTGACCTTGCCTTACACTGACTGCTGGCTCTGCATGGGCTCCTGTGTCACACTCACTTATATGGAAAGAGTGGTTGATAAAAGCATAAGGATTTAAGTACAAATGTGTGCAAGCTTTTGAAAAGCTTTTATATGCATATGTATATGGAGAAAAATCCAGATTATCACATACTGCACTTTAACATCAGTTATTTCAGTTGCACAGTTTCAAAATGCTTCCCTCTTTCGGTTCCCCTGACTGCAAGCACTTACCTGGCCTTGTCCTTCCTGGAGCACCCTCACTTCCTGTAGCCTCTCCAGCTCCTGCAGACACCTGTTAGAGGCGAGGACCACCCTGTGGACCTCCTCGTCCACTTGACTGTACAGACTGGAGGCGACCTCGATGGCATCCCTGGAAGAGAAAGCGTCAGAGAGCCAACTCCTGGCCATCAGTTGTTCACAGGCAATCGCCCAGCGAATGTGCTGTTGGTGACAACTTACACCTGTGCTGAGAGGGCGGCGCCTGGAGCCTGATTCAGATTCTGCGTCTCCCTCTCTCTGCCCCTCCCCCATTCATGCTCTGTCTTTCTCTCCTTCTCTCTCTCTCAAAAATAAAAAAAGAAGAAATCCTTTAAAAAAAAAAGAAAAATGGACCCAGAATTTTCAGTTTTGAAACTGGTTACTATGTTAAACGTACCCCAATTTAAAGAGTCACAACTGCCCTCTTTGCATCCGTCACATCCGACACGAACAGGGTGCTCCAAGGGGGTCCACAGCCGGAGTGGGAATAGGGACACACCCAGGAGCCACAGGAGTGCAGGTGCCTCAGAGGCGGGGGCGGGGGGGGGCAGGGTGGGCGAGCGGTGGGCGTGGCGCCCACCACGGGATTAGACGCAGAAGCATTTGGTCAGGACCTCTGATTGCTGAACCCCATTGTGATGAGTTCTGCCTTCCACTTGAGGGTTCCAAGGAACCTGCTACTTTTTCCTTGGAAGATACAAATGTGGACTGGCTCCTGTCCCCAGTGTGCCTATCAGGCGGAAGGCGAGTTTGGACTGCTGGGAGACATCATGTGACAGAGACAGGGAACGCCCCTGGGATGTGCCACCCGGCATGACACTCACCGGCAGTCTTGGCTGGTGCCATGCTGCTCCCTCTTCAGGCGCGCCAGCACAGCGCCACCCTCCAACCGGAGGGCGACCAGCAGTGCGTCTTCGAGCACACACTTCATCGTTGCCTTGTGCTTGCTGATTAAGTCTGTGACCTCCTGCACGGGGTGGGCGAAGCATGGATATAACCCCCTCCTCCGTGAGGAGTATTAGGTGCTACCTGCATGCCTGTGTTTATCAATCGAGCTGAAAGCAGGGTGGGATGGCCGTGCCCACACTTGACATGGGCCCCAGCAGGAAGGTAGTGGAGTCCCAGATGTTCTCACCCAAGTGACAGTGAGACTCGGGGCAGGAAAAAGGGGGGAAGCTCGAAACTTGGCAGCAGGAGAGGCTGGCATTTGGATAGGGATGCATGGACCTCACCCACATACCCTGGAAACCCCAAGGCATCTCCAGCCCCAAGTCTCTAGGCTGTTGAGGTCCCACTGGCCAGTCCACCTCTGTGTCCCAACAGCAATTACTCAGGCCTCGGTGGCACACCAACAAATGTCGTGGTTTGGTGTTGTTTCTCTTCTGGGCATGGTGGGATTTTTTTTTTTTTTTTTTTTTTTTTTTGGTCACAATGGAGAGGAAGTAGTCTTTTTTGGGAGTCTTTTGCTAAGCAAAAGGGATTTACAAATTAAAAAGTGTTTGAAAATCTCTGCTATGGGTGGTGGATTTGGCTAAGCCTCTAAGTTCCCACCTGCCAAACTGTGAAATAAAATAAAATAAAATACATGAGAACCTACCTGTGTTGTACTTAGAGTCCTGTGGGTGTTTAGGGATCGGGCTGAATTTTGTAGGAAAACAATGGCATCCTCACAGTTTGTGGTGAAGGGCTCCAGCTTCTACCGTGGCGGGAGAGGTCAGAGATGATATACAGTTAGTCCCCACAGATGCACCAGGGAGCAGCACCCTCCCTGCCCAGGGTGGGACTTCAGTGGCACTCCCAAGCCTGCCACAGCATGGCCGTCCAACAGCCTGTGAATGGCATCTGTGACAGGCGTGACACTCAGGGTGAGGACACCTGCTTCACGTGTGAGTAAAAATATCTGCACTGGCAGGTACAATGGCTGTGAGCTGCACCTTACCCTGCGGAAGCAGATCCAGTCACTGTGGCTGTAGGGAAAAGAGCCATCAAGGTCTGCAGTCAGCTGGGAGCTGTCAACAAGCTTGTGCAAGGCCTTCAGGGAGCCCACCACCTCACACTGCCAAGGAGAAGTGTTTACTGGTTATGGCCACAGATGCATCCATCGGAAAGACCACTATGATGGCTCACTCCTGGGAGAGCTACCACCAAGAGGGTTGAGAGACAGGTTTAGGATCCAGTGACTCTACCTTGCTGGCGGCATTAATGGGCTGCATGTGGCTGGGCACAGGAATGAAGGTGTAGAGAATGAAAAGAGAAGGTCGCAAAGATAAGTGGTAGAAAAGCTTCCAACTAAGACCAAAAAATGGAAAAATTGAAAAGACAGAGAGGGCAAGATAATAGGGGAGAAGGGAGTGGGCAAGGGGAGGAAGGGATGATGAAAAATGAATCAGGGATGTGTTACTCTGAGATGGCAGAGCTGGCCCTTCCCAGAAAATTCTAGACAAAGTATACTAACCACCTGAAAGCTCCAGAGGGTGAACAAAGCCAGACTTAGTGAGCAAGGCAACTGAAACATGGATGAAAAGATTAGTATGGGGTGAGCTCCTTGTTTGCACGGTTCTGGCCTGAAATTAGGTTGCCAACATGTTGAGACTGGATTGACTAAGGCTTTGGTAGAAAATAGGCATCTTTGTGGCCTGAAGAACCAGAAAATAGAGCCAGGAAGGAATGTGGACAGAGTGTCCCACAAGGCAGAAAGCCAGGGAAGGGAGCTCCCGTCGTATGTGAATTCTGCCCAGGACTCTGGCTGACCCTGAACCAAGTACGCATGGGAAAGACTCTGGGAAGCTGAAGGCAAAAAGAACTGAACTGGACCTATGCAGGGAGCAGTTTTCAGCTCAAGTCCAACCAAGTTAAAAGCATGCTAAAACAGTACTTTGTGGAGGTTTATAATAGAATCCAGAGTCAGTATATTGAACAATATTCAACAGAATATTCATGTGTCCAGAATACAATCCAAAATTACTGGACACATTAAGAATCAGAAAAATGTGACTTGTTTTTAAGGGAAATGACAATCAACAGACGTCAACTCAGAAAAGACCTGGATATTAGCATTATTAGAGAAGGACTTTAAAGCAGCTATTATAACTATGCTCAATGGTATAAAGGAAAAATGCTTGCAATTAATGAGATGATAGGAAATCTTAGCAGAGACAGAGAAAATGTATTTTGAAACCTATTGGAAATTTTATAGCTGAAAAATGCAATATCTGAACTAAAAATTCTTTGGATGGGCTTAATAGCTGAATGGAGATGAATAGAGTATGGAGTTAGTGATCTTGAAGACAGATCAATAGAAACAATCTGACCTGAAGAAGAGAGAAAAAAAAAGTGTGTGTGGGGGAAGATTCTCAAAGACCTATGGGGCAATACCAGTATGTGTAATTGAAATCCTAGAGCAAGAGGAGAGAGAGAATGAGGCAGAAAAAAAATTTTTTTCAAGAAATAATGAATGAAAACTTCCTAAATTTTGGTAATAGACATAAATCTAAACCTTCAAGAAGTTCACCCAACCTAACAGGATAAATATGAAGAAAACCATGTCTAACCACATTATAGTCAATTTGCTGAAAAGAAAGAGAAAATCTTGGAAGTAACCAAAGGAAAATGACACATATTCTATAGATGAACAATTATTTGAATTCCAATAAACTTTTCATCAGAAACTATGGGGGCCAGAAGACAGCTGAACAATAACTATAAAGGGCTAGAAAAACAAACAAACTACTGTCTGGCCAGAATCCCTTATCTAGCAAAAAACCTTTCAGGGCAAAATAAAGAGTTTTTAGATAAAAGAGAAAGAAGCAAGAAGAAAGAGGCGGGAAAGCAAATGAGGTGGATAAGAAAAATTAGATTTTTTAAAGTTTTCTGATATTTTGCTCTGTACACCTCCTGCAAATAATTAAGGACTCGGAGATGAGTTTTCAGACTCTTATATGGATGCAGCCACAATTTACATGAAGTTTCCCATATGTTTTATCTCATGTAGGTATTGTAATATTTAATTTTATGCATCAGTCAGAGTCATATCTAATGCTGAGGGTCTGAAACTATTACCTGAATTATTCCATCCTTGTCAGGCCTAAAAGCTGATTCTTTATTCACCAAGAACACAATACTATGAATTATGGGAGAAGCTGTGTTCTGAAATAAGAAAGAAATACTGATTAGCTTTGTAATATTTTACTTCATTGAGTTTATAGAATTGTCTAAGTTAGATGGGTACCTATTTCCGCCTTAGTATTTTTCCCAAGTACCTAGAATGCATAATATATAATTGTGCCCTAAATGTAAATTATTTGTTCTTATGAATTTTAATGTAATCAAGTTTATTGGTTATAATTTACATATAATAAAATTCATCGTTTTGATGTAGAGTTCTCTAAATTTTACCATAACTTATAGTCACATAACTACCACCACAGTCAAAGTACAAAACAGTTTAGCATCCCCCAAATTACCTTATCTCCTTTGTCAAGCCCACCATCCTCTGGCAGCTATTGATCTGTTTTCTATCTCAGTAAGTTTGTCTTTTCGTATATCAAGTACATAGACTCATACATTATGGACTTCTTTCACTTAGCACAATGCACTTGAGATGCATCCGTGCTCTGGATGTCAGTAGTTCATTTCTTTCTACTGCATAGTAGTATTCCGTTGCATGTATTCACCCATTCGCCAGCTGGAGGACATTTAGGTTATTTCCAGGTTATGGCAATCGTAAGTAAAGCTACTATAAACTCCATGTGACCTAAGTTTTCATTTCTCTTGGGTAAGTAGCTAGCAGTAGGGTTGCTGGGTCATATGATAAGTGCATGTCTAACCCTAAAGAAACCAGAGTGCCTGTGCCATGTCGCATTTGCATGTGCAATGCCAAGTCCTTGCTATTGTCAAATTTTGTTGTGCATGTATATTACCTCATTCTAATTTCAAGTAGCATTTCTCCAATTACTGCTGACGTTGAACATATTTGTATATGCTTATTTCCCATTCATATATCTTCTTTGGTGAAGTATTCTCAAATTTTTGCCCATATTTCATTGGGTTGTTTGCCTTATTACTGAGTTTTGAGATTTTGTATATTCCAGATATATACAGATCAGATCTTTATCAGATCTATTTTGCAAACATTTTCTCTTGGTTCGTGGCTTGTATTTTCATTTTAGTAATGGTGACTTTTAAAGAAAAGTTTTCAATTTTGATGAAGTCCAACTTATCCTGTTTCTCCTTTAGGATCATGGTGTTGTTGTAGCTAAGATCTTTGCCTGACCAAGGTCATGAAGATTTTCCCATTTCCTTCTGATGGTTTTGTAGTCTTAGATTATGTATGCAGATCTATGACCCGCTTGTAATTTTTGTATATAGTATGAGTTATGTGTTGAGGATTTTTTTTCTTTTGCGTACAGATGTCCAATTGTTCCAACCCTATTAGTTTGGGTTGTCGTTTTTTATTTTTTTATGTGTTTATGACTTTAAACAAACCTTTTTCATTTCTGTTTGCTAGATTATACTGAGGCCAGATCGTTCAGCAATGAAATTCTTTTATGTACATAGTTCTTCGTCACTCATATTCCCTAAATCTTTACTTTTTAATAGTTTCTTATAGTGATAAACAGATTTTACACTTTTTATAATCCCCAATTTTGATCCCCTATTTTGACTGGATAGGCCTCAGAACTCACTGATATTTTATTTGTATTAAATTCATTTTATATATTTACACTTTTATGTGACTTACTGTGGATGATATTCCATAAATATTTGTTGAGTGAGTAAGCCATAGAAAAACATTCTCGCTTTTTTATTTCATGGTCTATTTCACTCAGTTTAGCTACAGCTTTCAGTTATAATGAATTAAAACTACAAACTGTTTTGCACAGTGTTTTATATTTCTCATAAATAACTCCTTGAGTGAATTTTTACTATCTATCGCCAAGAAGTGAGAACACAGTGCCTTAGGACAACTGTCGGTATTAGTTTGCAGAAGGTAGCGTAGGAATCAGCAAATTCTAGCATTTTCTTCTACCAAGAAATGAAGAAATCATTAGTTCTTTTTTGAAATGGAAAGCTTCTTATGGCATCTGAACTTTAATAATTAAAAGAATTTGAAATATAGTTTCTTGAGGTAGTTTCTGTGAGAAAATTTAAGTATTTCTGTATAATCCTCAGAAACGAAATTGAAAATGGAAGCATAACCCTTAAATTTGGGCTTATGTTCATGCCTCTCACTCAGAGTACAAACCGAGTACTGTTGCTGATCCAAAGCCAGGGCCTGGGAGACCGACAATTGCCAGAACAGGAAGCCTCCGGGCCTCAGGGCAGTCCAAATGCCAGCATCCAGACAACGGAAGATAAGTTGAAACCCTGAAGTTCCTTACAAGAATTCGCTTGTGACAAAAACTTACAGATGCAGCAGAAGTTTCTCCAGCTTCTGCTTTGGGAAAAGTGTGGGTGGAGGGGGCCCCATCTTACTTGGGGCTCATTGTCCCACGGTGGGACCCACGTGGCACAGGACTTATGGAAAGTCTGAATAAATAGAAATGCTGGGAAGAGGTATTTCTACAGAGGGAAAAGGTAAGTGGATCTGGTCAACGGCTGAAGGGCTCGAGGCCTGCACATGGGGCCCGCCTGGGTCTCACGCACAGCAGAACGAGCGATGCTAAGCCTGCGCGTCGACAGGGAGGGCTCAGCCGTCTCTGTTTGTGACTGGACACTTAACTGTCAGGTGTTTACTGGATGCCAAAGCAGCAGAACCTGCCGCAGTCCTCTGTGTTCAGGAACTGCCTGCAGACATTGCAGATGTGCCTCGGCATCTTCCTGCGTGTATAGCCCTGCTGTGCTCCTGCCCCCACGCGCAACATGCATATGACACAGCGCAGTGAGGGGGCCCAGTACCAGTACTTTCTAGTACTCAGGTAACTTCTCACAAGGCCAGTGCCGTGCTGGGCGCATGACATGGACGTCTTGCGGGAGCAGAGATGGTGATGCTGACTCTTCTGTGCCAGCCCCACCCTGGGCACAGGCCTCACTGTGCACCTGCCTGGGTGTCTGCCCGCGATCCTGCCCTGGGATCTGTACTTCGCCTCTCAGTGCTGGTCAGGGGATGACAGTGTGCCATCAGAGCTCCCCAAGTCCCTTGCTGTGGGAGGTGCCCCAGCACAGCCCCCACTGGCCTCACAGGGCTCTGGCCACAGGGCTCCGACCCCGTAAGTGCCCCCATGCCCTGCCCAACTCCCACCCTGCGAGGCTCCATCGCTGCCAGCTGGCCCGGGAGGGTGCTGTCCTGGGCCTGGTAGCAAGTTGCTGGATTCCAGGCTTCCCCTGGAAACAAATTTCAAGCCGCCTCCAGGGCAGTAATGACAAAAGCGGCAGCACCATTTGTTGACTCTGATTTAAGGGTTAGTGAGCTGGGCTGGAAAGTGTACCAGGAGGAGGAGCCAAGCGACCAGGCAAGAGCGGAACAGGACGCCCCACCCCCACGGCCACCTCTGGGGCTGATGGTGGAGGAACTGAGGGGACAGCACGGGAGGCAGGGAGGCGGAGGCAGAGAGATGCTGCCACACACTCTGGGCAGGCGCGGCCCTTGGGGGCAGCCCCCACGCACCCCCGTCGGGATGGTGAGCTGTTCCCCAACCAGTACCTGAAGCAGATGGATGCTTTCTAGGAATCTGGTCACAACTTCTGGTTGCAGCTTCAAAATCATGTCAGCAACAGTGACATTTTAGTTTGGTTTTGAAGGTAAAAACAAAGAAAAGTTGTTTTTCTCCCCTGTGTTCACAAGTTGCCATTTATAGGATGCTGAGATGATTAATTGGTGTGAAGCCACCAGATTAAGCATTCGCTCCTGAAGAATGTGCGCCTGAAACACACATAAACCAACCACATCCTACTCTCTGCTCTGGTTACCACAGCAAGGCCACCAGATTAAACACCTTTTTTCTGCAAAATCATAGGACACCGAGGAAATCCTGTGGTCACCAACACAGCTGTTCCTCCTTCGAGCAGACCTTCCCTCAAAATCACTTTATTTTGTTTGTTTGTTTGTTTTAATTTTTTAAATGTTTTATCTATTTCTGAGAGAAAGAGAGACAGCGTGAGCAGGGGATGGTCAGAGAGAGAAGGAGACACAGAATCTGAAACAGGCTCCAGGCTCTGAGCTGTCAGCACAGAGCCCAACGTGGGGCTTGAACCCACGAACTGTGAGATCGTGACCTGAGCCAGAGTGGGATGCTTAACCTACTGAGCCACCCAGGCGCCCCCACAATCATTTTGAAAAGCAGACATTCCTCTACCTTCCCAGAAGACTTCTGAAACTTCTCAGTCTTTGCTTGTATATAAAATTGTATGTGGTTAAAAAAAAATCAGAATCTCAAAAGAATTTCAAAGACTTGAGCAGAAAATGAGCATCAAACTGGATTATTTCCTGGTTTCTGATTTTTGAGCCAAACAGCTGGTTGAAATCAGGGGAAATGAGCAACAAGGGATTTATGTGCTTCCAAAGTGCTTCGTGGAGACTGAATTTTAATACGTCAAACCGGTCACTCCCTCTAGAGCCGCCGACTTGGGCCTTGCACTGGGCACCCTTCTGCTGAGAGCCCGTTTCTCCCTCTGCAATGCAGTGAGCTCTGTTCTGAGAGCCCTCTCTTGCCGGGACCAGCACCTCCAGGTCAGCTGTTTCCTCCTCGCGAATTTGTTCGAATTTGTTACTTCGCTTGTGCATGTGGCAGGGGCTGCACGACCCCAGGCACCCTGGCCAGGCACATCCGCTCCGGCCATGCTGCTGCTCTTCCGCCTAGGCCCCAACTCCCCCAGCCCCGGCTCCATGCACAGCAGGCCTGCATGCCACCTCTTCTCTCACTTCCCCACACACTGCTCTCCAGCTGCGCCCTTGCACTTCCAACATGCCCCATCCTCTACCACTGAGTCTTTCCTGGAAAGAATTTCCATTTGGCGTCCCTAAACTTAGCAATCTGGATAGAACAGTGACCTGTGGCTGGCACCGTCAGCAGAGACCCAACAGAGGGAACAGCTTTTAACGAGGGAGAAAGCGGGACCCCAGACCCCAGCACAGTGCCTGGCACACAATGCTAGATAGAGCTGCTGTAGAGGGAAGGGGTCATGCCTCCATGGGCTGGTCCTGGCTGGTCCTGCTTTTAAGGTCTGCACTGGTAATCCTGGTAATGGGCAGGAAACTCCTTCCTGGTAAGTGCCTGACCTCGGGGGAGCACACCGTCGATGGATGCAGGAGTGGGCTCTTTGCTGCTTTCAGAGTCTACACTCAGGACACTCACCTCATCCTGAGATTCACACTGGAGGTTAGTGCAGGCATGGCTGCATTTAGCTGCTCTTGGGTCATGAGGGAGCCCTGTGTGGCCCACTAGCCTGGAGATTCTCAGCACCCCAAGGACAGGAGTCACTCTGACTCACCTGAAGTGCCGCCAGGGCCCGGGAGAGAGCAGGCGCGGCAGGACCCTTGCGGGCATCCACCAGAATGACCAGCCCCAGGTCCCGCACCTCCTTCCTGGAGAGAGAAAGACAGTGTTAACCACTGCAGGTAAAATCTCTTCCAAAACAAGCTTCTTCATCTCTCAGTAAGATGCATCCTTGCCCAGATGCCCCTGGCTCTACAAGTCCGAGGTTCTTGACACATATCTATACTTCCTGAGGAATCAAGCTGCTTACTGGGTGGAGACAGGGCAATGGGGCTCACTGTGGTGGGTCTGTCTTGTCTGATAGCCTCTCCAGGCAAGTGGAGCTGGCTGCACGTTTGCATTTCCTAGGGTTGCTCTCTCTCCCCACCACACCACCCCAGAGTTTTCTGTTTGTTTGTTCAGGCTTTAATACGGTGTGGAATTCCACTCTGATGGTGTGAACAAGGTCCAGACGTGGCTGGCTGTTCTCAGACCGGTCACTTGGCTCATCGCATTTTCAGAGCTGAAGTGGGACAGCGAGGCATCCTCTAAAGCTGAAAACACCACCAGGTTCTTTTCACAACCCCACTTAAAAGCTGTGGGGCGCCCGAGTGGCTTGGTTGGTTTAGCGTCTATTGATTTTGGTTAGGTCACTCTCCCAAGATGTGGGATGGAGCTCCACATTGGGCTCGATGCCGAGCATGGAGCTTAAGTTTCCCTCTGCCTCCCCTCCCACCCTGCTTGTACACTCCTTCTCTAAAACAAAACAAAATAAAACCAAAAAAGGGGTATCTGGGTGGCTCAGTTGGTTAAGAGTCAACTTCAGCTCAGGTCATGATCTCACAGTTTGTGGGTTTGAGCCCCACGTCCAGCTCTGCACTGACAGCTCAAAGTCAGTGCCTGAGCCTGCTTCAGATTCTGTGTCTGTCTCTCTCTGCTCCTCCCCCACTCTCACTCTGTCTCTCTTTCAAAAATAAACATTAAAAAAATTTTTTTAAGTCTTAAAAGGTGCTTTTTCCCCACTGTGATGATTGTAACTTTAGTTATTTTTTTTTTTATTTTGGGGAGGCAGAGAGAGAGAGAGAATCCCAAGTAAGCTCCATGCTGTCAGCACAGAGCCTGACTTGATGTCACAAGCTGTGAGATCATGACCTGAGCTGAACTCACAAGTTGGATGCTTAGCTGACTGAGCCACCCAGGTGCCCCTAAACTTTAATTCTAAATAGGACAAAATAATAGGCTAGGGTGAGGTGATGTATCTATTCCCCAAGTTTCTGTTCCTGGGCAAGCTTCTCCAGCCCCACTTCCAGGATTAACTAATATTCTACCCCAGTCATATGTGTGGGTGCTGGTCTGGACAGCATGCTCACTCTGGCTGCTCACACAAAGCCGGTAGAATGCACATCACATCAAAGCCATGTACTGGCAAGGGTGGGTGTGTTGCACAGTTAGGGTGTGTTCAATTTCGGCGTGACTGCTAAAAAATACTTCTGAAGGGGGTGTGTTTTTCGGGAAGCAAGTATACTGAGGGCAGAATGGAGAGGTACTCTGGCATCAAAGTGGGTGCAGGAAAGACAAGGCTGGGAGAACATCTCGTCTCACTCCCCCCTCAGATGGCCAGCTCAGCACCCAGGTCTCCTCTGCTGCAGAAACCACGCTGCCACGTGGGTGGCTGGAAAGCACTGGAGTCCACATCTCTGGGAGCCGTCCTGGGCGGTGCTCTCAGGAGCAGGGCATGACGCTCCACTTCCACTTCCTGTGGACTCCCTCTTCTGACACCCCCACCTCAGTCTCTCTCCATCCGTGAAGGCCATTTACAAGGCACGCTCACCCTGTAACCCGGCTTCAGTAACTGGTGACCACACACTGCTGGATACTCTTCCCAGTAATGAGTGCTGCCACCTCGAGTGCTTCATCCCGAAAGCTGACGGCTTGTGTCATATCCCACAAGTGTAGGCAGATTTCAGCTCCTCAAGGTGCAATAGCCAATCAGGATGCAAACAAAATTACAATACTTGTGGAGAAATAATCAGCCGAACCATGAGGCTCCAGCCTGAATTATTCCAAGTGCTTTGGGTAATTTAGGTTTTCCTCAGCATAGGCTTTCTCCCAGAGCTTCCAAGCTGGTGAAGACATCTGCTCTGGGATGGGGGTGGGAGTTGTCTGAATTTTCTGTGGAAAAGGCATAGGGCTGCAGAACCAGGGTCAGGTCTGGGCCTGCCAACCCCCAGGGGGCCCTTAGCCTCTACTGTTTGTGTTTCACTACAGAATGGAGAGAACAGCACTCAGTGTTACAGGGACACCAGGCTGAGCATGCAGAAGGGCACACACTCCAAAAAGTATGGAGGCTTTCGTCCTTGTCAATCAGGATTACTCTCCAGTACATCCCCAAGTTAATTCTGGACCCTCCAATAAAAGAAAGCTTTTGGTAAATAGAAAATGCCATTATCTTGGAGCTTTGGTGTTTACCTGAGGTTTACGAAGTATAAGCTAATGTGAGGATGAATCTGGTTTTTTTCAGAGTATTTTTTTAATATTTTGAAATCTGATAAGATTGAAATCCCAGGTTCGTCTGAGGGCAGTAAAACTAGTGCTCTCAGATAACAGGACCCTGCTCGGGAAGTGGTGTCAGGGAGCACACTTTCTTTTCCGCCTAATTGTTCCTGCACTGATTCTACCTATGCTATTTCAGAAGAAATTTCAACAGAAAGTTGATGCAGCACAAAGATGACATGTGATGAGGCAACATGCAACATGTCCTCACAGGAACACACATCATGTGATGTGGAGTCTGTCACTGTCACTGAGGGAGACCACATCACAGGATGGGTCAACGAAAATGATGCTCTGGACGTCAGTCTATGTACTTTACACAGATTATTCTAAGCCCTCTGATGCACCTCTGAGACAAATACTACCATCCCAGGTTATGGGGAGGAAACAGGCTTATGGAGGTACGTCATCTACCCTAGCCAGGAAGGGCACAGCTGGGATCTGGAGCCGGGCTGTCTGACCTTAGAACCAAGCTTGATGGCTGGGCAATGCTGCCTCCCCTACTGGCTGTCTCCACCCAGCACCCTGGGGACTCTTGGTCTGGTAGCCTTAAGGGCCTTCCAAAGCATGTCTGCATCCAATGGGATCAAGTAGTACAAAAGAACACACTTCAACCACCCTTGACTCCTATTCTACCATCTCTGTCCTTGGTCCATAAAGAGATCTGAAGCCTTAGAGAAGGTCTCCCATGCAGACCTGTCCCGCATGCTGTCATCATGCAGGATCCAGGAGGTGTGGCTTCTTAGGGTTTTGTGCCAGGGAGGTCATGTCTGTCTTAAGAAGCTGGCACACTTTCTTCCTGGCATGTGGCATTGCCAAGCTGAATGTAAGGCTCAGTTAAAATGAATCGGTCTTTCCTGCCTCTGGGCACCATGTACTACTCATTTGTATGATTTCTTCACCTATTTATTCTAAATATTCTGTTTATATGAGTTCAGGTCTTTATCCAGAAAGACATGGGGTATAAAACATGTACATACATAATGCTTAGAGCAAGTACTAAACACTGCAGAGCAACACGGAATTCTGGGCTAGTGGGTGTGTCAGAGCCTTGATTCAGTGGGGAGAGGTCAGGGTGAGCAGGAGGAGAGGAGCGCACGGGGAAGAGCTCGTGCAAAGGAGGGGAGGGATGGGAGACGGGCCAGTTAGCAGGAGCCCGAGGGGCAGGTGGGAGATTCCTGCCCATGCCTCGAGGGGCCCTTCGAGATTGAAGACAGAGACCCTCGCTTGCAGACATGCTTCACCCCAAAAAGACATGAGGACCCACGCTTGCACTGCTTCACTCCAAAGGCCTGAGAGGTGGGAACCTGCCCAGTCCCACCTGGGAATGCCATGGAGGTACTGCAACAGGCGGGTCAGCTCGGCGCTGGAGCTGTGTTTGCTGGACCAGAGCGGGCTCGTCGTGCACACCTGTACCACTGCTCTCCCCTGGTGGTCTCGGGTCCCTGCAGAGACAGAAGGCATTGTGAGAGGGGGCAGCTCCAGTGCAGACACGCATGGCTTCAAGCTTGAGAAATACCAAGTTGGGATCTGCACACTGTGGGGGTATTGGCTTAGACGTGAGATCTGCCAGGAGAGGAGGTCACCTGCACATGTGACAGCCATGCTCACCTCAAAGGGAGGTAGGCACTTCTATGGGCTGAAATGTTTGTGTTGCCCCAAACCTGTGTGTTGAAACCTAACCCCCAGTGTGGCCTTTCAGAGTTGCTTACATTTTAGGGTGGAGCCCCATGAATGGAATTTATGCCATAGTAAAAGACCCCAGAGAGCTCCCTTGCCCTTTCCACAACGTGAGGACACAGTGAAAAAGATGTTGAGTATGAACCAGGAAGACGGGCCCTCATTAGGACCTAACTGTGCTGGAACCCTGATCCTGGACTACGGCCTCCAGAATAGAGAAATAAAGGTCTGCTGTCTAGAAGGTATCCAGTCTGTGGTATTCTGTTATAGCCGCCCAAACAGAGCGAGGTAGCCATGCTCACCTGGAAGGGTAATGACCCCGGACTGCAGGAGCTCCTGGCCGACCTCCACCACCTGCCTGGGTACCGGGCCGGGCAGCTCTCCCGTGCCGGGCGGCTGTCTTTCTCCCTCTGGGCACAGCGGCTTAACAAGCACGTCTGGAACCCAGCCAGGAGCATGACCTCGGAAGGCGCTGCTGTTGGTGTCAAGACTGGCTGGACAACAGAAAGACACTTGGTCAGAGATGAAGTGTTTCTCTGGTTTGAAGGCAGCTACGCAACTCGCCACAAACACAAGGAGAAAATCGTGTGTGGAAATACTGGGTCCCATGAGAACGGTTCCACTCCTCGCAGGAAATGGCAGCGTGGCATACCTTACAGGACAGGTGCACTCTTGAAAGTAAGGCATGAATAAACATGTAAAAACTAAATATTCCTATTGCACCAAGAGTGCTCACTACCTAAACACACTTCAGGGATAATTTTTTTTAGGTTTATTTCTTTATTTTGAGAGACAGAGTGTGGTAGTGGAGGAGGGGCAGAGAGGGACCCTGCCTCTCCTTCAGCACCTATAAAGGGAGGACTTGACCTTCCTGCATCACTCCAGAGAGGGGGCACCTAGCTCTTCTGTTCACCCTAGAGGGAAGGGCTCGTGTTCGTACTCGGTCTGGAGGTGACGGCAGTGGCCATGGTTTCTGGTCGTGCTCCTCAGCCCTGTTTCCACACTGCACTTCACAGGAGACGAGCCATAGCACAGACAGAGCGAACAGACTCAGCACCCCAGCCCTGCAATCCCCCAGGGTCTGTGTTGCCCCAGTGGGGGGAGCACGGTCTTGGCCAGAGCTGGTTGGCGCCCAGAACCCTGTGGGGCACCATGACCCAATCCAGACTTTGCTTTCCCGTTCTCAGCTTCTTTCTCAACTTCTTTCAGTGCTAGTATCTCATAACTCTGTTAAGGGCTTTCTCATTATGGTTGGACCAGAGAAGTCCACAGCAATCTTTCTATACATATATTTAAAACAGCTTTATTGAGATATATTTTACATATAATAAAATTCACTCCTTTCAAGTATATAATTAGGATTTTTAGCAACTTTACCAAGTGGTGCAACCATCACCATGGGTCAGTTTTAGAACATTTCCATCCCTCCAGAAAAACCCCTCATGCCCATTTATTGTGAATCTCTGTCCCCACTCCTTGCAGCCACCGGTCTACAGTCCTGACCACTCATACCACTGGAATGAGACACTGTAGGGTCTCCTGTGTCTGGCTTCTGTCACTCAGCACAACTACTTCGAGGTTCACCCCTGACATCGCCTGTGTCGTCCTTTCCACGGGTCTCATCCCAATGTGTGGTGGACCACATTTCGTCTGTCCCTTTACCAGTTGATTGGTTATAACTACACAGTATCCTTGAGACTGAATTTTTTTATGTATGTTCAAATATTTTCCTAGAATACATCACTATTTGTAAAATCTTTGGGTGCCCAAGTGTTTTAATGTTTTAATTCTGCACTTGACCCCAAGCTTTCTCACACACATGGGGAAGCAGATAACACCTTCATGTGGCACTTTTCTTATCAGACGTCTTCCTAATTGAGTAGGTCATTCATGTGGGCTTTTCTTGAATTCAGCTTGCGGACTGTGGGAGAGTGAAAGGAGGGGTCTGAGGCCCTGGAGGGCTACAGTATTAAAATGGCCAGAAGTAAAAGCAGCACCCTTATGTGGCTAATCAAGAAATAGCTCACCCCACCTCACCTCACAAGATATGGCTGCTCAGTTACCATTCGTTGAACAGGAGAACCATATAGAAGAGGAGGAGCAGCTGGGACAGAGGAGGAGCAGCTGGGGCAGAGGAGGAGCAGCTGGGACAGAGGAGGAGCAGCTGGGGCAGAGAAAGAAACTGCCCGCACTGTGGAAGAGTGAGTGTGCTGTCACTTGTTCAGTTTAACTGTCAGCAGGAGGTCCTAGCTGAGGCATTTTCCTGTGTCGATGAAGACATGAGGTGTAGGACCACACCACAAACTGTGTACTCCAGGGACAAGTGTGTGTCCAGGCAGCAAGGATGGCAGAGAACGCCTATATCGAGGAGCCACTGGCCACTTGCTGGGTGACCAATCACTGAGGCCCTTCTGCCCAGACCTCTGGTGCCAGTGCCCAGCTCCTCCTGGGTGTAAGCAGCATCCTCTTAGCACAGGGTCTCCCTTCTTCCAGGGCTCTGCACCGTCAGCAAGACGGCATGAGAGGAGGAAGAGGGGAAGAGTGCTCTCCCAGGAAGCGAACTCCCAACTTCTCTCCCCACCAGCCCTCAGCGCGACCTCATGCATAATCTCTGGAGCTGAGGAAGGAAAGCCCCCCGGGGCCCAGGAGCAAGCATCACGCCTCTGACAAGACTCGCATTGCAGACGTGCTCCTGGACACACAGGGAGCCAGCAGGTAACCCGCTTCCACTTGGCAACACTGATTTGTGTGAACTAAACCCGCCGCCTCCATGACCACCAGCTCTCCTGGCTGCAGTCACGTGTCTGTGCCCTGTGCTGCCACTCTGTCCAGGGACTCTGTGCCTGAATGTCCACAGTAGCATCCGCACAGCCAGCATTTCTGTGTGGAGGGGTGTTTACTTGCTTACGTTTTAGAGTGACTCTTACGGTGAGGACAGAGGCTATCCTCGCTGAGATGAGCTGCAGACATGAGTTTTCACTGGGTCGTCCAGCGTGTGTGTGACTGTGCGTTTTCCTACCCAACACAAACAAGGTCCTGGAAACAATGTCCAGGGAGTTCTTGCTTCATTGAGTTTTTAACTGTACTGCAGGGAAATAGAATGTTCTTAAAAAGGGCTAACCCTAAGCCAATATTTGTATTACAAAACTTTTTGCAGTAAGCCTGTGCGTGCTCTATGCTGTGGGAATCCTGTCAGAATTTCAGGCGGGAGCAGACACCCTCGATTTGGAAGCAACAGGGCCCTCCCGGAGGCACGAGCAACTCCCTCCTTGAGCCAAGTGGACAGGCCAGGTGTTGCCCAGGTGAGGAAGCCACAGGTTCTTCACTGTGTGGGATGCTGGGGCTGACCCTGCCTTCTTCACTTCCTCCGAAGCTGTCACTTTTGTTCCTTCACAGAACATTTCTTTCTGTGAAAAAGGGGAAATATTTGACTTAAGAAATATGTTGTCTTTTTTTTCTTTTTTTAGTTCTTGATGCCCTGCAAACACTCCTTTAAATTACCGTATCTTCCTTCCAGAGCAATACGGGAGACAATTCTAGTACTTAGGTTATAGTTATACTTCAGCGCATTTTGTGGGACTTTGAGGTGTGTGAGACTTAGGAGCTTGTGCTATTAGCCATGCGTGCGGCACCCGCCTCACCCACAGGAAAGGGGCATTAGTGTGATGTGATGTGACGTGATGGTTGGTGATCCCAAAGGGACGTGTCTACTCCCAGAACCTGTGAACGTCACCTTAGTTGGAAAAGGTCTTTGTAGATATGAATAACTGAAGTGTAGGGTGGGCCCTGAATCAAAGATAGGTGTCCTTTTAAGAGAAAGGAGGAGAAGGTTTGAGGCACAGAGACATCAGGAGAAGGTGGAGGGACCGGGGAGCCCCCTGCAGCTGGAAGGCCCCTCACCCGGAGCCCCCGGGGGGAGCACCGTGCTGCCATTGCCCTGATGTCAGACCTCTGGCCCTGGAACTGACAGGATAAATGTCCAAAGCCACCTGTCTGTGTTACTTCGCCGTGGCAGCCACAGGGATGGCGCACACATGAACGTTGTTTTCAACAGTCGATATGGATGTGGACACAGGCTTCTCCTGTGTCACTGAGCAGAGAGAAGGTACAGCGTGGAGTGGGGCAGGGGTTGAGGGGAAGGGGTGGGGTGGGACGTGGGAGGAGGGTTAGGGAGGCGCAGGAAGGGTCAGCCTCGGGCGTTACCTGGGCTCTCCGCTGTGTTGCAGGAGGGGCCGCCGGAGCCTGCCCTCCTGCTCCCCGTGACCTGTCCTCCTGAGAGACCTCCAGGCCTGGCACCGGCCGCGTGCTGGGAGGCCCGCCGGGCCTCCCCTCGGGAGCCCCTGGTGGACCTGTCCCAGGACCGAGACCGCCGGGGAAGGGTGCTCCTAGTGGCTCCCGGGTGGCTTTCCTGAGTCGGGGTCCCCCTGGGGTCTCCCCAGGGGCTGGGGGTTTCCTTCCGGGCTGGGCTGGCTGCTGCCCCGGCTCCTGTGGTCCCGGAGCTGCAGGCCTCATCCCCGAGGGACTCTTCGGAGCTGGAGCCCAGGCGCATGGGGTTCTGCAAGGCCTCCATGTAGGACCTGCGGAACCAGCGTCTGCCTTCCTTGCAGGCTGGGTCCCTGGGTGACTGTCTTCCGGAGCCTGGGCTGCCCATGTCCTCACAGACAGTGAGGGCCTGGGGGCCGTGCCTTTTGTCTGTGGGGTCCAGGCTCCCTCTTGGTCCTTCCCACAAGCCTGGCTCTGAGGGCCCAACCCCAACAAGGCCTCCGTTGGAGCTCTGGAATGTGCTCTTAGGGCTTTCCTGTGCAGCGCCTCCTGCGGAAGGCTGGCGGAAGGGCTGGTCACTGCTGGGCTGCCCACCACAGCAGCGCAGGGTGGGGGTGTCACGGGGAGGGGCGCGCTCCTGGGGACGAGAGCTGGCCATGGCTGGTGCTGGGGCCAGAGCTCTGGAGGCACTTCTCGCGGGTGGCGGCTCAGGCCCGGGGCAGCTGCAGTGGGGCCGGATGGTTCTGAACGCTGGGACAAAGATGGGGTCTGTGACGTTGCTCCACGGGGTGCGGAAGACAGCAGAGCCTGAGGTCAGCAGGCAGTTTTGCAAGGGGACACTGTTCCGCTCCCTGTTCAGCTCTTCCAGGAACTCTCCCGTGAAGATGCAGCCGTACATGGACTCAGGGACAGTAACTTCTTCAGAGCCCCGTCCAAGTGGGGAGAGGCATTTTAAAACCAGTCTGGCTGACTGCTTCCCCACCGAAGTGACCTGTAGATAGAAGTCCCCAGGCCTGAGCCTAACTCCGCGGAGGGACGCCAGCTGCACCACCACCTTCTCATGGATGCACAGTGGCCAGCCTTCATGGAAGAAGATGAGGCCTGTGTACTTGGCCTGGGATGAGAGAGGGAGGGAAGGAGGTTAGACCGTGGTGGTAGCTCCTCCTGGGAGGCTGGGTGGAGGTGGGCAACAGGGCAGGAGGGAGGGAGCCATCAAAGGTGCCACCCAGCCAGTCCTACCACAGGCAGCCTGGGGGCCCTGGGCTAAGTCTCTCCTAGGAGCCTTCCCCATCTGGGGAAGGGTGTGACCCTCACATGCTCACCACGCCAGCCCTTGGTCTAAGCTCCATAGCACCTCTGGCTTTCCTAGGTGCCCACAGGCAGCCCCTCAAGAGCAGGGCTACTTCTGGAATCACAGGGTCGGGGGTACAGTGAGAGGGTGCTGGGGTCCATCAGGGCACCAACAACATCAGCTACAATCTCCCACCCAATACAATGGGTCCTTCTACTTATTTGAAGGAGTCCATGAAGTTTACAACACGGCTATAGATTATGCAGGTGAGTTCTCAAGCACATCTTTGAAAAGGACTTGCTGTAGAAAAGGTTTCAATGGCAGGACGGAGAAGACACAGGCAAACACAGGCAGCATCTGGCATGGGCATGAGAGTGTCTGGCAGTTTGGGGAACAAGGGGTGGGATCCCCAATGTGTCAGACACTGCAGCTACACATCTAAACAGGGACCGGTTCAGTTACAACATTCCTTACTTCTCCCACGCCAGCACTGACATATTGCACAAGCATTATCACAATAATAGAGCATATGAGAAAGAAATGACCTCATTCTGATATGTCTTGAGTCTTTTACTTTTTTTCCCTTATCCATGCAGGACACAACTTCTCTAAACTGTAGTAACAACGTAGATACAACTTGGTGTTCACCCTTAGCCAACATTTCTTCATGTTCCTCTTTCATAGTTGCCATCCTGGTGGTGACTTGCCTGTCCTCTGTGGGAAATCTACAGGGCTTCTATCTGTTTTTTCTTCTTCCTCCCTCCCTCCCTCCCTGTCTCTCTCTCTCTCTCTCTCTCTTTCTTTTCTTAAGTAGGCTTCACATCCAGCGCAGAGCCCAACGTGGGGCCTGAACTCACGACCCTGAGATCAAGACCTGAGCTGAGATCAAGGGTCAGACGTTTAACCATCTGAGTCACCTAGGTGCCCCGCTTCTATCTGTTTCTATTATAAATAAGAAATGCAAGCAACATTTCCATGGTACCATTTCTTCTTCCTTTAAATTATATTTTAGGAAACATTTCTGGGATTAGGATTAAGGATAAATAGTCATGAGTGTCTTTTATGATTCTTGGCAATATGACCAATTTGCCATCAAAAGACACATTGTCAGCAGTAAAGTCATTGCAACAGCTTTGCCAGGATTCAGCAGGACGAGGCTTTATATTGAGGAATCTTTTTCTAAATTAGTACATATACTGTGGAATATTGTTGTTTTAATTTGCACTTAAGTGATAATGAAGCCAACACTTTTTTCTAATTGTTTTTTCTATAAATTTTCTGTATGTATTTTTGTTCCTTTTATGAATCGTGGCTTTGTTTTTACCTTCTTAGTTGCTGTGAGATCTGTAAAAAAAATTTGACAGACATTAACTTTTTTCTATGCACCATTGGCAAATGTTTGTGTTATGTATCTATCAGTAAAAGGCGAAAGGTTTATACGATCTGAAGAGAAACCAGAGTGTGTGTTATGTATCTATCAGGCACTCATATTCGTCCCAGTTTACTTGCTTTATACTTGTTTCCTTCCTTTATACTTGTTTCCTTCCTCTCTGTAGAAGCTTAAATTTTATACAAGTTGAATTTTTATTACTTTTTTGTGGTATCTTTTGTCACCTTAAAACTTAGAGTTTGATGTCCTACTGAAGGTTGCCTTTTGCATTTATGTTAGTTTTCCTAAGAGTTGAGGTTTACAAAATACTTAATGTTTCCATACATCTAGAGTTGGAAATTGTACCTTAAATACACTGGTATATTCTTTTTTTAGAATTTTAAAAAATGTTTCGTTATTTTTGAGAGACAAAGCTCGAGCAGGGGAGGGGCAGAGAGAAAGAGAATCTGTGCGGTCAGCACAGAGCCCGTTGTGGGGCTCAAACCCACAAACCATGAGATCATGACCTAAGCTGGACGCTTAACCAACTGAGCCCCAGGCCCCGCACACTGGCCTGTTCTTAAAGGTGAAGGCCCCATTGAGCAGGTTCCTGCTGTGCACTCACACTGGGTCGCCAGAAGGGGGAGGCACCGTCCAACCTTCAGCAGCCCGTGCCCTGGGAGGAAGCTGAGGGTCTGGTGCAGATGCGGCTAGTATTTACCGAGCACCTGCCCAGTACCCTCACACCTGTGGCCACGTTTAATTAAAAACTAAGGTTTTTCAGATTGGAAAAATAATACTCGTGTATTGCAGAAACTGGAGGATTCAGGAAAAACAAAACAATAACCCCAACACCAACCCCCAGAGGTCAACATTATTGACATTGATGTGTGTTTCATTTCACTATTTTTTCCTGTGTATTTTTTCTAATGTTTATTTGAGAGAGAGAGAGAGAGAGAGAATCCCAAGCAGGCTCCATGCTGCCAGCACAGAGCCCAACATGGGGTTCAAACCCATGAAGATCATGACCTGAGCTGAAACTCAGTTGAACACTTAACTGACTGAGCCACCCAGGCACCCCTTTTCCTGGGTATGTTTAATGGCTGAGATCACATCACAAAAATACAGCAGTGCATGGTAACTTTATCACCGGATGCTATTTCATCAGCATCTCCTGTGCTATGAGAAACTCTTCACTCAGATCACTTCACTGTTGTGTATTTATTTTCCCCAAATTTTGCTCTGACAAATTTAAATACCATGCCCATTGTTGGGCCTGGAGCCCCACCTGAGTGTCACATGCTTCTGTGGAATCTGAGGCCACAGAGCAGGTAGAAGGGAGTGGCCATGCCAGGGCCCCTGGGGTGGAGCCAGTGCCCACCAATCTGGGTGGCCACGGGTGTGGCCAGTGTCCTTGCTGTGTGGCCAGTGCCCATCACACACTGGATATGAAGATCCAGGACGTCATCCAGCCCTGTGGACATCAGCAGTGAGATTCCCAGGGACTGCTCTTTCCCAAGGAGAGAAGTCCAACCTGAGCTATGGCCTAAAGGTATGCAGGTGGGGTCAGCGGTGCCAGCCCCAGGAATGAGCTTCACGACAGAAAGTTCTGGAAGCAGAGAGTCCAAGGCCGACCATCACCGGTAGGTGACCCTTCCTAGGGGGTGGGGGGCAAGCACTCAAGGTGGAGAGCATGGGAGGACTGGGCAGCCCTCACACCCAGCCCTGTCACTCCCAATCCTGGCATGAAAACAGCTCCAGTGCCTGGGTCCCAAAGGGCACTGCCAGGAGAAACTTCTGAGGCTGAGGAGAGGCTGGCCCCTCTCCTCCTCTGCTCCTTCAGGCCACTGCAGGCTGGCTGAAGTCACCTCAGAGCAGAGCAGCAGCCCTGGCAGATGTGGTTCTCTGTCAGGTGGCAGGGCAGGGGATAAAGTGTGCCAAGCATGTGCTGGGGCATCTTCTGTCTCTGCAGTGGGCTGTAGAAGCTGTGGAATGGCTTCAAGCGGCTGTGATAATGGTAATAATCTTTATCCAACACTGAGTGAGGGCCAAAAACATCCTAAGCACTTTGCATCCATGATGGCACTGAACCCTTATTCCAAGAGAACATATGCTGGTTGGGACTCATTGGCTGCAGGTAATAAGATGCCTTCTGACTCTTGGCTAAGTGATGGAGAGGATGAATTCTCTCACTGCAAAGTGTGAAGGAGACAAGCCCCGTGGTTGGAACAGAGGCTCACAGACACCTTTGAGATCCGGGTGCTTTCTCTCTATTTCACAGCCTTCCATGTACACGTGTTTCAGTCTGATGCTGGTTATTGCGTGGTCATGGGATGACTGCCCCAGCCTAACAATCGCATCCTTATACACTATGTCCCAAGCAGGGAAAAGTAGCTTCCTGTGTCTTTCCTTTTCCGAGGGAATATGTTCTTATAAATATTCCTGCCCCCAGAAGACTTCTCTTTATCGCTCATTGGCCATAAAGGAGCCAGTGACTCCCTCTGGTTACAAAGAAGACTTGGAAAGTGGATGTCTCTGTAGCAGGAGGCAGCAAAAGACAAGGGTTGGGAATGACCATCCACTACACAGCCCAGTGTCTGCTGCAGGTGGGTCCTGTTACTATTACTACCCTCTCTATAGATGAACAGGATCAAGGATCAGGGAGAAGAAAAGACGACTTGCCTAGGTCTTTACAAAGTTAGTAGTGGCAGAGCATGGATTTGAACCCACATCATTCCGATCGCAGAGCCTGCGATCCTAACCCCCATCGAGTACCGCCTGGCAGGGACACCCAGGCAGCCATCGTAACGCAGACTGATAAAGGGTGAGCACCAAATGCTGTGGGCACACAGAGGACAGAGACTCTGCTTTGGTGCGGTCGGGGGATTGAATGGGGAGGAGAGCTGTGGTTGCACCGGCCTTCGAAAGGGGGGTAGGACTTCTGCCAGGTGCAGGGGAAATGCACGAGGGCGGGCCCCAGGGTGAACGAAAGTGGGTGGCGGGGCAGTGCATGCTGGGTGGATTAATCAAGGCTCGTCGGGTTTTAAGATGAATTTGTCACTGGGGACATGATCTTGTGCCACTGGGAAGCCTGGAGGAGAGAAGCTCCAGACCTAGCCCAAGTAGGGGACTCAAACGTCTCACTGGGGCTCAGTTTCTCTCCCTTGCTCCACATGGCTTCGCTGTGCAGACAGTCTGGGTCCACCTGCAAATCCTCCTGATACATGAGCCCAGTGGAAAGAGGACATCTTGTCCTCAATATCTTCGTACAAGTCCCAGGAAGACTCTAACTGGGTGTCTTAGTCCTTCCAAGCTGCTCTAACAAAAATACCACAGATTGGATAGCTTATAAATATAGAAATTTCTTTCTCACTATCCTGTATCCTGGGGAGTCCAGGATCAAGGTATTGGCATTTTTGTGGTCTTGTCAGGGCCAGCTTCTTGGTTCACAGAT